ATACACACACACATTAAATTGACAAAATGTTAACTAAAGTTGTGTTTTGAGAGGCAAACTGAGCCTCGTGGAAGAGCATTTTCATATTATTGGCCTTAAATTCACTTTCCTTTTTAATAAGTGTTCCTAGTCAGATTCACCAAACTCTCCCTAAGTGTGAGGAGTGCCAGCTGTTCATGAGGAATATCACCTGTACTCCTCATGAACAGGTGAGAGGAGGATCACCTGTTCGTGAGGAAGTGTGTGAATGTGAGATTTGAGCATAAGTGTAATCGATGCCCTTAAAACTGCCATACAAGGCCTCCTGTCCTGTTAGTGAGGCTTGATATGACTTGTATGATGATGGTGGTCGTGGTTTCCAGGTCATGTGAACAACTGCACAATGAGACACCAGGAGAAGAAGCAGTTCAGTTCCAACCATTACAGGTTTATTTGCAGTCTCTCGAGGCCAACTGTTGCTGGATTTATCTCTAAACAGAAAATATAAAACATGAATTAATTCCATTGAAAATATATACACTTAGAGAGTCATGATATAAAGCAACTACTAACATAACTTGAACATAACTAGTAATCTTGTATTGCAAGGTTTAAACAACAAAAGAACTCACATTACACTCAGTCAAACACCTGTGACCAGGAGCGCCCAGGGTTCTGCTGCAGGTAGACAAAGGAGCTCACACCTGAAGTCAATCCTTCTTATAACCTCTGATTCCTCCAGCCCCTCCTCCTTCCTGCTTCTCCTGCGGCAGCTCCTCCTCTAAACCTGCTCTCCACAACAGTCTCATTCACAAACAAGAGTAAAAAACTGTTCCCGCTGTGGAGCTTCTGCTGTCACAAATCAATCCAATCAGAGGAAAACATAAAACATCTAAGCAGAGTCAATATTAGAAGACAAAAAAGGATTAGTGAGGTGTCATCAGAGCAGTTCTGTTCTGTGACAGACACCGAGAGGGAACGGTTCAGGCCACTTATAAACACTTGTGACAAAGATATGTAATGAAAGCAGGATATTTTACAGTTTAACAATAACTTTTATTGTCCAAAATGACATCAGGGACTGAAACAGTAAACTTCACTGGGAATTAAATAAAATAACTATAAAAACTAATAAAGAAAGAAAGAAATCCCTCGTACGTACTACTGAAGAATGAATCTGTCTTACATGAGATCCATTACATATCACTAATGTTTGAGTTTACTGTTTACTGAACCGTCTGTTCATCACCTCCCACAGCAAAGTGACTGCGGGCAGTTTAGATGTTCATCCCACGGAGAAGGCCCTCGTGGTCCACTATGAGGTGGAGGCGTCGATACTGGGAGAGGGTGGAGGTCACATGCTGGGCGAACGCAAGGAGGGACAGAAAATGTGAGTGTGCTCTCTTTCTTATGTCCTCTCGGCTTTTGATCCTTCTCTTCTTTCCTTTACTTGACTACAGAGGTCTTTAATCAGTCACAGACTTGTTTGGAAATGGTCTTAAAATCTGTCGCAGGTATGTGAGTAATCAGGAAGTGGATGAAGTCAGCCACCCTTTACCTGTCGCCCCCTCTCTTTGTCCTCTCTTCCTCCCTCCAGTATCCGTGTGAAAAGTCTCTCTCCCAGCACGGATGTGGGAGCTTTGGCCCAGAAAGTGGTGGAGGAGTGTAAGCTCATCCCTCCTTCCCGTTTGCCTCAGGTGGAGCAGCTTCTTTACTACCTGCAGAACAGGAAATCCTCCCCAGTGGAGGGCAAAGGTGAGTCACATCATCAATACTACACCCTTGATGTAGCACGTAAACATGTCCACATTTTCACCATTGAAATTTGATGACAAACCTAATGGCTTTATAGAAGATGGACAGATTTGAGGAGTGTTAACGGAGTGTTTCACAGTCCATTGACGAGCCTTGATGCTGTTGAGTTCACATTACTGAACACACAATGAGAAGATTCATGTGTAGAATTGTAAAACCATTTAATAAACGACTCTAAACTTGCTTTTTAACAGCGGAGAAGAAAGAGAGAAGAACTGTGAAACCCAGAGAGCTGACACCGTTTGAAGGAATGGAGGTAACGGATCACAACACCGACTCACTCTGCCTTTTGTTCACGCACCTCGTTCCTTCATGGCCGGTTCGATTAGATCAGTAAAAATCAATAAAACCAAAAGAATAAAGAGTTGTCAATAAAATTAAAAGTGGTTAGTAAATGAAGTAAAGTATCAGTCAGTAACAGTGTGTTTCTGTGTGTGTGCAGCTGAATGAGGAAGCCAGTATCACCAGAGTGGACGAGTATGTCGAGCTGCTCTATGAAGGAATCCCAGAGAAGATCAGAGGCTCGTCTCTCATCCTGCAGCTCGCCCGCAACCCTGACAACCTGGAGGAGCTGCTGCACAACGGTGAGCTCTCTCTCTCTGCTCTGCTGTCAGTGCTGATGGTCGCGCCCACGTTTTCATGCATCCTCAGATAATAATCAGCTAATCAATGTTTCCGATCCCATCTCTCCTGGACTCTCCGCCGGTGAAGATTGGGGGTTTTTGTCGCTGGAACTTTGTTGCAGTTGCATCATCATTTGATCAAAGCGATTATAATCCAAACATGTTCACCGATCATGTTTTCGATCATCTGTGAGTTAGGCCGGCCGAGCCTCAGCCGATACCGATCATTGTTTGTGTTTTGTTACAGCAGCATCTCTAGTATTCAGATGAAGTGTAAATGAAAGCCACTGCTATCAGTAATTAAGAGACAAACAGCGTTTCCTGTTCATATTACAAATAAATCAATGATTCAATTGATTCAATCATAGTTTTTACGAAGGTGAACTTAAATAAATATCAACAGCAATGCAAAAATGTAAAAGACTGAATCTACAGCAGCTCAACAGTGACAGTGTCTGTAACTGGCAACCGAGTGGTCCCAGGTGCAAGTGAATGCAGCATCAAACACACTGCTAAGCTCTGTATGTATGATCTATATATTACTGCACATGGCTGGTGCCACAACCTGCTGTGTACCTGCACCTGCTGTGTACCTGTACCTGCACCTGTACCTGTACCTGCACCTGCTCTGTACCTGCTCTGTACCTGTACCTGTACCTGCCATGTCGTCTGTGTGTGCAGAGGCAGCTCTTGGTGCTCTGGCCAGAGTGTTGAGGGAGGACTGGAAACAGAGTGTAGAGCTGGCTACCATCATCATTTACATCTTCTTCTGCTTCTCGAGGTAACACACACACACACACACACACACACACACACACACACACAGACACACACACACTCTCCTGTGTTGTGTTAGTGTGTGTTGCTGTCCTCACAGAGTGCATCTCCTCTCCTCCAGTTTCTCCCAGTTCCATGGCGTGGTGAGTCACTATAAGATAGGTGCGCTGTGTATGAGCGTGGTGGAACATGAGCTGAAGAGACACGATGTCTGGTGTGAGGAGCTCCGCAAGAAAAATAAAGCTTATATCCTTTTATCTGCCCCCCCCCCCGTGTCGTCCGTCAGTCACATATCTGCCCTGTGTGTCTGAACAATACTCCTTAACTCTGCTTTCGTTGTACGTGAGTCAGCGCCAGAGAGCGGCTCCCTGAGACGAGACCAAGACAAAGCTCTGAGGAAATACCAAGGCCTCCGGGCCAAACAGGAGCAGCTGCTCAGAGGTAGGATGACCATTCATCCACTCACCTGGCCTCTCCACCTTTGATTAGATGAGTGCTGAATCATTTCCTTCCTCTCTCTCTCTCTGTCTCCTCCACTGTCTCCCAGTGTCTCTCTACCTGCTGTTGAACCTTGCTGAGGACACGAGGACGGAGCTGAAGATGAGGAACAAGAACATCGTCGGCCTCTTGGTCAAAGTTCTGGACCGCGACGATGAGGAGCTGCTGGTGCTGGTGGTTTCATTCCTCAAGAAACTGTCCATCTTCCTGGAGAACAAGAACGACATGGTGAGTGGGAGAGACGTTCAGTCAGATGAAGGGTGAGCGGAGGAACAAAGGAGGGACTGAACCTGATCTGTAATCTAATCTCAGGCTGAGGTGGACACTGTAGAGCGACTGGCTCACCTGGTTCCCTGTGAGCACGAAGATCTGTTAAACCTGACCCTGCGTCTGCTGCTCAACCTCTCCTTCGACTCCGGACTCAGAGCCAAGATGGTGGAAGTTGGACTGTTACCTAAACTGACGGCGCTGTTGGGTAAATATCCACGATGAATACTGTACACCAGCATACTGTCTGTATTATATGTAGAGTACATTATTCCTTATTCACGCTCCAGCGCTTTGACGTTAATGACTCCCTTTACGTGAGCGAGGCGCCGAGTGACATCATTTGATATTGATTTGATACTTAATGTCTGTCGTCATGCAGGTGATGAAAACAACCGTCAGGTGGCCATGCGTATCCTGTACCACATCAGTATTGACGACCGCTTCAAGGGCATGATTGGTTACACTGACTGCATTCCTCAGGTACAACCGCAGAAACTACAGGTGTACTGTTTATACTGACGCTGATGGCTGTGAGGTCAGAGGTGAAATTGTCTCTGTGTGTGTGTGTGTGTGTGTGTGTGTGTGTGCGTGCGCAGCTCATGCAAATGCTGTTTGAGTGCAGTGAGGAAGAGATTGAAGCTGAGCTCATCTCCATCTGCATCAACCTGGCTGCGAACAAGAGGAATGCACAGCTCACCTGTGAAGGTTTATTTCCATCAGTTGCTTTTTATTCTTTGAAATTTTATGATATCTCCAGCGGGCCGACAAGTTTTGGTAAAAAGATGTAATTATAAAAGAATTTACAATATAAATAAAGTTTTTAAATGTTTAATGATCTTTAACGGTTTTAAACATTTTTAAAAACTCTTTTCATTCTTTGTTTTCACTGTCATAAGCTAATAATTATAATAATAATAATAATAATAATAATAATAATAATAATAATAATAATAATAATAATAATAATAATAGGAACTTGTAAGTTGTGGTCGTCTGGAGCAGGTTGGATACTCGTGTTGGTCGGGGTTGGATATTGACGATGAGTCGGAAAAGGTCGACCCATGTCCCGTGTGTCTGTCTGCAGGGAAAGGGTTGAAGATGCTGATGAAGAGAGCTCTGAAGACGAAAGACTGCCTTCTGATGAAGATGATCAGAAACATCTCGCAGCATGACGCTCCAACCAAAGCACTGTTCATAGTGAGTATATGAATCTCGGTGTTACTGTTGGTGTTCGTGCTGCTGTTAGTGCTGAGTGTGATGAGATTCGTCTCCTCTGCGTTGTCAGGACTACGTGGGCGACCTGGCAGCAGAGATCCGGGCCGACGAAGAGGAGGAGTGGGTTCTGGAGTGTCTGGGGACCCTGGCCAACCTCACCATCCCCGACCTGGACTGGGAGCTGGTGCTGAAGGAGTACAACCTGGTACCGTACCTCAAAGACAGACTCAAGCCAGGTACTAACCTCCATGTCGTTGTGGTTTTTTGAAGTGAACAGAAGTGATCGACTTGGTAGGACTTTGTCAGGTCAGGAATCATCATCGTCAGCTGATGACGATGACCTTTGGCGTTTCAGGCTCAGCAGAGGACGACCTCATCCTGGAGGTGGTGATAATGATCGGGACGGTTTCCATGGATGACGCCTGTGCCGCCATGTTGGCTAAATCTGGCATCATTCCCGCCCTCATCGAGCTGCTGAACGGTAACACGCACCTGTCATTTAGCGGAGGATGATCAGTCAGCGGTAGATATGAGAGATGATGTCACCTGTCTACAGATCTGATATCCTCACCTGCTCTCCGCTCGCTCCTCCTCTTGCAGCCCAACAGGAGGACGATGAGTTTGTGTGTCAGATCGTCTACGTCTTCTATCAGATGGTTTTCCACCAAGCCACCCGAGACGTCATCATCAAAGACACGCGTATCCTTCCCACAGTGCACTCTGTCGACCCTTAAACATTCACGAAGACCTTCGATCCGGTTCCTTAAATTGAAGTTTTGGTGTAAAATCTTCGATCGAAAGATTTCTGCTGTTTTCCTTTAACCCCCGTCTCCAGAGGCCCCCGCCTACCTGATCGACCTGATGCATGACAAGAACGCTGAGATTAGAAAAGTGTGCGACAACACGCTCGACATCATCGCTGTAAGTGAAACACGCGTTGCTGTGGTAACAGAAGTGACAGAGTCATGTCTCACATCTGCGTCTGAGTAGTTACACTTTTCTCCATCTTCCAGGAGTACGACGAGGAGTGGGGGAGGAAGATTCAGTCAGAGAAGTTCCGTTTCCATAACAACCAGTGGTTGGAGATGGTGGAGAGTCGTCAGGCCGATGAGTCTGAGACGTATCTCTATGACAACGACAATGACAGGACCGATCTATTCTACAGCGCAGGTACGCACGAAACCCTGTGAACAAATACACGCTGCAAAAATATTATGTTGTGTTCGATGAAGTTTCCCACGAGAAGTTTTAGTCGCAGCACGGACGGATCATTGTGATGGTTTCAGGATAAACAATAGTTTTCAAGTAGATCACATGACATGAAAACAGGAAGGAAACTCATTCAGTCTCCAACACTGAGGCTGTAGGTGACTGAGGTGATGTAGTGCAGCTGCTGGGTGAGGGATAAAGTCGTTGATTTTTTTTGTCTGACTGTGAAGTGAAAGCACCAATGAGCTTGTTAAGAAACGGTTCTGTGTGTTCTGTGTGTTCTGTGTGTTCTGTGTGTTCTGTGTGTTTACGTGTGTTCTGTGTGTTCTGTGTGTCTGTAGATGGAATAACTCCAGCAGACGGTTCTGTCAGCCCAGACTTCTTCAGTGACCTTCAGGCTCAGAATGGAGACTCGCACCACGCAGGGTGAGTTCACGTCCTCCACGAACATGAGCTGCAGTGAGAGAAACAGGAGCCGGTGCACCCGGCAGTAACATGCGTCTCCACATCGAAACATAATCAAAATCACTATATGGACAAGTGCAAAATCCAAATCGCAGGAGCTGCATTTTTTATTTTTTTTTGATAAAGGTGAAATGTGTCACAGATCAGATCTCAACAAATAATCAGACTCCTGAGGAAGTGGAAGTTTAACTTGAATTTAGTGAATTGAGGGTGAGAAAGTCAATTTGACCGTCTTTGTTTTCCAGAGACGATAAAGACGTGTTCGACCAGACCAGCTCGTCACCTGGACGACCAGCCACTGCGTACGGCTTCAGACCCGACGAGCAGCCCTTCTATCAGTACTCATAGACACACACACACACACACACACACACACACACACACACACACACACACACACACACACATCCTGTCATCTTAGACTCATCTCAACACTTTAGATCGCCTTCTCTCGTAACACAGTGGCTCTAGACGCTGGAGTGTGTAATACTGATAAAGACTGACTGCAGGCTTTAAACTAGTTATTAAACAAACCGCAGTTTCACACACTCATCCTTAAAGACCCATTTCATTCATTCACTCACCATCATGTTCAACAGATAAGTAATGAAGTCTTCCGTTCTGGCCGCAGATGTCGACTTCCTGCGGGTCAGCAGATAATATAAAGAATGTGAACACATTTCACGTCTCTGATGATTTGTGTTGATAAGCTTCTGCATGTCTTTTCTAATGTAATGATCAATATTTGTTGCCTCCTCGAATCCACTGCAGATGTTTTCTTACATTCCACTGAATTGTTTTAAAAGGGTAAAAGTTTCACAGTCGTTTTATTAACGTGCACTACAATGTAAATAATTGTTTTTTTTTTAATGTCGCTGTAAAACGGGCACATTGTTGTGTGTGATTGTGATCCTTACAACTTAGGGTGCTTTCACACACCTGGTCCCAACCTGGGTGTCTATATATGTGAGGTGGTCTTTGCACTCACTGCAACAGTCACACTCTTTAATTGGCAATGGAAAGGATCCAAATGGAAGTTATTGTCCCTTCATGCACAGCGGTGTGCAGACCTCTCAATATACGCAGTATTTAAAGTTTTGCAGTAGCGAGAGTTGCTCATCTCTCAGGCCACGAGAGTAAAATCAAAACCATCTGCATCGTTATCCTCCTCAGATATGAAGCTGATGAAATCAAGAAGTGTTTTCACTCAACTTATTGTGATACTTGTGTTGATGCCACGTGTTTATTGCTAATAAACACAACTCCTATCTGCGGTTTATGATGACGGTAGCAGAAATAAATAAGCAGGAGGTGATAAAGCGTTCTACAAGAGCTGGTGTCAGTCAAGACAACGAAATGTGTTTGGAGTATTAAAACAGCTGAGCGGGCGGGAGAAGGTGAAAGCTTTTGTCAGTGTCAGAGTGCGAGCACACAGCTTTTTCCTGGACGCAGCGTAAGGTTGATTGAGTTTCGGGGGAAGCACCAGAGACGAACTGTGGCTATAAAAAAAAGGAAGTGAGCCCTTTGGAATTACCTGCATTTATGTATAAATGCCACATGAATATCATCAATAATAAACACTCAGAACAGGAAACGGCGGAGTGTTTAGTGTTTCACCCTCCTACATGTTGAATTATAAAACACTAACATTTAAATATCCGGCACGTGTTCGGACGTGTGACGGGCGCAGCGCGGGGCGGTGAGGTCATTCTACATGATGAATGTCATTTCCTACAGTTACTGTACATACGTCGCTGTTTCAACAGCAGTGACATCAGGAATTTTGGATCATGGGGAGTGAATGTTGGTGACTTAAGTTAGTATTATTGTTTCATGTTTATTTACTGTGTAATTGAGTTTTATCACAGGGACTTTAGTTCACTAACCGACGAGTAAAATCAATGCACAGAGGACGACATCTAGATACTAACTGATGTAAATACTTTGCTTGGTTCTGGGAATAAATGTAAAAGTTCCCTTGATCATGAAGCTCGTCAGTGTTACATTGATGCATGTTATGTTTGTTTTTGTTTTTTTATCATAAGTTATTGTTAATCTACTGTCTGTATGTTGATGTGTTTTTGTTTGTTTTTTTACAATAGTTGATTTTATTGCTACTTAACAAGACACTGTAAAGAAACAAATACTGGACTGTAGATAATCTCCATCTCTCACTGTCTGTCATCTTCAGGTTCTTTAATAAAAACATGACATTTGACTGTTTTAATATCAGACTGTGTTTATAATTACATCCTGGACATCACGGGAACCCGGTGCAGTTTTATTTACATTCATGTTTCAAACCAACGCACCGATCTCCAGACATGTTTTAAACTCTGCTATGGTTCATATTTTGTTAAACTTGGTTTTCACACAAAAAAAAAGTGAAATAAAAAAAAGTAAAACTGGGTCTGAAGCTCGGCTCCTATCACTTCCTGCTGAGAAATCTAGAACAGGCCTTGAGCCCCGCCCACCACCTGCTGGCTCCAGGTGGACAGGTGAGAGAGCAGAGAGTATGAAGATCAGAGGTCAGAGGAGGAAACATCAGAGAGACTCAGCCACATGTTTGAGCCTCAGTCAGACCCAGACTCAGAGGAGGAGTCTGAGACCAGAACCAGAGACTAGCAGACGGGTCAGAATGGTTAGCACAGTTAGCATCTTTTTATCTGTTTATGTTGTTAGTTAGCTTGTAACTGGCTGACACAGTGTTAGCAGTTGTGCTAATGCTAACTCTCTCTCTGTACTGACAAGGTTTCAGGTGTATTTAGCCCCGCCCCCCGTCCCCACAAGGTGACAGGATTGGTTCCTTAGGATTGTGACGTATGAAACCCTGAATGTTTTTATGAGACTGTCATTGGTTCACTGCAGCTCAAGCTGGAAACACTCAGTCATTGTATTGACTGATTATTTCACTCATCATGTCTTGTATTATATAAAAAACAAAAAACATCTTACACCTGTCGAACACAAACGCCGCCATCTGGCTGCTACTACACTGGGCTAGCTATGCTAACACAACAACCAAAACAAAAGCAGAGACCAGGGCCGCCACTTAGCCCAACTCTACGGCAATAACTTGATACACACACACACACACACACACACACACACACACACACACACACACACACACACAGGTTTTAACCCCCTGGTGTGTTTGCTGTGGAGAGGAGGAAACCTCTGTGGATCATTCAGCTGCAGGTAAAAACCTGCTGAACGTCTGGTTCATGAGTTCTCAGAGAAACAGTCAGAACAAAGGTTAGCATCAGTCTCAACTCTTCCCTGACGTCTCGTGTTCCTCTGGTTTGATTGAGAGAAGTTAAATACTGTGCGGCATGATGTCGTCAAGTGTTAACATTTTATTGGGTCATTTAATCCATTTCAGTGTTAACAGAGAAGCAAACAGCAGATGTTTACAGCAAAGTAAAAAAATTCTTATCACAGATTTTATTTTATTTAGAAACATGTTTTTCTTCTTCAGTAGTATAAACGTGATGCAGTAATAAAGGCACAGGTGTAACCTACTTACTTCTGGACTTTCTCACTTCCCGCCTTCCCTATCGTTCCGCTTAATAAGATCTGCAGTTGTCATGGCAACGAGTCTGTCAGGGTGTACTGCTGCTGTCGGCACACGGGCCGACCAACGTCTCCACCTCGACGATCTCAGTCACCAGGTCTCTGATGAGAGCCACACTGTCCAATGGCGGCTCAGAACTTCCAGGTTGTGATTCGATTGGCTGAGGGTTTTGAAGAAGCTCCTCTTCCACTTGTTCCTCCTTTTCCTCTTCCTCTGCTTGATCTCCATCCTCTTCTGCTTCCTCCTCATCTTCTCGTCTTCTCTCAAGCTCGCCGCCTTTCTCTTCATCCTCTCCCCCCCGTTCAGTCTCCTCCCCTGCTTCCTCCTCATCTTCTCTTCTTCTCTCAAGCTCGCCACCTTTCTCTTCATCCTCTCCTCCCTGTTCAGTCTCCTCCCCTGCTTCCTCCTCATCTTCTCTTCTTCTCTCAAGCTCGCCGCCTTTCTCTTCATCCTCTCCCCCCCGTTCAGTCTCCTCCCCTGTTTCAGCCTCTCTCCCTTTCTCCTCTTTCGCCCTCTCCACCTCCCAGCTGTCTTTGATTTGTCCCGTCAGGTAGACGGCTCTGTCAGTGCTCTGCTGAGCCGCCGGCTGCGTTACAGAAGGTGCCGTCGAGTCGTAACTAATCGCCTCGTTCAGTGTCCCGAGGCTGATTTTCACGGGACTGTCGGGACACGGTGGGTGTGATGGCGAGGGGCAGGAGGGCTGGGTGCAGCAAGCGTCCTCTGATGTTTGATCTGAGGTAGCAGGGTTGTCAGGCGTTGCAGATCGGTCACTTTGAGCAGGTTCAGCTGTGTCATCTGTGGACTGCGGCGAGGACGGAGCGGAGACTGAAGGCTCAGGACTGTCCTGGATGGGATGAGTGGATTCTGGGATTGCAGGGGGGTCAGGTGTTCCAGCTTCACGTGCGGCGGCTGCATCTGAGTCAGGTGCGTCTGAGTCGGAGGAAGCAGCTGCAACTGACTCCATCGTCGACGGTGTGTCAGTTCCACGGTGAACGTCTTCACGGGTTTCCTCCACACCAGAAGCCTCCTCTGCTGCAGGTTCATCAAACTGTTGTGTGACGACAATCACAGGAGACAGAAGCACTGCGCTCGGCTCAGGTCTGTGAGCAGCACTGGGATCAGATTTGACCTCAGTGTTGAGTTCAGGGTCGCTCTGAGGCCGAGCTGTGACCGTCTGACCTCCCTCCTCCGCCACAGGAGCAGATTCTTCCTCCTCGCCGGGCGCCGCTGAGGACGGGTGTCGATCCTGAACGGCTGGGCTGCCTGGTGCAGAGTAAGGAGGCGTCTGTCCCAACAGACTGTACTGACTGATGGTCAGATCCGAAATGTCCAGTAAGAGATTGTTGCTCTTCTTACTGGCAACATCCTGGACCACTGAGGAGAGGGGAAACAGAGTTAATATAGTTATAATGATAATAATAATAATAATAATAAACTTTATTTGTGCAGCACCTTTCATACAAGACATGTAGCTTCACATCAAAGAAAAGACATAAAATGAACATAAAAACACGTTAAAAGCTTTGATCTAAAACAAAAAAATGTAAAAACATTCATGTAAAATGAGATAAAATAATGAATAAAATAATAAATCATTACAGAGACATTTAAGAGAGGGGAGTAAAAGAAGAAGGTAAAGAACGGTAAATACAGAGACTAAAGTAGAATTATATTTATGTTGTTTATGTGTGGAAGCTTTTGAATCAGCATTTACAGCAGAAATGTTTTAAAACTTAATATAAATGAAATAAAATCATATTAATGAATTACTATAGAAAGTGTGGACAAACTGGGATCCTTGATTTTACTGTTTCTGTCTGAATACACAGACAGACACCGTCCGAATGCCGTTACAATACAAGTAATAATAAGGATATAATGTCATCGAACCAACACATCACTTATACCGTGCGTGTGTGTGTGGTGTGAGAGTGTGTGTGTGTGTGTGTGTGTGTGTGTGTGTGTGTGTGTGTGTGTGTGTGTGTGTGTGTGTGTGTGTGTGTACCTGTTTCTATCTCCTTGCTGAGGATGCTTCTCAGCACATCATCATAGACGTTATGAACCAGGATGAAGCTGCTGTAGTCAGAGAAGATGTACTGCTCAAACTGCTGCAGCTCCTGGACACAGAAACAACAGTTAAAACTCTGTGGAAGCACAGAGATGAAAAGAGACTCGGTGAGACTCGGTGAGACTCGGTGAGACTCCAGCAGAGTGTGTGACCTACACTTTTCCACTTGATGTCCATCCTCCTGGTGAGAGCAGGCAGCGTGATCTCCAGCAGAGCCTCCTCATACAGCCTCCTCTGGACAACCCTGCTGTCGTAGTCCAGCTGCTGCTCACACACACGCACGCACACACACACACACACACACACACACACACACACACACACACGCACACACACACACGCACACACACACGCATGCACACACACACACGCACACACACACGCGCATGCACACACACACACGCACACACACACGCGCACACACACAATTATTATTATTAGTCTTAAACCGATGTGTTTTCAGTATGATTAGTTAAGGAATGTAATTCACATTCACCACTTTCCTGCACAGAATATATTTTATATCAAAGTCTTATTTTAGTTGAATGTCATATTAGCATTAGCATTAGCATTAGCATTAGCATTAGCATTAGAAAGCCTTTTTTGTCCTGTAAGCTCTGCATACAACAGAATTGGGAACAAAAACACATCATTTCTAATAAACTAAGAAAAATAATATAAAGAAAATATCTACAGATCATTCAGATATGAGTTGAGTATGTTTTATATTGCACAATAATAATATATGATGCAGTATTGATATATAAATAAAGTGCTGATACATTAATATGATATTGATATATAAATATATGATTAATATATAAATATAATATTGATATATATAGTATTGATATATTAATATAATATTGTCATCCATTCATTACAATCTCTTAATTGCACAAAATATTTTATGAAGAGCATTGATTTTAACAATTGTCTATACACAGTAAATATGTAACTCAAATTTAAAAACACATTTTCTACTGAATTCCTTCACAGAAGCTGAAATCACACGCGATGTGAAGGCGACGTCTCATATTGTGTGACGTCGTTCTTTACCTTCAGTACTCTCTCTTTAGCTCTCTCCATCTTGACAGGAACCTGCGAGGGCTGCAGTTTGGCTGATGATTGGAGGAACAGTTCGAAGGTGTACACAGCACTGTCCAACAGCTGGAAGACACGCACAGCAAACATCACGACACGGACTGAAGAGTTTCACCTGTGACTGCTGTGCTGAGGGAAAGGCCCCGGTGAGACTGGACCTCCAGCAGCAGGTCATACCTGCTCCATCTCCAGATGTGCCGAGTGCACCAGCCTCTGGACGCTGCTCAGCCCGAACCGCTGTTTCAAGTCTTTGAGTAACTCCGTCAGGTTCTTCACCTGCTTGTAGCACTGATCCAGACTGATGGAGCGCAGAGCGAGCAAGGCCTGGAGGACACACACACACACACACACACACAAATAAGACCGTAACCATGAGCTACAAGCAAACTACAAAATAAAATCACCTGGTAAAGACTTGAATCATAGATGCTTTTCTGGAAAGGTCTCTCACCTTCTTTGTCTCCTCTGATCCTCCGTTTGTGGATTTGAAGGCTGAGTCCATCTGTGTGTGGAGTGTGTGCTGCATCCCCTGAATCCCCACGCTTATGTTTTCTGTCAGCACTTCCAGGATGGAGGACAGGTAGGGTGCTACAGAGTCACTGTACACTTTCTCTGCTGCTTCACATATACACACTGGAACACACACACACACACACACACACACACACACACACACAGGAAAACAGTGAAGTGTTTGTCCTCCCACAAAAACAAAGTTCAGTCATTCTGTAGCCATGTTCAGACTGAAGCTCACTGCGCTGCACCTCTGACTTTCTGCTCCAGGAAACAATGAGACGACAGGATCTGGTCCAGGTTGGATCTGATGAGCGCCTGATTGGCTGATGCCGTCTGACGACACGCCCCCCTCAGAGCCTCCAGACCCGCGGTTAGCTGCTCCAGCACCAACGTGTGGGTTGCCTGAACCGTCTAATAACAGCATAACATAAAAACACTGCGTCACAAACACGTGTCACAGTTTTATAACATAAACTTTTAATTGTTTAAAACGTTGTGGCGTGAGCACGTGTGGAACAAAAGAGTTGAAAAATGAAAGCTGGAAGATTAAAATCAGAACTAGATGGAAATAAAGTCTCAAGCTGTGTCCGAAATCACTTCCTGTTTGCAAACCTTATGTGAGTGGCTGGATTCTGAGTGTGAAATACTGCACAGTAAACGCATCATTTAGTGGCCAAAAAGATTCACACAGTGGAATGAAAAATATTGTAACCATGTCATGTGCAAATCCCAAAATGCATTGCTTCACATTTGAGAGGATTAGAAGTTAGAGCCACGTGACACCAGTCAGTCAGTGATGACACTAAATAATGATGATTGACACGTGTCTGAAATCCCAAATTACTGCTCATTGTAAAGTACAGTGTTTATTTTTCAGATTGAGAATTTTGATGAAAATGTCTTTAAACCTGCAGTAACGTGTTTTGGCCACTCGGGGGCAGTGTAACAAGCAACACATGTTATCTGCCTTCTAACAATTTTTGTGGCTAAACACTGACGACTGGGCGTTGGCCTGTTACAGTCTTTAGGTGACAGCGTTTTATATCGTGTGTTACTGTCATTATACTGTTGATTCTCTGATTCCTGAGTCTGTTACTCACTCTCCTCTTTTACATTCAATCTGGCTCTAATGTCCCTTTAGCTGCTTGATGCTCCACTAGCTTCTGCAGCTAACCGCTAACTTCTGTTGAACAGCTCGTGTACACTGGGTTAATCAGAAACACATGTGGAAACATGTGGTGAGGCTGGACCAAAACAGTGAAGACACTGGGACCTAAAATCAAAACAATGAGCTTAAAGACACTAAAAGCTCAGTAGAGCTGCAGAACTGCAGAGTTGGACGTTGATTGTCTGTTCACATTAGAATAATTTGATCTGTCCTTTACTCTTTAATCTCTTGTCTGATTAAGGACAACATGTTGCTGGAGTGTCACTCGTCGTTCAGTGGATCATTCATCACAACAGACACGATTCTGTCTCACTTCATTATTCAGATGATTTTCAGTCGACAGAAGTTTATAATCCAAAAGTCTCTTTTACTCTGGATGCTCCAGCCGACCTCTTCAAGTGTGTGTGTTTAGTGTGTGTCCGGTCTCACTCAATGGAAACACCAGAAAGTCACAACATTGTAAAAAGTTAATGTGCTCGACTGAGGTGGAAAGGTTGCTGTATCCATAAAAATAAAATGTGACAAAGTGAAATGGAAACAGACTTGGCGAATAAACCATGACGCACTGAAACGTTCACTTCACTGCACAGGCAAGAAAAAAAGGAAACAGAATTGTTGTTTTCCATCGTTTCAACTTTGACTGGAGCTCATCCATTCCTTGTTGTTTGTCTCCATGTGTGCTGACATGTGACAGTATGAGAGGGAAACATCTTTTGAAGCTGCACTTGAAATGTGGTTAAATTTGATGATGAAGAAGACGAAGACTTTTCTGTTGTAAACAGGAAACAAACGACTTTGTTCTTGAAATTGACAAAGTAAATCACCAACTCTGTGGCTGGATAAAATGAGGTAAAGACTAAATGCTTGTTTTTCTCTGACAGAACTGTTTCATTGAACTGAATAAACACACCATGTAGTGCGTGCTGCCTTCAAGGACCGTCAGAAAGTAAGTTAAGCGCATACGAATGTTTGTCAGAGCACCACAACTGGAACATCCCTCCCACCCTTCTCGTGTGTGTGTGTGTGTGTGTGTGTTTAACTCACTGCGAACCACTGTCGTATCCTTTCAGCCTTCTTGCCCTTCAGTTTGGACTGAAGCTGACTCTGTAACCATGGCAACACTTCCTCCATCACCTGGGAGGCCAGCACCTACATGATGTGCAAAAAAAATAAATAAAATAAAAAAACACAGGAGACTGAGCAAGTCGACAAAACACCAGAGATGGACATGAAGAGTGTGTGTGTGTGTGTGTGTGTGTGTGTGTACTGACCTGTTCCTCAGTGCCCAGCAGCATTTCCCAGGATTCATAGCATCCTTTGTCCTGCCGGTAGAGGAGCAGCGCTCGGATGTACGCCTGGCTCTCGTAGGAAGACTCACACCAGGGGTCTGCAGGAAGTGATGACTTACGTTACGACTCTGGACTTTGGTTTCAATCATGTTCAGTTTCTTCTGTCAGTAAATCGTCCTCGCGCTCGTCGACACACATCTGACGAGGTTTAGTCACAGGGAACGTTTTGTGAAGTGACACTAATCTAGATAAACTATGGTCACACTCCCAGTGCCTGTTACAACTGATTTGAAGATCTGACTATCGACTCTAAAGCTCCTCTCTGCTTGGCTTCATATCTGACCTCTAAACATGAACCAGCCGAGGTCTGTTGGTTGGTCCTGAGGTTCCCTCTCGCTGGTGACTCTGCCTTCGGTCTATTTGCACTGAGACACTTTAATTGTATTTCTGATTTGCTTGTTTTAACTGTTGCCATGGATGACCTCCATGTTTTAGTTTTATGCCGCTTTGTAACGCGGGTTGAGAAAAATGCTCCATAAATAAAGAACTACTGTTACATTATCACTGATGTTGATGATGCGTCCTATTCTTCTCCATTGTGCATGTTGCCTCATAACCACAAACACACACACACACACACACACACACACACACGCTATTCTAGTGTTGCTATGTTTAACGGTGTTGGGTTTCACATCTCTGATTATCAACATTCCTCTGTTCTGCTTTTCTTCTCATTAGTCCAGTTCTCCCTTGAGGCCTTTGGACTTTCTCTTCTTACTAAATTATTGGAAGAAAATAAGAGGAACTGAAAGCTCCTCCGCTTGCTGAGCACGCTTCCTGTTAATCATCAACACCATCAAGCGCTAAAGCAGCTAAAAACTGACCGGCGTGACTTTGTTTGTCCACTGACGTCACTGACCTGGGGCGTGACCCAGGAATACTGTAGACAAACGTCTCTGTTTGTTCGCTCACCTTGGTCTCACTCAGTCCGAACAGTGAGGGTTAATTCACGCACACACACAGGTTCATCCAGTGTGGACACATCATCTCATTTACAATTTAAATCTAAAAATTTAAAGGTGCAACATATAATTTTTTTTTAAACACCAGTGGTTCATAACATTTAATACATCAAATGAAAATACTGGGCTCCCTGCAGTCAGTGCCCTAATCAGTTTTCTAAATAACTACATGCAGCAGTTAACAAGCTGAAAATCACACACATTTGACTTTTCATCACCTCATAAAGCTGCTGTGGCTAATGTGTTAGCATTGCATCCATGAAACACACCAGACTGTGGAAGAATAGAGGGGGTAGTTTTACTTTGAAAGGGAAAATAAAAACCCAATAACTTAGTGATAATTCTCTGCGGTGACAGTCACTTTAACATTGTCATTCATGTAAAAATATCGACTGGTGCAGCTTTAAGAAACTCTCTCTTTAGGTGGAAGTACTCAACTTAGATGAGATGAATAGAAGGTGATATTTATACTTTATTTCCTACTATCTTAGTTTTAATTTGATCAGATAAAATAGATCAGAAAAGCTGAGCCCCTGGTTTCCTGTAAAGGAGAGTTGCTCTGCCGACACCAGAGGGAGCCACTATCAGTTTATCAGATAAAGTATAGTGTATAGAGACAATCTTATATTGAAAAAATAATTACTCTGGGACTCATAAGATCAACAGTTTCAAGTCTCCTCTAAAGTGAAATAGTCGTTGGCCAGCTGCATGTCACTTCCTGTTACTCTGGTGGCTGTGCAGATATGAACAGCCATGTTTTCGCAACCCGGTGACTTAAGGGGCTTGTTTTTGGTTCGTATCCTAGCTAACCACACAGGAAGCCAACAGCATTAATATTTTTATCTGTCACCAAGGCAACTGCCACCGCAAGTGACAGGTTGAAATAGGTCCAACTGACAAGAGCACTATCAGAAATGTCCTCAGTGGTGGGATGGTGCTTATGACTCACTATAATACTGCACTGGACCAAAGGGGGTCGTTCAAAGGCATGTAGTGTTGTGTTTTTCCCAGTTACTATTTAGTTATTTTGTTGTTCCAATGAACTGTTGATTGTTTTGATTAGAATTCATCCCGAGGATTGTCATTACTGCAGATGAAGTCAGGTGCATCTCCCAGCAGACAGACTCATGGACGGCCCCTGGCCCCAACTATAGTGCTCTTGTTTTGAAATCCTTTGCCAGGGAAGTGGCTCCTGCCTGGTAACCTTTCAGCTCTCTTTGTCTCTATTACTGTATTCACTGGTTAATTAAATGGCGTGACGAAAAAGGACAGTGGAAATTATATTTTGGCTTTTCTCCTGATGGCTAGCGGCCTCCAGTGACAATTCACAGTGTGGAAGTGAAACAGGAAATCCCTCTGTGTCATGATAGAAACCATCATACCGTGGATCATTTGTAAGACGATACAGCAGCACATTTACTTTCTCAGATCGGGTGAAGATAGTCGGCTCAGAGCTGCTGGAGCCGGATCTTACAGTCAGATATTCAGTGTCATGCTGAATATCAGCAGCCTGTCTGTGAAACTTAAAACTAGACTTTATAATCAACTCTTTTCAAGCAGCTCACAACAGGAACATAACGGGGCAAACAGAGTCCTCCAAATTAAACATGAGAGGCTGAAGAACTTTTTTATACATCGCTCTATAAGCTGACAGTAAAGCAGTATTATACTTTGTTAATTACTTTGAGAAGATTGACATGAATCTCAGGTATAAAACTGGCTCATGTGTTTATACATCACATGACCACAAATGTAAAAATAAAGAAATTGGGAAGCTATAAAACCATAATAAGTTGTTTTCATATTTCTCTTTGGATACAGCAAGTACAGCAGCTTTAGAGGTGACGGTTCAGCGTTTGGTTGTTTTAACTTTGGACATCGTTTTCCTTCGATTCCAGTCTTTGTTCTCGACACCATGTCAAGTGGTGATAACAGAATCGTGGCACACGAGTTTCCCTTTCTTCATTTCAACATTTCCATTACTCAGTCGCTTTGAAGACGTCATCCTTTCACAACTGGACCATCAGCGAGTAGAAACCACAAGCAGGAAACAACAAACTCGTCTCCATATGAGCGATGGTTTTAGAGTTTTACTTCTTGTTTTACTTTCATGATAAAAAAACCATTAAATGTTTATTTGTCTCAAGCTAAAAATATGGGATAATAGAAGCCACAAGTAGAGAAGAGTTTAAAGTCAGTAATGTCAATATGAATAGTTGTAAATCCCTCGAGCTTATTGAATCAAGGAATTGAAAAGAAAGACATTTTATTGTTGATGAATTCAATTTATGTGAGAGGAAGTGTTGATGTTTGAAAAGACTGGTATCAATCTTCTCATCTCACTCTCGGAAAGAAAACAAATAACTGTGTTTCCAAAAAATGTCCAAACGCTTCCTTTAGGACAACGGGGCTGCTCTTGTTGATGAGGGTCCTTATCTTTGGCTGGTGTGTTGCATTGTGGGACGTCACTTTATTTTTGTAATTTTTCTCGGGTCTGAATGGAGTTCACATTTCAAACACTGAGACTGAGTTTAAAACTAGAACACAGAGAAAATGTGTGTGTGAGTGTTTTACCAAGGTTGCGGTGTCTAATGCAGGTCTTGAGGGCAGACAGGAAGTGACCACGCTCCTCTTCCTGTTGGAACAGGAAGCAGGTGTGGCCTGTGTATGGCAGGTGCAAATACACAGCAAACTCGTCTGGAGATGACACCACCGAAGAAGAATCCTCCTTCGCGCCTAAACACGCACAATAAAGACACACACAGTTTATTTTCAACAATAAAAGCACCTGAGGTTTATGTTAATTACTGACAGCAGCTCTTGGCTCTTACAAATGCCTTTAATGAAACAACAAGTCCTAAAAAAAGACAAAATGGTTAAAAGAAAACAAGCATCTGTCCGGCGCCACAGTCACATCTACCCCGAAGACTTTGAACACTTTAAAACTGAATGTTGTGGTTTACAGCATAAAACCTTGGCCACACTTTTGGTGGTTGAACTGACCCCGATAGATAACAACCTGGGTTTCAGGAAACAGCTCTTGCGTGGGCCTGAAACCGTAAAGAGCTTTGTTGTTGAGCGTTGTTAGATCATGGTGAGAGCGTGCTGCGTGCTGATTGGCTCACTGATGCTGAACAAACCAGTCAGTCGAGAATGGCTCGGTGCGAATTGTTAAATACTATAGGAATAAGTTAATACTACCGTTGAGTATTCCAGCACAAGTTTGCTCCAGGTGAGCTCGGGACTCTTCCTCTGTGGTCAGCACGCTGCCCCCCGCTGGCTGGAGGACCAACTTGGCGACAGATCCACGGTTGAAAGTCTGCAGGTGGGAACAGAGGGACGAGTCAAAGTTCAACAGCTGCTAGAGTCAGCTCTGCTCTGATTTTATTAAATTATATTTATATTATATTATTTTATTATATGTGATATTTTTCAGTCACTGACACTTTGACAGATTCCACAGAGTTTTAAAAGAACGACATTAGACAGCAGCCGAGTGGCATGAGGTTATGTTTGATATAATACTATAATAGTCCAAGTGTATGATTAACCCTCCTAATGTGTTTACACCTGTAGTGTTTTGGGTCAAATTTGACCCGTTTTTTAATTCATTAATGAATACGGGAAAAAAAACACTAATTATCATCCAGTAAAATGTTTTAACTGCTTAAATAACTTATTTTTCATCCATAAATATAACATACATTCACTTACTTTGAGTTTTTATGTGCCTTAGACCTCGTTTTAACTCAGTGTACAAATCGTTTTTAGTTTAAAATAGGCACAATTGATCCATTTATTGCTTATGATGAAGAGAACAGTTGAATATATTATCAGACCATGACAGGCTGATGATAAACAAAAAAAATGATTCCCAAAATAACTTGTTTGTATTTTCTTATGTTTCCAAATTTGACCCGTTACACAAAGAAAAATAGTCAAAATGTATTTTATTATATTCAGTAGGTCATTGTTGAGGATATCATGAAGTCCTGTTTTGAAGATTGTGTTTATGTGCATGTGTGTCTCTCTGTGTGGTGTGTGTGTGTGTGTGTGTGTGTCTGTCTGTGTGTGCACGTGTCATAGTTACCTCCATGTTGTCATGTATCTCCACTGTGTAGTCTCTCCTCACGACAACGTATTTCTCTCTGCATTTCTTTCCCTGCTCCTCCCAGCAGGAGAACTTCACGTTGCCTTGGTACAGCACCTCCTCTGGAGCGCACTGAGGCTACACACACACACACACACACACACACACACACACACACACACACACACACACACACACACAACATGAATATGCAGGGAGAGTGAAGCAGTGTTGATCGATTGGACTGATTGGCGGGTTCAGCTCCTACCCTGCGTGTGAGCAACAGGCCCCTCCCCTCTTTCTTAGGCTCCACCTCCTGGTGTATGTGTCCGAAGTAGGCTGTGGAGTACTGCTGACGGTAGAACTCACTGAAGCTCTGGAACGTACCGTCAACGAGTCCTGGACACACACAAACACACAAACACACAAGTTTATTAAAAATCATGTCGTGCTGTATGAAGAAATACAAAACTGTCAAAACTCAAACCTGAACTGAATTAATCAACAGATGCCATTTACTGCATGAAAGCACTGGTGCATAGTAGCTTTAATTCAGAAAATGTAGATGTTAAACCTGCACAAAACAATATCTTTATGTTAACAATGCATTACAGAACCATACTTTGCAGCTGATCCTTCAGCCTTTTTTAGCTCATTGTTTTAGTGGAGCATTTCTGTTAATAATAACAATAATAATAATATTTTATTCATAAGCCTTTCAAGGAACTCAAGGAGACCTTACGACGCACAGTAAAAGATAAAAAACCAGTACGAGGCATAAAATACAAAATAAATTATTGTTGGAGACCAAAACAAAGCTTAAAGGAGAGGGGCCGTTGAACTATAGTAACTATTGGCTGGTGAGAAACAACTACAGGTGAATGGTGATGTTGCTGGATGTGTAATATAACTATAACAACTATTTTATAAGTTTGTTTTTGCTCTGTTGTTTTTTCTTGTCCTTGTTTTTCTTCATGTGTAGTTTGTCTTTCACTGGTCGTGTGTTCCTGTTTGTGTATTTGTGTGTTTTTACTCAATGCGCCCTTTCAATTGCCCCCTGTGGACGAATAAAGTTTCTTGAAGTGAATTGAATTGAAACCCGATAACAGCTGCCAACATCTGGGGCCGGTTCCACAGAGATCTCTCAGTGGTGTTGCTCCAGTCTAATGTGAGTCAGACTGTTTAGAAAATAAAGACTGACTCATTTTAAGGCAGAAACATTAAGACACTGAATTTTCAAAGTAAAACGTCCTCGTCGACACAAACGTTTTCTTATTTTGAAAAACATCTTAATTTACCAAGAATTCATTGTACCACAGTCTGACTTCAGATAGTAAATAGATACTGAATTTGTCCAATGAACAACTTGTTTCTATCACGTCACAATGATGCATTAATACACATTTATAGATCTATTAAAGAATCTACATTAATATTACTCTGTGGTTCAGGATGGTAACGTTCGTATTTATTTATACCTTTAAAGCTGAGTTTTGTCAGACGGTGGCAGGACATGAGAGAACTGTAGGACCACTCTCCCTCTGATGTGTTTGAATGTGGATCCGTCCTAATCTGTTGTCTCTCATTTGTTTACAGTGAACAGCTATTATCATGTACACTCTGTCGTCTGACTTTCATCTTACACACACACACACACACACACACAAAGAGATTAGACAACCCATAATAATGTAATAGTTGGAAATGGCTGTAATTACATTCTGGTTTGCAGTGGAGCTTGGTGACAGGATGCGTCTGTGCTGATAACATGTATAGGAATGCACAAAGAAATGAGCACAGAGACTCACAGAGCAAATCATTTTTGTTTCATTTGTTATTTTTGTTTTAAAGCCAAAGTTCATTTGAGGTTAAAATGATTTTATTAAGACTTTAGATTATAATTTCCCTTTTCATGGTACATCCGTTTTTTTTTTTAAAAAAACAAACAACTGTCGTCCTGGTGATTTACAATATCCCCTCGTGTTTCCTGTCTAGCTCTTCACTGACAACTATCTAATAAAGACCAGCGTGAATAGTTATGATCTCCCCTCTCCATCCATGAAGAAATACAACTACAGTCTACAGCCTCCAAAATGACCGAATCAACTCAAACTCATTTAATTTCCATTGAAAGAGAAAATATACAAGTGATGATGTGATGTTCCTTTTCTCGTCTGGAGAATGTGATTTGTAGGCCGGGGCGTCTCTGTAGCACCAAAAAAACCTATGGTGCTAACAATGCACAACAATGTTATGACAAATTTTACCTCCAAAAAAAAACTGCAGCTCCTACACTACACTTGGCCATATTGCGATTTCGATTATATTTCGATTAATTGTGCAGCTCTAGTGTAGATGTTATAATGTGTTCATATACAGGCTGTATATAAAACATGTTAAGACCATTAGACATGAACACAAACTGTGTATTTTAACTTGATATTAAGATCTCGAGCAGATACAAAGTGGAGGATAAACCAACGTAAACAGCACCAACACTTTCACAGTCCAAATGAAGCCTAACTACACTGCAACACTATTTGCCACTTCCACTATGACTAACAAGTGCCAATACCAGTCTGACCCACACCCCTCACAGCTTCTCTTGTGCTTGATATTCATATTAAAGTGTTAGTTTTACCTTTAATGTGGCTGATTTTGGCCTCATCCAACAAGCCAGAAGAAGATGCTCCCATACTGTCTCTGTTTCCCTTCTCCTCAGATGTCTGTAGAAAAAGCTTAATGTAGTTGTTTGAATTTGTGTTCGCAGGAAACCTACATGACAACTAAATGAAGTTGCTCTCATGTGTCAAGAGGGTTTTTTTTTTCTTTTTGCTCAGCTCATTTCCTCTGTGGTGAGATGGGCGGGTGGGACGTAGGTGAGGTTTAGTCACAGCCAGGAGCGGCACAACCTCACCATCTGCTGGTAGGTCTCCAGTCTGACAGTGTGACCTGTGGACCAGGAGAGGAGGCAGGAACAGAAAGGAGCGAAAAGCTGAAGTTAAGAGGAGAATAATATGTGATGAAGAACCAGGAGGAGAGGGGTGGAGAACGGGTGAGAAGACAGAGGAGGAAGTCTGGATTTGAAGAGGGAAGAAGAGAGTAGAGAGGGAGGAGTGAGAGAGAAAGGGAGGAAGAGAATGAAAGAGAGAAGAGGAAACGAGATGTGAAACCTTGTGTAGGTGAAGAGAAAGAGGGATGAGTATGGAGGTAGATTTTTTCTCAATATTATTTATGTGTGATCTGTCAATATAAGACACCCTCCACAAATACAAAACATACATTTGTAAACTCACAAAAAATATCCTGCAAATAAAAAACGGATCTACAAACAAATTTAACGAACAAAAATATATCTGTGAATACAGAATAATTAATTTACAAATAAATTAAAAGCATTAGTGAATATCTTCCTAATATTTACAACTTTCAAACAAACATTTTTGAATCAATCTTTCCTCTTCGCTTGTGGAGTTACCTTTTACACAGAGTTTTGAGACAAACCTGCCGGTCTGAATGAAAAACGACTTCAGTCAACAAGTGATCGCCTGCTGACGCCATTTCCGCTTTTCAAAGTAAGAGCACGCAGTCTTCTTTAAAGCGGTTGTATTTCATCAAATAATCGGCGACAAGTCACGTGCGCTACGTTAACGGTTGTAAGAAATGAAATGACAGAACCTGGTTAAAGTCTCTGATAGTTTGGCTTTTGGTGTTGATATTTGTTTTGTTAAGAAATGACATATTACAATTTTATTGTTCATTGTTAATAAGCAGGCTACGCTAACGTCAACTACTAAACCGGAACCCGTTGCCAGGGTGACAGTAATCAGTCCTGTTGCAGACTGAATGAAAGAAGGGTTCTGACATCCCATACTGATGAAGACTCATTGTAAATAGACCACATTTCATACCCATACAACCTGTAAAGAGATACCTGCTGTCATTTCTTTACCATTGAGTTTATTGTAATCATTCAGTCCATTTGCTGTTTACAGCATAATTGGTATTTTCTACATGTAGGCTACACTCAGTTATCTTCATTTGTCCTGTACAGTCACTGGAACAGCCAACTCATCTCTTACAGGTGGTAATAGTAAGGAATATGTCATAATGCACAATATATACTAAATAAGTGAAAGAAAGGTTCCAAGGTTCATGTACTATAACAAAAGTAAAAACTCCACGATTAAAGATATTTTTATTCTTATGACATCTTATTTATTCATTCAATTTACAGTATATAATTTTTGTATTGTTGAGTGGAATAAAGGGAACTCAGAAAGGATATAATGTAAACATACACAGATCAATGCATTTAGAAAGTATTCAGGCACTTTTCTTTTTTTTTTTTTTTAATTTTCTATTTTATATATATATATATATAATATATATATAACTATATATATATATGATTACACACACACACATTATTATTATTATTATTATTATTATTATTATCATTATCATTATTATTATCATCATTATTATTATTTATTGTTTAATTCATTCATCAATGCAGAATGGCGGCTAGCAGCTTACTAATGCTAATGCTAATGGACTCTACTATGTGAATGAACTGTCCAATCAAATTCAAGTATAAAAATAGGGTCAAAATTTTACTTGTAACTTCAGTGTCACACACTGTGTGGGAACTTTCAGCACCAAGTCTTATAGTTTTCTGCCTTCCATCTGTGCACAGACTTCGACAAAAGCACTTCTTTCACAGTGTCTTTGTGCTACCTCATCACTAATGTAATTTGTTCAGATTTTAATCAGTCTCTTTTACAAGTACAAAATGTCTTCTACACATGCACAATTACAGGTTTACAACGGTTGATTTACAACAACAACAACTACATTTGGAATAACTTGTGAACATCACTTTACAAGTTCAAATTCTTTTGACCCTAATTTGAGCCCATACAGATATGAGGTGTAGTCATGCCAATAACTTACCATTTCTTGCTGGTTCTGTTGTGGTGTGGCGCTGGCCTGAGGTGGATTCTGGTATCCCTGTGAAAACACATAATTATACTAAATAAAACAAACTTTCCATTGCAGGGAAAACCAGGTCATTTAAGGCAGCTGTTCACAAAAGAGTATTGAGTAACATTTTTAACTAAAATTTATTACACTTACCATTATTAACTCAGTCAGGTGCGAGTTATGCAGGAAGCTCCTGTCAGTTTCAAAGGAGGTAGCCGCACAGCTCCAACTGCAGGTACTGTTAACAGGAACCCTGAGACAGATTTTAAAAAGTTGGACTCAAATCGGATTCACGTGTAAAAACATGGTCAACATTTGTACTTGTAACTGCAGTGTCAAACGCTGTGTGGGAACTTTGAGCGCTGAGTTTTATATGCAGTTTTCTGCTCTGTATTTGTGCACATATTAACAAAAGCACTTCATCTTTCACAGTGTCTTTGTGAAACCTCACAATCACAGTGTGCTTTAAATGAAGTTATTGTAAGATGATGCAGGCTGCTTACCTTGCACCGTGAGAAGAAAACATTAAACCAAGATGGCGTCGTAAAGCGGCCGAAATGAGTTTCCTCCGCAGGGTGGCCGGGCTCAGCCTTAGAGATAGGGTGAGGAGCTCGGTCATCCGGGAGGGACTCGGAGTAGAGCCGCTGCTCCTCCATGTCGAGCAGGACGCCCAGTTGAGGTGGGTTCCGGGCATCTGGTTGAGGATTCCTCCTGACGCCTCCCCGGGGAGGTGTTTCGGGAGCATGTCCCACCGGGAGGAGACCTCGGGCCGACCAAAGGACATCAGCTGGAAGGGAGTTTATATCTCTTCGGCTGGCCTTGGAAGCCACTCGGGCATTCTCCGGAGGAAGTGTTGGAATGCTGGGGGATGGGGCCGTCATGGACCTCATTGCTGACGGGCTGCTGCCCCCAGCGACCGGGATCCAGGAAATAGCAGAGAGACGAGACGTAGACGAACGAGAACAAGATGGCGTCCCGTACGGAAACACACCTCAGAACTACGGTGTCCCACAGCGGCCAAACAACACTCGAACCACTTTGCTGAGAAAGTAAATTCAAAGCCTCCGACTCTGTCGGACTTACCTCCGGTACCGGGGCAGTTGATTTCTTCGTGCAGACAGCGTATAAAGCCTGGTGGGAGTTTCAGAGTGTTTGGACCGTGGACTGTTCTCAGAGCCAGGCATGGGACAACTGCGACCTTCCTGCTTTTTGTCTTTCGTATTTAAAGCAAAGTTGGCGCCTTTCGGCCGAAATACCCGTATGTGCGCAGTGCATTAAAGCAGACAGATGTGCGCACCTCTGGCTTTTCCCTCCACGCCCCGTTTTCTGTTCGTGCGATTCTGAAACTGTCACAGGTACGAAAAGTTTCTGCGTTTCTTTGTTCCCCAGTTTACTTTTCTTCTGCGGTTATTCAAATGATTCTGGCAAAGACTCGGCCGGGTCTGGGCCCAGAGATCCGGCTGAAGTGCGGTCCGCCTGGTTTTCCGAGTCCAGCAACCCACAACCAGGCCGGAAGCAGCCACCCGAGCTGGGCGGCCATTACTGTCCTGGCGGTGAGCCTGAAGATAGAAATCACAGAGAATCCATAGATTAACACGAGGGGCTCTGACTTTGTGAAGAATCGACAGATGTAATTTCCAGTAAAATATTGATTAAAAGTCAGAAGTGACAAATGAAAATGTGGAATGGAGGAATTGCATTTCTCTTTTTAATAGTCAGGCTACTGAAGTTATAGAGCTGAAAAGACTTTGAGCCACTAAGTTCCCTCACTAACCCCATAATCTACAGTAGCTGTGTAGAGTTCCTCCTAACAGCTGTCATCCAGATGTTGAATTGGATATAAAGCTTAAGATGTGAAACACTCATTTTAGTGTAAGAAATTACACAAATATTTTATGGCCTCGCAGCATCAGAGCCCCATTCATTGTTCTAGAGCAAACTGGGATTGGTTGCACATTTTAAGTTTCTCCCATTGGTTCCTTACTTTAGAGGAGAGTGCAGCACGTTCACAAATACTCAGCAGTTTGTTCTGGGGCTCAGGAATAACATGTGAATTCTTAAAAAAAAGGGTTGGATTCATCTTTAAATACACAATCCATAGGTCCACAATACAGACAGGGTGGTATAAAACTAATTTAAAAAAATGCTTAATTACAATTCATTAAAATCTATAAAAAACCTTCCTGAAATCTGGATAAAAATTACTTAAAATATAATTTATTTGCACCTGGAAATAGACACAGTTCGTTTTTTTTTTTTCGGTTCACCTGCCCAGTCCTGGTCCAGACAGTCAGTAGCGGTTCCCAGGAGCCCGGCCCACATGTTCCTCCGGCTGACTGTGACACCGCCCACTCCTTTTCCTCGGGGCCGAGTCTGGAAGTCAGTAAGTCGGATGTGACTGGATCTGCCGGTTCTGGAGGCGGATCCGAATTCAGCTGCGATCTGGATTCATTCAATGTGTCGGAGGTGTTGATGCGCTTTTGAAACCAAATACAGCTGGACTTTGGTTTGTGCGCGCGGAAGGTCGATAAAGTTTTGGGGAAAGTTTAATGTGGGAACCGGTTGAGTGTTGGGAGTCTGACCGGACCTGCTGAGTTATCTCCGGCTGCACAGACCTGATCGTTACCTGAGGACCTGTTCCCGCTCTGCTGCAGGAGACATGTGGCGCAGACTGTCACTGCTGATCTTGTGTTGCACTGTGAGAGGACTTGATGCTCTGGAGGCGGACAGAGGCGCGGACTCTTCGCGGGAGAAGATGCCGCTGACCGAGGCGGCAGCGCTGGGTAAACCGGTCCAGGAAGCTCCCTCCGCGGCTACACAGCAGGGGACCCCGGGGAGAGAGGAGCAGTCCGTGGCCGAGCCTCTGGAGGACGAGCTGGACAACCAAGAGAACATCATCAGCCAGGTCAGACAGAGTGATGTGTGCACTAAAAACTTCATTAAGAAAGTCCTTTAATGACTCATTGTGTTCAGAAGACGTTTTACAGACTAAAAAGAAGCATTTATCAATAAGGCATCAATTATACACACAACTACTTTTTCTATAGTATAGTATTTCTATAGTATTTAGTATTTTCTTCTCTTATTATATGATCTTCCCTGTTTAAAGTCCTTAATCGGTGGTAGAAGGTGATTGAATTGAAATGAAGTTCTGTATGAGCCATGCATTATGAAATAGATAAATAAATAAATAAATAAAACCCTGCTAATGATGAGAAATATTAAATTACCAGAACTTCGACCCAAGATCAGTTTAATTTCCCTCATTTGACCTCAAGACTTTTGTGTCTCAGCGGTGACAACTTGGTGCAAAATTTTCCATCCACTTCATAAAGTTCTTTTTTCCTTTACTGTGAATCTTGAATGTCTCATTTCCAACACTGTGACCTGTTAGATGCAGCAGCTCCTCTCTGTCATTTAAACACAACCCAAACAAACACACACAGTTTGTCAGTTCAGCTTAAATGACAGGGTAAATCAGAACCAGAGCTCTCTCTCTCTCTCTCTCTCTCTCTCTCTCTCTCTCTCTCTCTCTCTCTCTGTGTGTGTGTGTGTGTGTGTGTGTGTGTGTGCGTGCGTGCACCATGGCAACAGTTTGCATCCCTCTGGTGGTTGGTTATGTAATATCCTTCAAACTGTAGACGCTCCAAACCAAAATGTGGCTGTTTGTAAACGCCTGTAGCTGCAGATCAGCACACACTCACTGCTTCTTTCAGTTCTCATTCATGCGTTTCTGACTAATATAAAGACTCCAAAATAAATTCATATTAAAGTTTAATACATTATTTCTTTAAAGTTTCCCTCCGTCTGAGTCGAGCTGAAAAAGCTGCAGAGAGAGAAACTCAAGCCGTGTCCTTCTCTTTCAGCTGCTGAGTGATTACGACAAAGTGAAGACGGTGTCGTCAGGCTCCGACTGTGTTTGTCGCTGCATCGTTCGACCAATCAAACGCTCCGACTGCAGCCGTCTCCACGACAGCGATGACCTCGCGTCACCCTCCCAGGATTTTTACACGGTGGAGACGGTTACCAAGGGGACGGACTGTAAGAAGTGCGTGTGCATGGCTCCACCTTCAGCGGTCAACCCCTGCGAGGGAGAGTACAGGTTCAAGAAGCTCCAGGAGGCCAGCAAGGACAACATCAAGGTAGAAACCTTTCTGTCGGCTAGTAAAGACAAATCATTCCTTGAAGCAGTTTAGAGTTTGAACATGATGAAAAGATGTTTAATTCCTTCTTCTGTCTCTTGTCTGTGAAGCTGGCGACTATCATGGACTTGTTGGAAGGCTCTCTGTATGGCATGGACTTGTTAAAGCTCCACTCAGTCACCACCAAACTGCTGACCAGGGTGGACAACATGGAAAAAGTGAGGACGCCTGCACACACACACACACACACACACACACACGTGCACAGTACACCACTCTCTCAAGGCAGTAATTTCCGCTGGATATATGGACGACACGCCGCTCTCACTGTTCAAACACTCAGTTCGATTCACTAAACAGATCCAGATAAATTCATCCAGGTTGCCTTCCTCTGTCGTGTGTCTCAGCCCATTTTAAACTGCTTGTGTGTAAAGCCGCAGCACTCATATTGTTTTTATTCCTGCGCGCCGGCGACAGTCAGAGCGGCAGCCATGTTGTTTTCAGGTTGTTCGTCCGTTCATACGTCCGTCCTCTTCTCGTGGACACGATATCTCAGTAACGCCTTGAAGGAACTTCTTCAGATTTGTTTAAAAAAAAAGTTCAGCTGGACTCAAGGATGAACTGACTTGATTTTGGCGGCTAAAGGTCAAAAGTCAAAGGTCAAGGTCACGGTGACCTCACAAAATACGGTTGAACGCAAACATCTCCAGAACTCCTGAAGGGCATCCCTTCACATTCAGCACAAACATTCACTTGGACTCAACGGTGAACTGATTACACTTTGTTGGCCAAAGGTCAAAGGTCACAAATCACTTTATAGCCATTACTCAAGACTTCACGCATCAGTGCGAGTCTGGATAAACAGGGACGTAACCTGGAAGTAGTCTGAGTGGCGGAGGCGGTGACTTCATTGCAGCCGCTGTGTGACACATTTCAATATGATTCTGGGTTATTGGGAGTTTAAGGTGTTCCTAATAAAGTGCTCAGTGAGTGACGGTGTTCCATCAACAGCACATTAACCTCCTCCACCTTCCCGGCGCCGCTGCAGATGAATGAGTTAGATGTAATGGATCAGTTAGCTGGGGGTGTGATTGGTTGGTTTGCAGGTCGAGCTCACAGCTGCGTGGTCAGCTGAATTGCATATTGGGCGTCGGCAGAGGTTTGTTTCTCCAAGTATTTTCTACTGAACGACATGTTACAGGAAGTGTGTCCAAAAGTTTCATGTCGAGTTTCTCTTCAGACATTCTTCACTGTCTACCATCTGCCAAGTTAAAAAAAAACAGACAGCAGCTGTGGATATGAATTGTGTTTTTTGAGTGAACTAAATTTAATGTTCAACTCTAGGCCTTCACCCGTAACCTCACAGAGAGAGCAAGAGAGAAGGAACGAGCAAAAGAAAAGGAGAAAGAGAAGAAGAGCCAGCAGAAAAAAAAGAAAACGAGTGATCTGGGGAACGTGGGACAGAAAAGCCGAGCGCCTGCCTACACCAACAAGCAGGTATTGACTCTGCGAGCGAGTGAGAAGCAACGACAGACTCCCAACATCTTTTCACTAAAAAAATCTACTGAAAAATTCTTTGTAAACCGGACAGGATGTTGTTTGTGCTGTTGCAGAAGGATTTCGAAGGTCAGCCGAAGAAGAACCAGCAGCAGGACGGTCTGGAGCTACAGCAGCCGACCAGGAACAAGACAGGAACTCAGAAGCCGATCAAAGAGAAGACGGAGCCACGGCTGCCAGTCAAAGACAAGAGCAGCGTCGTCATCAGGGGCGTGACCTATTACAAGGCGGAGGAGGAGAGCTATAAGGAGGAGGAGAGAGGGAGAGGGAAGAGCAGTAAGTCTGACGTACTGATGCTGCTTTTACGTCACACGGTGACGACTATTACAAGATCTTCTCTCATGTTCCTTCTCTTACAGCGAACGTGACGGCGAACACCTCAGACATACTGATCTCTGACCAGCTCCCGCCCGCCAGGACGTCCCCCACCCACAATCCAGCACCCGCCCCCACCGTTGGCAGAGACTACAAGGACCCCCCACCGAGGAGAGCAAGCCAGCCCCCCAAAGATCCCCCCACCACCACCCAACAAACCACAACTACAACCAAACCGGCCCCCACCGCCATGCAACCCACGCCAGAGCCAACAACCGCCAAACTGACGACTACTTCCCAACAAACGACCACTCCCAGGACTCCGCCCACCACACCTGTCGCTCAGCGCAACGCCTCGGCTTCAGATACCAATATAGGTGCACCCACTGCTGCGCCTCCCACGGCGGAGTCTGCGCAGGGAGCCAGAAGTCGCCTCACCTGGACGGAGAGCCCGGCCGACCAACCCAAGACCACCAAAAAGCCCGGTAGAGTTCCCCGTACGGTTTAACAGTTAGTGAGCTGATGAGGTTTTTAGAGTCTCGACTCACTCTGTCGCTCCGTGTGTGTGTGTGTGTGTGTGTGTGTGTGTGTGTGTGTGTGTGTGTTTTGTGTGTGGTTGTGTTTGTTTGTTCCTGCAGGAGTGTGCAAGGACACCGTCGCCAGCCTGTCCGATCCCGTCCAGCACAACTCGTACGGCCAGAGTGAGGGAGCGTGGATGAGAGATGCACGTGGCCACGGCAACGTCATCTACCTTACCAGCGGTCACTATGGCAACAACCTCCTAGAGTTCCGAGACATGGAAACCTTCAAATCAGGTTTATGACTTGTGTGTGTTACATAGAAATTATAATTAGGTTATTATAATATTATTATAATATAATTATAATTAGATTATTAGAAATAACTAAAGAGACATTAGTAAGTTTCACAGTCTCAACATCTGTCAGTCTGACAGTTAAAGTTAGCATACATAGCAGACAAATGTGCTAATGTGGCTAATATATATATATATTAAATATGTTTTAATGACTAAATAAACGATAAAACAATCAAACACAGAGGCTTGTGTGTATAAATTTTGTGTGTGCTCTTCCGGCTCAGGTCAGGTGAGTAACACCTACAAGCTGCCCTACAGTTTCACGGGGACGGGCCACGTCGTGTACAACGGGGCTTTCTACTACAACCGTGCGTTCAGCAGGGACGTCATCAAGTACGACCTGAGACACAGATATGTAGCTGCCTGGACCACACTGCATGACGCCATACTGGAGGAGCAGGCTCACCGGACACAGACTGAAGTAAGACTCACGTTGAAACTAAGCAAATCACGTCTCAGAGATTCCTGTTTTCACACCTGCACAAGCGAATCGTACCGAGAGGGAAAACCAATCAGGGTTCGGTTGAACCGCACTAAAAAGCTCAGGTGTGAAACCCCCTGAGTGTCGCTCTGAGAGCTGGATATAAAGGTAAGGAGCTGGTATCTGTCCTGAGGGCAGTGACGTTGAGCGTGTGCATGTGTTTCTTCCAGGTGGAGTTCGCCGTGGACGAGTCCGGCCTGTGGTTACTCTACCCCGCTCTGGACACGGAGGGCTTTCACCAGGAAGTCATCCTGCTCACCCACCTCCGCCCCCGTGACCTCCTGCCGGTGCGCAGCTTCCGCACGGGCCTCCGGCGTGGTCACTACGGCAACAGTTTCCTGGTGTGCGGCGTGCTTTACGGCGTGGACAGTATGGAGCGTCGCTACGCCAACGTGACGTACGCCTTCGACACACACACGCTCACACACACCGTGCCGAGCCTGGCGTTCACGAACATGCACTCGCACACCTCCCAGCTGGCTTACTGCCCGCTGGACAAGAAGCTGTACGCCTGGGACAACGGACATCAGATGATGTATGACGTCACCTTCGCTTATTAGCGCGGTGGAGGAGACGGAGGAAACGGCGGTTCGACAGGTGGTCAGCGATGTAGCATCCGGCGAGACGTCCAAACAACGACGCTGAGGACAGAAGGAACAGCAGCTCTCTGCTCGGTGGCCGCGGATCTGTGTAACTGAACGTATTTGAATGAGAACCTCGGCTGCTGCTCGCCACACACACTAAAGTCAGAATTACCCAGCGAGGGCCTCGTTTCCCACGACTCAAGATCACAGTTAAGAGGCTTTTCTAAGAGCGTTTCCACACGAACGTCAGCCGTCAGTGGTGCTGAACATGACGCTGAATACATGTAAGGTAACTTTGTTTATTTAAAGCCGTGCTACATATCATCGACACGTCCATCGCGAGGCGACAGTGTTGTGAACGACACAAAGACAAAATGTTTTACACTTAAAACTGAACTCAGTCCTCCGCCTTCACGCAGTCGCCCCCTGGAAGGAAAGTGACTGACGGAGCTGCTGCTGGAGGCAGATGTTAAACTCCTCAACTCATATTCAACCTAAAAACGAGTCGCTACGTTTCCTGAGTGTTAGAAAAGGAAGAAGAGGGAGAGGACATCGGCTCAGTTACACAAATCAACCGCTGGACTAATTGGTGCTTTATCTAAACAGTACCAGCCATTTTACATTGAACATCACTTAACGACACTTAAAACTTCAATAAACGCTGTGGTTCTGTTTCCTCTCAGCCTCCCGCGAGTTGTTAATGTTCAATTATTTCTAAGAGCGTCCTCGGGGAAACTTCTCTTCAGCGTAGGAAGGTTCGTGAGGCCGACTTCACCATGTTTTTTGGGGGAAAACGAGGCTCAAGAGCGGGAGAGCAGAAAACAAGTGGAAATATATCAGTATACAGTGGGGTCCAAGAAAAGGTCTGGCACCACTTTCCCATTTAAGTGAGTGAATGGAAAAACGGTAAATTTCTTGTTTGGCACTTTTTGCCTTTATTACAAGCTGCGATGGGAGAGAGAGAGAGAGAGAGAGAGAGGGGGAAGTCAGGGAGAGAGACTGAATGGTATTAAAGTGGTAAGTGTGAGTTTTGTGTGGATTATATAAATGTATAATATTTCAAATCAGTCCTGTGTTTAAGATGTTCAGCTCCAGAGAGTCGAAGCTGATTCTGGTTTAAAAGAATAAAGTTTACAGACACTTTTCCAACATCACTATAATGCATTTATAATCAGTGTGTAATGAAGCCGCAGCCTCTTCTCTCATATGATCAGAACCTATACTGTATTTCTGTTTTTATAATGTAGGTCTGCTGAGAGTGTTCCTGTCATGTTCCACCTGAAGCTTTAGTGCAGGTGGGAACACGTGCTCCTTCCTCACAGCTTCACTTGTTTCAAAAAATATCCCAAGACAAGGTTGAGTTCAGCTGCTTTACTACAAGTTTTCCTTTTTGGTTTGTTAATTTATAATAAAATGTTTTGAAAAGGTCCAGTCCATCCCTCTTTCTTTCTTTGTTTCTCTCTCTCTCTCTCTCTCTCTCTCTCTCTCCTCTGCCGGTCTTGTGCAGCCTGCTGCGGACATTATTTCTGGGGTTGATTTAGTTTTCCTGGAAGCTGCCGAGCCGCTGGAAGAATCCCAGGGTGGAAAATAAGAGCGAGCTGGAAGCCGGCGAGCCTCTGACTCAGGACACACAGCAGAGCGCCGACATGTTAAAGAGCCTCGACTCACAGAGACGGACTGTGGGATAAAACTCTCAAATAGCAACTGTATTTCATCCCTGCCTGGCTCGCTCCTCTTTAGTCTTAATAAACTGAAACACTGAAAATTCAAGAACATAATTAACACAGTAAGAAACAGCAGGAGAACACATGGAGAGTTAATATCTCTGCTTCATGGACGAGTTCATGAGCCTCTGCTCCAGTCCGGCAGCTTCTGACATGTGGTGGAGGGAGGGGGTGGAGGGAGGCGGGGGGGGGGGTGACCACCCAGCAGGATGCAGAAGAAAGCTTCCCATTCACATCAACTGCACACTCACAAAGACTCGCCAAGTGCAATGAATGCACGTGTGTTCTCTCTACAACTGTCAGTTTTTAAAACCACTCCATGTACATGTGTGGGAGCATGAGGACCACACACACACACACACACACACACACAGCCAGTACAGAAAACACATGGTAAGGATGCTATCTCACCAAGTTCTCACACACACACACACACACACACACACACACACACACACACACACACACAGTATAATGTCTGGTTTAAAGATAGCAGTGGTATCTGCAAATGCATTCCTGACTTCCACTGAGCTAAAAATCTGCACAAAGAAAGAGAGAGAGAGAGAGAAGAAAAGGGAGGGAGGTTGTTCTGGAGGTCATGACCTTTGCTTCATAAATACTCCCACTCAAAGCTCCTTTATGTGGATGAGGTGAAAATCCACTGAAGGGATCAGTGGAGAGGGAAATAAAAGAAAGAAGAAGAAGAAATGTTGGTTGAAAAGAAGACTGGGAGAGACGAGGGTGAGTTCAAGGGACGTGGAGAAAAGTCCGCTCACATAAATAACGTTGAACGACCCAGACACGTGTTCGTCATGATTACAGTAATAAACAACGGTTGTGTTTACGGGACGGTCACGGGTTTGGTTTCGGTTGGGTCACAGGACGGCGTTGGGTTTAGGGAAAGGTCACGGTTTTGGGTTCAGATCCTCCAGTTTAGACGAACTCCTGCGTCACCGGTCACAAAAATACAACCTGCAGTTCAAGGTTGTGTTTAACGGTCACGGTTTCCAGCTCTTTACTTTTAAGAGTTACTCTGCATGATTCCCAGTTTTTAAGTTTTGTTATGTAACACAGTCAGTTCGGCCTCTAGCTCAAACAGCTGAGGAGGGAAATCTGGAGTCCGATCACACACTGGTCCCAGATCAGATCTGCATTTTAAAAAACTTTTAAAATGCTCTGACTCAAACCTCAAACTTCTAAAGTGAACAGACAAACCGGTGAAGTGTGTGCGTGTGTGTGTGTGCATGTGTGTGCGTGTGTGCGTGTGCGTGTGTGTGTGTGTTGTCAGAGTAAGTGAGCTGGTGCAGGTGGCTGAGGCAGACAACAATGATATAACAGTCGCGGCATGATGGAATAAAAAAAGAAGAAGAAGAAAATAAGAACGTGTTTTCCTTCAGTTTTGTTTTGTGGTCGAACTCGACGCCAAGATTTCTCAGTGCAGATTTCAGACCAACCCAGTCCAAGGCTCCCATCAATCACTCCCAGTGAGAACAGCAGAGACGGGACTGATGGAGAACATGCGTGCACGGTGGACTTTGCACAGTGAGTCGGTCTCTTGTGCACGTTACAGGTAGATTATTAGAACATGTTTTATTTTTCCTCAGGGTCGGGCTGCATGAAGCAGAACTTAGTGTGAAAGACTTAAAATCCTTTTCTCTTCATTACAGGTTATTACATTAAGTATCAAAAGGAGGTGAGGTCGTTTTTCCCTCCCAGAGTCAGAAACTAATAAAAAGCCTCAGGAGAGACATTTTATAAGTGTTTGGTTTATTCTCAGGTTAGGACAAACAGCGGTGCTGGGAAACCTTGGCTCGGTTGTTGAGTGTCTGTGGCATCAAATAAGATAATCATGATCCCACAGGCATCCAGGAATGGAGTCAAACAAAGCAGGTAAACCTTTAAAAAGACTTTTAAAAGCCCTGCTCTGAACTAATTTATGTTTTATGATCGGTGTCAGCCCACTGCTCCCACTTTGATCTTCAGCTTTTATCATTAGAATAAAATAAAAAACTTGGCTTTAGTATGAAACAAAGGAGTATTATTGTTTTTCCTGACTGGATCAAAGGTTTTGTGCGCCCCAACTCGCCACGGTAAATGATGTGATGTAAGGGGGGGGGGTCAAGAGGTCACGGTGGTTTGAATATCACGGGTTGCATGTATGAAATACAGGGGACTTTGCTTCAGTTTCCAACCAAACCTTCAGGGCCAGCAGACAGGAAATACTAGAAACCAGAAGAGACGTGAGCGGTGAGAACAGAGGTGAAGAGAGGAGGAGAGGGATGGAAAATAATAGAGGGGAGAGGAAACAGAGAAGTGGAGATGAGAGATGAGAGGGGAGAGCTAATGTGTCCCCCAGACATCAGATCTCAACATCTGGTTTGTTACTCACGGCGTCTCAGACAGACGGATTGGAGAAATACAACCGGAGCACCGTCGTCGCGGTCGAAGCTAAATGACGCAACGACACAAAAACGACGAGCAGCTCATTTTCAGGCCGAGGAGATTTAAAAACCATGAAGAAGTGCAGGAGAAGTATGAAATAGTTGGAGGTTGGATGTTAAATCACACTTTCAGTCGCGCACACACACACACACACACACACACACACACACACACACACACACACAATGGAAAAATCACTTTGTTCGCCTGGTCTGAAGGAAAAGACAGAAATAACCTTTCCTGGAAAGTTGCAAAGGAGTTCTCTCATGAATCTGCAAAATACTGCCACGGTTCACTGCCAAAAACCCCTCACATTATACAGTCTCAGGAGTAACGACCCAGACCACAATTAGTGAAAATCACCTTTCCTTTCCTGTGACAGTTAATCAGAGCAGCAGATCTCTCCTCGCTGCTTTTTTATTTTTTGTTTTTAAAGTAGAAATGCTTTCTAGTCCCAGATACAGAAACCGCAGAGTCACAGAGGGCCCGAGGGTTTGACTGTGACTCACATCCTCCATCATGTCACTCCTTCTCTCTCCCGCTGCTGCTCCTGCAGACTCCTGCAAACTCCTGCAGACTCCTGCAGACTCCTGCAAACTCCTGCAGACTCCTGCAGACTCCTCACAGGATCTGATGACAGGAAAGCAGGTTAATGAAAGTCATGTCGTGGTCTGGTGCAGAGCAGCCACAGGAAGTGTCTCATCTGCCTCATCTGATCCGTTTGTCTTGTTTCTACCTTTCTCTGGCAGCTGACCGTCTGCAGGAAGCCGGGGCAGAGAGGGGCTTATAACACGGCTGCCACCTGGCTGGTTATGTGTTCTGTGTCTTATCCACCAGACTTCACACATCATCATTTAATCCCACTTTTAAATCAAACGCAAATCTAATCCCCTCCATCCCGTGACTTCATGCAGGAAAATGAAACGACGACTTGCTCCGTCTGCAGGAGATCGTGACCTGACAAACACTGACTCAAACTTTCTCTAAAGCGTCTGAAACCATCAAATCAATAAAAAAGATTCACAGGAGGCAAATGCAGCATGTTTTTAATTTTAGTAGCTATTAGAAGAAGGTGAACTAAAGGGAAGCACATGGTCAGCAACAATACTCTCCTCTCTGTGCTGCACCATCGGGGGTCTTGGGACCTCTCCCTCCCTCCCTCCCTCCCGGCTTTCAGGGCCTTATTCCAGATGTTTCGGATGTGGATCATCCTCCTCCAGGAGTCCCAGCCTCCTCCTCCCTCCCTCTCTCTCTCATGGTGGAGAGAAGGTCGTGCGGCTCAGGTCCGATCTGTGGGCGACACCTGGAAGTCATAGATTAGAGATTAGATTAGATAATGATGTCATCCTGATTGTCCACATCTGCTCGTGCACATTACAGGGACTCCGTCCTCCTCAGGTGCTCTTCTCCCATTTCAGCCTCAGGTCAGGTCAGTGAGAAGCTGCAGGTAAAAACTTTATGGATTTATTTTTTGGAAGGGGAGGTGTAAATGTTTGTGCTCATCAGTTTACATACAAGTATAATAAAAAACACACATGCAGCAACATGAGTTAAACCCAAACTGTCCAAACACACATTCCCCACACACACACACACACACACACACACACACACACACACACACATACATACAGTAGTGTATACAGCTGGAGTGGAACTCCCCTGTGATTGATTCCTAATTCCAGAGCTTATGAGAGAAATGGAAAACCCCCCCTCCCCAGTCCTCTCTCTTTTCTCCTCTTCACACATTTTCACTTCACCTTATTTAAACCCTTTTTCCACCTCTTTTACATAACCTCTCTCTCTCTCTCTCTCTCTCTCTCTGCACTATGTTTCCAGTGTGGGCTCCAGGTTTCCAGGCGGCTGAGGACAGTCCTGCACTGATGGAGCAGCATCATTGACGCCGCTCACCGTGACAGTCCAACGCTGCTGACCATGAAATATGATCCGACACTGTCACTGAGGGTCAGAGAACCCCACGGCTCATATTTTACGGTTTATATAGTAATAACAACATAATAATTACCCTAAATCACATTTTCCAGAACCACAAAATGTCTCGACCCAAACCCAGGATGACGATGAATCCATACACAGCTGTTTTATTGTGTTAACTTTCATAAAGAAGTCTTGATCTGTGATTAGAAGAAAAATCATTTGTGATTGTTTTATATTTTATGACACTGTTTCACCACGTTCATCTGTTTGATGCTGACAGGAACTCAGCTCTGCCCGCAGCTCTTTCACATTAAAAGTCTTCCACTGGTTGAGCCTCGTCTTTGTTGAGAGGCTTTTCTACAAGTGGCTGTGGAGATGGTGGAGATGTTTTTACTGAAGCCGCCATCTTGTGGAGCGCGTGTGTTATTACAGATGATGTGAGCGTGGGCCTGAGAGCCACCAGTTTATCAGTGGTAGCTATAATCTATAATCTATATCTATATCTGTAACACCAAATCATTGAGTCAAATTAGTTTGTTTACATCGGATCAGCTGTAGGCCACATGCAGTGACGGCAACACTTCAGATAGAAACTAAACAGGAAATATGTTGCCATGGATACAGTGAGTTTTTTTTTTTCAGCTCAAGTTTGTTTAAATTTTGTAAAATGAAGAGAAGTGAATTATCTATTTAACTATCACTGACTGAGGAGCTGCTGCTTCTTCTTCTCTGGTTTCGGATCAGATTCATGGAGGTTTATTTACAGTGTTCTCATGTCTGTGCTCAGGTCAGGGTGAATGATCTTATTGATCTGATGCGGTTTGGAGATCAGTTTGAGTGTCTGGATACGACATGAAGAGCTCTCAGCTGCTTTTATTTTGTTAAAGTAGCTCAGAGTTAAAAACCCTCTTATATATTATACTGGTATATTATTCTAGATAGAAAATACAATATATTATTCTCCTATTAGATTGTGAGAGCTATACAACACATTACTGAAGCCTGTCTGAATACACTTTATAAACTGACCAATGAAACAGGAATGTCACTCAAATAATTCTCCACACAAGCAACGTTGCAGATTCATTTACTCAAAAGTGTCTTTTGATATTTACACGTATGTATTTCATGTACAATATGTGTGTAACGCAAAACAGTCAGACGTCATAGTTACACAATAAACTGGTCCTGTTGAGAAATTCTTTAAACATTAATCCTTAACTGGATTATAGATTGTTTTGTTTTCTGCCTGCAGAGCGTGTGTGTGTGTGTGTGTGTGTGTGTGTGTGTGTGTGTGATGTACTTGTATATAGGACCAGTTTGAGTCTGAGGTTTTACACTTGGTGTTTTATTTCCGTATGCTCAGTTGTCGGATCTCGTCCACTCTGTTGCGGTGCAGCTGGAAGGCCGGAGTGACCCAGCGGCCGCAGGAACACTGATCCCCACACCAGTTGAAAGAGCCCAGCTTAGAGCTACACTTAGGACACAGCAGCTGCACACAAACACAGGAGGAGAGAGGAGGGAAGAAGCATAACGTGAGCGCAGATAACCAACCCAGCTGCTCCTCTCAACGTCAAAGGGGTTCGAGGGTCGAGACTTGGTTTAATGGTTAAGGTTTTAGCTGAGGGGAAGGGGTGGGGTCAGGCATTTAGTTGTGACGGTGAAGGTTAGAATGGGGGGGCTAGTAAGTGCTTATAAGTTTTAAACCATGGCGTTCGGACACGTTGGGAAAGTGAAGATGTTTTGGCCACTTCTCATTTTCTGACACCTTCAAACAGCTGTTCGAGAGTCAAGACCATGGACGGTAAAATAAAGATGGACGTAGCCTCCGTGACGTCACCCACAGGTTTCTGAAGAGCGGTTCTGAAGCTCAGAGTGAGCTGCTCCACCGTCACCATCTTGGCAGTGTCTGACTCCGCCCCCTAACTCCCGGCTAATCCAAAAATGGGCAAAAGAGGAGGGGTCGAGACGCCCTGAACGCTCCATAACTTTAGTCCTTAATAAAATGTAAACAGGTGAGTTATATAAACAGGTGAGTTATATAAACAGGTGTCATGAAGGAGGAAATTAGCTCTAGAGACCGTAAGTGTTTTTGTACCAGGCTGTAAACATGTTTATTTCTGCTGTAAAGTTGCACATTTTAACATGGGAGTCTATGGGGACTGACTCACTGTTGGAGCCAGACTCTAGTGGCCATTAGAGGAACTGCAGCTGCTGGTTCTTCAGTGTTGATGCTTCATGTTTCAGCCTTGGAGGTTGATGCTTGGTCAAGTCATTGCTTTAGGGTTAAGGGTTAGTGTCTGTGAGTGCGCAGGTGTGCATTACCTGTCCGTCCATCACGCCAAGTAAAGCTTGTTCCATCCACTGCACCGGCTCAATGAAGTACGATGTGCACTGGACGTCTCCTAGACAACAACACATTTTCTGTCATTACTTATGATACACTACAAGTTCAGTGTGTGGGAGAGTCAAAGTCCCGCCCACACAGCTTCTGGGTGTATACTGGTGTATACTGGTGTCTTCGTACCAGTGAGGTTACCGGACTTCTTGTGCCCGAAGGCTGACGCTCCTTCTCCTACTGGGTGACTCAGGATACTGGAGCCACGGAACAGAGTTCGTCTGCAGAGGAGGTGGAGATAAGGAGTCAGGAGGTGCATTTCCCAAAATGTTGAATTATTCCTCTAAACTCATAAAAACATATTGATGACAAAAGGATTAATGAAGCAGGGAGGTGCTCCAGAAGAAACAGTGACACTTCCTCGTGGAAGGTCTTTGACTTTTTGAAATTCTCCTCCAGTGAGTCACTGTGTGAACTTCTGCACCTGTCACCTGCATTTCCTGCAGCGATATGATACTTCAGAGGAGCTGGAGTGGGCGGGGTCAACGGCAAACAGCTCCCTGGGAACCTGCTGCAGCTCTACACACACACACACACACACACACACACACACACACACACACACACAGAGTTGGGACAGAAAATGTTCAATCAATAATCAAATAATGATGAGTTTAGGTGTGTGTGTGTGTGTGTGTGTGTGTGTGTGTGATTACCAGGGTACTTCTCAGTGATCTTGGTCAGTCTGTATTGTTTGTACAGAGGACTGGAGGAGTCCACTTCACAGTTCATGGCCTCATACAGACGCAGCTGCTCCTCAAAGCCAGTGTTGACCCTGAAACACATCACCAGCTCTCAGTGACCTGCTCTGCATCTAATGACGATTACATAAACACAAACATAGAATATAAACCCTAAAAAAAACCCTCAGGTGCAACGACCTCTCTCTCTCACACACTCACACACACACACACACACACACACACACACACACACACACACACAGGCACTTACTGTACGTCCTGTTTGACGCTCTTCAGTCTATGGTAAGCCTCAGTGAAGCCCAGCTGGTGTCTCTTCATTAGATAAGCGGTCACAATGGTGGCACTGCGACTTCGACCAGCCTGGCTGACACACACACACACACACACGCGCTTTCTGTTTATTAGTTTACCACGCAGCATTATTTTCTTATTCACGGTTTCTATCCCGGAATCGGGTAAACGTGTAGTGGAATTATTGCACACTCTTGAGATGTTAATTAAAATGAGAAAGAAAAAAGGAGGATTGCAACTTCACAAATAAAGAATATGAAAGAAACATATGTAAATGTGATAGTTCAGTTTTTCCTTTTTAATAAATTAGCAAAAAAAATCTACGATTCTGTTTTCACTTTGTCACTATGAGGCACGTAGTGTGAATTTAAATTATTTTAGAATAAGACAACAACATGAAAAGTGATAAAGTGAAGGGGTGTGAATACTTCCTGACTGCACTGTGACCAAAAATAAACCTGCTAACAGTCACCAGCAGAGAACTGCTGAATGACACACGACCAAACCTTCGTCATTAGGTTTAAACATTCAGTTTCTTTGGTGACAAAAGTAAAATGCTGGATGGAAATACATCAAGGTGACATGATGGAAGAAAAACTCTCAGGACATCCCGCTGACCTCTGACCCCTGACCCTTACCAGTGAACAATTGCCGTGCGGCCTCCATCCACAGCCTCCCGAATGAACAGAAAGCAGTCGTCCATGTGACTCAAGAGATCAGAGGTCACCTCATCCAAAACGTTGACCCACTTCCTGTGAAAGCCACCGTCAGCAGGAAGTAGACCGGCGGGGTCGACAGAGTCCACAGACAGGACATGAGTGACGGCTGCGTCGGCCAGCACCTGCCTGTCGTTGAGATCAGCTGCGGTGCCGATGTAGAGGCCTGGGTCCACCAGGAGCATGACTGCAGAGACAGACAGAGCTGACACCCATCTACTCTTAACTGGATGTTCAGTTACATTTAATATGAATACTCTAGAAGCTCTCATGTATCTGACGGGCTGCATATCGGAAACCTCAGAAACCTCCGACCAAATGAGATGGTCTAGTGTTCTTCGTATCCTACATGTTTGTTTTTCTTCCTGTTTTTTGCTTCTTTGTATAATAGAGCATTATATCTGTTAGATATTTCTGCTGTGAGAAAATGTGGAACTTATAGACTGAAGTTCAATGTGTCAATACAGGACAATTAGAAAATATTGTGTTAAGATATTGCAATATATGTGTTTTTTAGATTAGTTTTATGAAGGAAGCTGAATTGTTTTCCTTAATTTTGTATGTATATGTATTTTCATTTAATAAGAACATATTTTTATATATCATATATCTGCCTGACTTCTGGTATCTGTTTTTTGATAATTACTGAAATACTAATTAGACACCTTTCAGACCTACAGCAAGTAATAATTATATTAACTGAACTTCTTCCAACTCCTGCGTAAACTCAGTTCAGATCTTTATATGCACTTGATGATGCTAACAGTACTGTCAGTTAACTCACCTCGTTAGCTTAGCTTAGCTTAGCCTCTCCGTGGTTTAAACTCTACCAGTGAAACCTGCTCGTTAGATTTCGGACCGAACATTAACGAAGTGAAGACTAGCCGAGAACAACAAAAAATAATATGAAGTTCAATAAAATAAAGTGAACGCGCTCACGTTGGTATTTGGTTCGTCTTTAAATCTGTCCGACCGGAAACCCATACTCGTGTCAAAGTCAGTTCCGGTTCCCTCAGATTCTTCTTTCTGTGTAAGACGGTTAACGATTAATAAAACAATTAGGTGTATTACCGCCACCTACTGGACTGGAGTGTGGACACCAGACTATAAATAATATATACAATTATTGTACACTCTTTAGTTGTTGATTAAAATTAGTAGGAAACCTGTTGGTATAAATCAACAGTTTGATCTGGATGGTTTTCTGGTTTGGAGTAACGTTTAAAAATGCTTTGGAAAAAAAATAGAAATAGTGGAAAATTGAAGCCTATGACATGATGGTCAGTTGCCGATATTTTACGACACATTAAAGGTTCTAAATAAAACTTTCCTTCCTACATGGATCAATCTGAAAACCCAGACTTTTAATATCAGATACAAACTGAGTGGCGACAAAGGTTTTACATTATCCCTGTTAGAATTCACCAGTTTAATCCCGACATTAATCCCATCAGAAGCTTCAGATGTTCTGGAAAAAAAATTATTTTGCTGATTTGTTTTTCCTACTGAAGCGACATGATGTTTATTACATAACACAAACTAACTCGTTCCTGTGTGTTACAGGTCAAACATGTACCTTGAATGGCTGTGAATAGGGAGGAAGAGTAAGATATTGTTTATTTATTCTATTTTTTTTCTGTGTCCAGGATGTTCTTCTGAGATGTATATTCTTATATTTCTGTATCATATCTCATGGTTGGTTAAGTTCCTGCTTCCTTTCTCCTCGGTGCTCTGTTTATTCAAAGTCAACTAAAATTTAGTTTTGAGGACAGAAAGTTGAAAATCGAGTTGGATGGAGTTAGATGGAAGCGTGGTTCATACTGTATATTAATTCAAAGAAAAATAGAATTTCACATCCCCCCAAAGAATAGAAAAATACTCAGACCTATTAGTAATATAGCCTAGTATAATATATTACTAAAACAAGGTATATAGAATATTATAAACAATGGAAATCTCTATGATTTCTACCAATTTAAAACTCTTGGAACAAATATTTAAACGTTATAAAATGGACAATTATAAATAAAAGAATAACAATATTATGAAACAAATATTTCACAGTAAGTTGCTGAGGTTCGACGGTTTGAATTAACTGACCACAGCGAGTAAACAAAGGAGAACATTTTTTACCGACTCGCAAAACTTCAGCTATAAAGCTGAAATAATGAACAAGTGAGGGGAAGATACCAGGAGCATGAGGTAAAGCAGGCGGACACTGGTCAGTCCCAGCAGAGGGAAGCATAAAGTGAACGCACATCTGCAAACATCACATCTGACTTCAAGAACTGAACTGACCATTAAATGTTGTTGCAGAATGAATCTCTGGTCTTTTCTCTGTTCTCTTTGCCAGACACTTTAAATACTTGTTTCATAATGTCTGTCTGGCCTCCTGCCTCTCAACACCTACTGAGTATGTGTGTGTGTGTGTGTGTGTGTGGTGATCTGAAATGCCTGCCAGGGTGCGTCCCACTGTCTGAACATGGTCACAATGAGGGGCGCTCATAAAGTTTCACAAGCTGCTTTAATCTAACCGTCTGACCAATCACAATGATTCACGACGACCACGCCGCTGCCTCAGGCCTCATTAACACTGCCCATCAAAACACAGCTGAGTGTGGGAAATGAAGGAGCAGCACACACACACGCACACACACACACGCACACACACACACACACACACACACACAGTGAGTGAGCACCGGCAGGTGAATGGGAACAGAGTGGGCGTGATGACTTTGGTTTGCTGCAGTGACTCAGTGACTTTGCATTATGGGAATATTTTTCTTTTTGTGTTTCTGGTTGATGGATTCATTTAAATATGTGAATCCCTTCTACTGCACATATTGTGTTGTCTTTGCTGTTTCTTTTGAATTGTTTGTTTTCTAATTATCATTATTATTATTATTAGTATTTTTTTAATATATATATGATCGTTACTTTTTACGTCGAGGTGACGTTTTAACACACGCACCTGGATGGGTTTCTCACCTCACCTGCACATGCACTTCCCTGTACACAACGTATTTGTAATGTTTTATGAGTGTGAATAAATAAATGAAATACTTCATATTAAACTTCTGTTTTTATAAAAGATTTTCAGTTATTTTATAGCGTCTTTTTGGTTTGTAAATAAAATGCAGTCTGTGCGTCGCTGTTGGTGTTTCATTCAAATACGGTTTGATCCACCTCTGCTTTACATTTAGTTTGTGACTGAACGTCCTCAGTTCAGCTGCTGTATGTCATAAAGACAAAAAACAAAAGATAAAATAACATCAGGAAACATCCAGCCCAGAAATACCAACACTGGTGACAGCTTTTAAAAACGTAATATACTCATATCTAACTTTCAGCATGAGAGATAAGAAATAAGGACATAATAAATGATAAGGAGGTAAATAAGGTGAGATGATGATTGGAAACTCAACTATGAATTCAACTTTAATCTGTAAAAAGATAGATTATATTATATTATATTATATTATATTGGATTATATTATATTATATTTGATTAAATTAAATTAGATTAGATTAAAACACACTCAGGATCCTGTTCAAAAAGACATTATAACTGTATTCTGCGGTCTGGACTTTGGGAAAAGTAGTTTCACTAAATAACCTCAAGGTCCTCTTACTAGCTTTTTTTTTCAGGACTTTCAACCACATCTCACCGTCTTCATCTTCAAGTGAGCCAAGTAGGAAACGTCAGCCGCGTGATTATACGTTGTGATTCGTTCACTTTTCTCTCAGTGTCCCCTGTGTGAGTTATCTCCGTGACAACTGAGCAGACTCCATCTGCTGATGTAAACCATGAAATGTGGGTGAAAGCTCCAGAAAAAGGTCGTAAGTAGAGCTCGAGTTAAAACAGTTTTGTAAATCAGATCAGATTTTGTTGATGCACTTTGAGTGTTACGGTCATTTAAGATGTCAGAGCACATCGGATGCAGGAAGCGCCCTGGTGTCTTGGTTGTCATGGTTACTGTCAACCCTTTTGTCACTTTGACTAAATAAAATATATTTCTCTCTCGATGTCTTTTCCTTATCTTTGCTCGTGTTCGTGTTGAGGAGATAAACGAATCCGTCCACATCAAACTGAGGTGAATGTCTCACCAGACGGACCCTCGCATTACCCCCCCCCGCCCACACCAGCACCCACCCACTGAAACCCAAACTGAAAAAGTGTCAAAACCACATGACATCAATCCTGGCTGGATCAAACACCAGGTTGTCTGGCAGAGAATAAGTTGTCAAAAAGGCAAGAAGTGATGTCATATGTGGGGGACGGCACAGACCTCACGAGGGTAAAAAAACAAAACACTGAAGTAGAGCTTTAGGCAAAAAAAAAATAATGATGATTTAAAACAATAGTATGCAAAAAAAAAAAGTTGTTAATGTAAAGAAAATAGATTTTAAAGCTTTAAAAAAAAAAGTGGAAGAAGAGTTTTTTTGTGCAAAAACAAAGAACACAAAGTGGAGTCGTTTCCCACTTTCCCTCTCTGACTTTGAAAGGTTACTGTGTGTAGGAGTTCATTTATTGCCAGTGTAGGAAGGTTCAATATGTCCTGGCAGTTTTTAATTAGAGTCTGGGCGTAGTGTGAGTGTGTGTCATGCTAATTAAAAGCATCCTGCCTCTTGTATATAAGACCAACAGAGGGACGGACTGTGAGACGAAGAGCAGAGGTGACACACCGAGAAGGTAACGACTGACTCTCTGTCTATCGCTGTGCATCACAGTGTCTCTCTCTCTCCCTCTCTCTCTGTCTCTCTCTCTCTCTCACTATCTCTCTGTCTCTTGCAGCTGTTGTTCGGATCAGATTCTGTTCACACTGAGTGTTGAGTAAAAAATGATGATGATGATGAGGATGATGATGAAGATGTCCCTGTGGCTCCTGCTGCTTGGCCTCGCCGTGACGTCTGCTGCTGCCGCCGGACCAGGTAGGAACTGACACACACCTGTTTCAGCTTCTGAATCGACCACACTTATGTTCAGATGCTGCCTCCACATCTGGCCCAACTCTGGCTCAACTTTCGGCCGATACCAGAGAATAACAACTGCCCAGATGTGGAAGTATATGGGCCGGGCTCGGGCCCCAGGACCCAGGGATATGTTGGGCCAGAAGTTTCTTGGTTTCCATAAAGTTATGATGTCACATGACACACTCACACACCTGCTCTGTCTCTCTGCAGGCAGCTGCGTGGCTCGCTGCGGGGAGGTTTTCACCAGAGGTCAACAGTGCACCTGTGACTTCAGGTGTCTGCAGTATAATGAGTGCTGCCCAGACTTTGAGACGACCTGCACCACTGGTAACACAGCAGCAGATCACAGCTCACATCATTCATTATTTATTTCGACATGTTGAGAGCAACACTGTTGTTCTGTTCTCAGCTCAGTCCTGTCTGGGTCGCTGCAGCGAGCCGTTCAGACGTGGTCAGCTGTGCGAGTGTGACCCCCAGTGCACCCACCACAACACCTGTTGCCCTGACTACCAGCTACACTGCGGTAAGAACCGACAGCCACGACCAATGAGATTTTAATATATTTTCATGTTTAAGTTCACATGTGCAGAGATCACGTGTTCAGACGTGTTTTTGTACATGTGAAATTCATGTGGTTTTTCTGTACAGGTGAACATATAGTGGAGACTAGAGACACTCAGTGAAGCTTGAACAGACCTGGCAAAGCATATATAAACATATATATTTGTAACATGTATGTTGTTTTAATAAACTTTATATAAACATTATATAGGCCTCATTCTTACATAGAAAACATATGGTCGTGAGATGTTGTGAGCATGTTTTCTATGGAAAAATCCAGCACATATTCAGTGCATATTTTTAATATATGTACATATTCCACCTTGTCTCTGTCCACAGATGCCGGAGTGTCGGCCTCACACCCCGAGGCTCTGCTGCCTCTGAGAGCTGCTGCTGCTGCTGCTGCTCCTGCTGCTCCTGTTTCAGGTCAGAGTTCATCCACAACAACCAACCAGCAGCACAGCTTCCCTTTCTCTGCTCGCTTACCTTCACTAGAGTTTGTGATCGCTGTCCCAGATCTGTTGCTTTCCTCTGAATACAGTCACCACAACTAAAATCTGACTCCTTTGTCAAAGCTACCAGTGCAACCCTGTGCTCCTGTCTGAACGTCACACTGATGTTGGATAACAGGTGTGTTCTCACAGTCTTCATAAAAGCGATACCTGTGTCCTCCTCTTCCTCAGGTAATCAAAAATCAAAGAGCAAGAAGAAGGCCAACAGTGAGAGCGAGGAGAAGCTCACAGGTAGATGAAGTTCTGATGAAAATGAGTTTGATATTTTGAATAAATAAAAATGTGAAAGTGGGAACTGCATTACCCAACATGCAGCTTTATTTAGCTCCATTAGCTCCAGTGTCGAAATCCAGTTTTAAGACCTTAAAGGAAGGATTTTGACATGTTGGGAAATCCACTCATTCTCTCTCTCTTGATGAAGATTGTCACCTTCTCATTCAAAAACTAAAAAGTTTGCCTTTTCTGTGTATTAGCCGGTCCGGGAGGTTCCAAGTCCAGACCCAGCACCCTGCAGGATGTGGCCCAATCCAGGGGGCTCTCTGTGGTGGACGCAGGCTCTGAGGGAGCAGGAGCAGGTAGGGGAAGAGGTCCTGTGGATTTGCATATCCAATTTTGACCCACTTCAGTCTGTTAAGTGTTAAATAATTGCATTGAAAAGAACATCTTGCTTTGTTTGTGAATGGCCACTCACTTCCTGCAGGTGTCGGTCTGCTGCCGCTGTCCATCCCCGGGTCTCCACACTCCCCGGCGCCTGCAGATACTCTGCCCAGCTACGGTGTTCCATCTCAGGGCGGCGGGGCTCCAGTGAGCCCCTCTGGTCGTGGAGCTGTTGGTGGTGGAGTGAACGGCCAGCTGGTGCTGTCACCTGAGGGAGGGATTCCATACGGGTCAAGTCAAGGTTATTTAATCAGATTATATCAGTTTGAATACAACATTTGTGTAATGAATATTTTATTTGATTAATTCTAAATATTTTGCAGCTGTTTTGAAGGTTTTTGATTCCAAAAACAAACTCACTGCGAACTCTCTCCTGGATAAGTTTAAAAACAAAAACAAAATGTTTGCCTTTTCTTTCCATAACACTTCTAACAGATGCCAGGTTACAGGCGCAGCAGGACATAGCCCAAGCCTTGGGGCTCTCCCTGGCGGACGTGGGTCCTGAGGGACCAGAGGCCGGTGGGACAAGTTTCAAGTGTTGAGCATTGATCCGATCTTTTCTTGGCAGATTCAGATGGTCTGTAACTAATTCTGTGCGTGTTTGCATGTTTTTGTGTGTGTGTGTGTGTAGGAATATTTATTGATGTAGGATTATGCAGTGATTCTCCCATCAATGGACTGACAGCTTTAAGCAATGGGACCATCCTGATATTTAAAGGTGAGAACACGTGTGTGAACTCTACTTCAGTTCTCTAGAAAACAGTAGAAATGTGATGCAGTAAGCTGTGTTGTGTTGTTACTGCAAATGTAAGGATGTGTGTGGTGCAGGAATGAATAGAGATTGTATATGTGATGTGTACATACATATTTAGTGTGATCTGTGTTAATGTTGTGTGTGTGTGTGTGTGCAGGTGAGCTGTTCTGGTCAGTGGACCCTGTCAGTCATGAAGCTGGTCTTCCTCAGAGCATCACAGACACTCTGGGCGTCTCGTCTCCCATCGACACCGTCTTCACCCGCTGGAGCTGCGACAGAAACACAAACACAAACACAAACACAAAGACCTACATTATCAAGGTACAAATATTACTACACACATTAATACTGCTGCCACTACTGCACCTACACCCTCTGTGCTGCTGCTGATAGTCAGGCTACTGCTAATGATCATTTCTGCAATTCATTTTTAAATAATTTTTTTGTTCCATTAAATATCAGAGAATAGTTGAAACCGGTCACGGTGACAGCTGCAAAGGAGGTTTTCCTCTGTTTGTAGAGTGTAATAGTTATAATGAATGTCAGGTTAATATAAAAAAAGAACAGTAATTAAACAGTTTTATAGCAATAACAGCAAATCCCTGTTTTAGTCTAAGATTCACTGAGAAAGACTTTTCTATAATGATGAAGGTCAGATAGGAACCAGGATCTCAGACCAGAGATGTCTTTTTCCTTACTCACATAGAGGTCATTTATCTTCCTCCTCTTCTTCTTCCTCCTCCTCCTCCTCCTCCTCCTCCTCCTCCTCCCCCCCTGCAGGGAGACCAGTTCTGGAGTCTGGATGGGAACATGGTTGTGGAGCCGGGTTATCCGAAGCCTCTGGCCTCTGAATTCCCCGGTCTGACAGGAACCATCAGAGCTGCTCTGGTTGTCCCAGCAACCAAGAACCGGCCGGAGACTGTCCACTTCTTTAAGGATGGTGAGGAGGACAGACGGACACAGAGACAGACAGGCAGAAAGAGAGACACGGGGACAGACAGGCAGAAAGAGAGACATGGGGACAGACAGGCAGAAAGAGAGACACGGGGACAGACAGGCAGAAAGAGAGACAGACAGACAGACAGAGACAGGTCATTTTGCGTCTCTTGCTTAAAGAGACATTAAAGCAGGTCAGGATGTCTGAGAGCATGAGACATAAAAGAGACAAAATAGACGAGTAGATAAAGGAAGAGGTGAAGACTTCCACCTCAGCACGACTGACCACAGCTGTCCTGTGTGTCGCCCCGTAGGAAACGTCATGCAGAGCTTCACCTACCCACCATGCACCACAAAACCCAGGAGCTCCTTGAAGAAACGCTTGACTCGCCAGGCTGGTTAGTAACTCTCCAACTCGTTTATTTATTATAATTTATTCTAAAACTTCCTCATGACGCTATTTTTGTTATTTTTCTTAATTATTTTTAATTTTTTATATTTAATTTAAGGTCTTCTAAGTGGAGAGATCAACATCAAAGTGTCTCTGAAGGGATTCCCCAGCCCCATCACATCTGCCCTGACCATGCCCAACCCCCAGAAGAGCGACAGATTCTTCCACTACCTCTTCTCCGGACGTAAGAACCTCCCACAATGCACTGCGTTCAGTCTCATTAGGATTTATTTATGAATTAAAGGGGACCCCAGGAAGAGTAGCCATTGTTATAACACAATGGCTAATGGGGATCTAACTACATAAATAAATAAATAAATGAATGAATTTTTAATTGCTGCCGTGAACATTTTCGTCTACAGTTTCAGCCTGTTACCATGGTAACAATCAATGACACCTGCATTGACCAGTAGCACCCAACAACAATAACAGGAAAACATTGTTATGTTTTTAGAAACATTATACATAAACATATTTTTTTATTGTTTCACTCTTTGTTGAATTTTCAAAGTAAAACTTCCTCGTAACCGTTGAGATCTTCCAGGTGACAAACATTTACTGCTGCGGTAAACGGAGCTGAGCCGTTGGACTGTTCCTCAGTCGGCCATTTTTAAAAAAATTTTTTTTTATTATTTTGAAAAAAGTCAAGAACTTACCTGCTTTGTGCAGCAGATGAATTTAGACTCTGACTCAGAGTCTGTCTTTGTGAAACCGGTGTCACATTATAGTGTTTCCTGACCGTCCACATCTTTTGTCACGAGTGTGTTTAAAGCAGCTGAAGTCTCTCTCTCTCTCCTCTGTGCAGCGCTCTTCTTCAGAGTCCAGATTGTAAGTGGCTCGCCGGCGATGGCCAAACCTGACCCCTCTGCCCCCCTGGCCCCGCTGCCCATCCTCGGCCCCGCCGCCACAGCAGCCAACTCTGCCAACATGGCCCCCCACAATGTCAACCGCGCCGCCCCGGCCAACTCCATCAAAGTCTGGCTGGGCTGTCCCTAAAAAAAGCATCCCGAGGAGGAGGCGACGCTGTTCCGGTGTTTTCTGCTTCTAGTCTCTAATCCATCTGTAATGGTGCGGCTCCTTCTGGCACCAAGACTGGTGGAGAGAATGACTTTCAGCATCATGTCTGGAGCTGTGATCGATCATTCTTTTCATTACCGATTTTCTCTGTCAAATATTTCCATCACAGTGTCTCAGAGTCAAAGTTCAGTCTAGAAATGATTCAACTTTATTATTAAAACATGTTTATTAGCAGCTCAGTGACAGAACACATGAAGAAACTAACATTACAAAACCAGGGCTGCTCTCATGAGAAACAGTTAGAAAACAACTAAAACCTCACTGATCTATCAGAGAAATGTCACACACACACACACACACACCGAAAACACACACACACACACACACACACACACACACACACACACACACACACAGAGCTGTCATCTCTCTCCTTGTACTTGTGTTATTAATGATTTCGATTGGACAAGATTTACTGATACATCTAATGTCTCAAAATTCAATTAATTGATTAATCAAGCGTCTTTTCATTTCCTCGTTGGATGAGATGACTGAGGCGCTACGCTGACATCATCATTAGGCGATGCCCCCTCTGCCCAGGCCCCCCCCTCTTCCTCCTCGAGTGAAGGTTCCTGAGGACAGACAGATGAACGAGACCATCAGTTTAATCCCACAGAGTTACTAATGATGTTCTGGCTATAATGTCTGTAATGCTGCTTTCTGCTTTATTATACTTCAATAAACAACTTCATCATACTGAGCGAGTGAGAGTCTGTTCTGTAAGGTGTGAGGATGATGATGATGAAGAGGAGGCTGTGCTACAATATCAGGCTCTGAGAGTCCAGAGCTCCAGGAGCGTTCGAGTTCGTTACCTCTGCGGCTGAACAACATCCTGGCCTCCACCCTCCCTCCTCTGGACCCTCTGCCCGACAGGTTGCTGATCAGAGTTTGGCTGTTGGCTGTGCGCCGCTGAGTGACACTGCTGGTGTCTAAGAACAAAGACAGAGAGGAGAGATGAGACTGGATATCAAACTCTGGCAGCGTGAACTGTAGGTAAGAACATGGTGAAAGAATCTCATCTGACAGCAGCAGGAAGTGTCATCTACACATAGAAACCTGAAAGGATTCGCCTGGTTGTGCTGATCTCTGGGTTCATTTGTGGGCTGGACAAAAAAGTCGTAACTTAAATATGTTTGAACTGAATAAGTATTTGAATTTCATTTTGTTAGCTGTTAGCGTGTCCGCTCTAACCCGTTACCATGGGCGCCGAAATGAAAACCAAGACGCTCTGCAACCGCAACACATCCAGTGTGTTCCTGGCCTGACCGGTTTCCCCTGGTTCGTTAGCGCTCCTGGTTGTCATGACGACAGTTGTTGGAGTAAGTGTCAACGACAGCCTCCATTACAGAGACCTGGATGACAGAGTCTGCACAGACGATCCAGCTGTTATCTTTTTAATCTACAGACAGGAAACAGGTTAATTACCAGGGTCTTGGCTGGTAGACGGCAGCGATGCATCGTCACTCTGTCCGGTTGACTCCATGTCCGTCTGGCTCTCCAAAGAAGACTCGATACCAGGCCTGAAGAAAACACACACAGGGAAGATTTTCATTGTGATTTCAAATGGTACAAAATATTTTACGAGTAATGAGCCTGACCACGAGGAGAGGGGACGTGCAAATCATTTACTTTTTCAGTGACGTGAAAACTCTTTGTCTCGTCTTTTCTCCTCCGATATTAAAACTGAAGATTTAGTCGTGCAATCGACTCTCTGGTGTCAGTCCCACTCACTCACCCGTCTCCTTCCTGCTCCACAAACACCTCATCTCCATCGTCTGCAGCAGCCGGCATCCCGGTGGAAGCAGTTACCATGGGAACGGACTGGGATGCCATGTTGTCACCGCCGTCTGAGGGCAGAGACTCAGTGAAGACGGTCACTGACGGAGACCGAGAGTCAGGGAACACAACGGAGGATTTATAGTTAAACTAATGCACTAATGTGGAGTGTGTGTGTCTTACCTGGTGCAGCCACCTGTAAAGGTGTGGTGGGGACACTCCTCCCTCCTCCATCTTCATCATGAGCAGCCAGGAACAGAGGAGACTCGTACATCCCCAAACCTGCGATTTCACAGCAATTTAGTTAAGTTCAACAGACAGGATGTGTGTGTGTATGTGTGTGTGTATGTGTGTGTGTGTGTGTGTGTGTGTGTGTGTGTGGTACCTCCTTGAGAGGCCAGCTGTCCCAGGTCAGAGTGTGAGGCTGAGCTCTGAGGCAGCAGGTCTTCTGGAGGTCCAAATCTAAACCTGGTGGACAGACCTGCGACCTGAGGAGAACTGAGGAGATGAAGGACAGACACAGGAAGTGACATGAAGTGACATAAAGTGACATGAAGTTATTATTATACAGGTGTTTTAATGTCTTTTCCACTCCTGTTAGGCTGAAAACACCAAGGGATTTGGGGAAAGTGAAATACGTATAAAAATGTTAAATTTCTGATCTGTTCTGTTTAGTCCGGTCAAACTGAGCCCTGGTTGATTTTCTCTCTTGGTGCGAATCGTTTGTGCAGGTGTGAAAACAGGAATCGCTCTCAGGTGCGGACCAAATCAATCGAAGTGTGTGTGTGTGTGTGTGTCTTACTGTATAGCCTCAGCGAAACCATCAGTGCGGTGTGGGACCACCAAAGTGGGAGTACTGGGAACCATCCTGTCGTCATCGTCAAAGAAATGTTGCTGCAACACAAACACAGAAACCTTCACCCCGTGTTCTTGATTCACACTAGACGACTCCTCAGATCAGCAACGCAACACACACGAACTCAGATTAACACCTTAAAGCGAATGTAATACAATCTCTGAACAAGCTCCTCATCTCTTACCGTGCTGCCGATCCCGGGGGTCAGCTGAAGCCCTCGTCCCACTGATGGTCGGCGCAGCTGAGAGGACGGTCTCTGAATAACAAACACAAGTAATCGTCGTCAGGTCTTCAAGTCTTATTACTGTATGTATGGTATCATTGTACCGTTTAAAAACAATGCTATGGGATCAATAGATTGTGACGCCATGTGACGTGTGTTTCCAGGTGTGTCAGTCTGAACGGAGATTAACTGTGAGATCAATGTGCGTGTGTGTTTACCTGTGTGCGTGTGTGTTTACCTGTGTGTGTGGGGGTCCCAGCTCTGGGGCTGGAGGTTGGATATAGAGCCTAGGTGGGAGAGAGTGTGTGGGTCTACGGGGGTGGGTCAGGCGGGGTGTGAGGGAGGAGGAGGAGGGAACAGAGGAGGAAGAGGTTGGGGGGAGGTGTACAGGCTCTCTGGTGGGGTCAGACTCTGACGTGGCGCTGCTGCTGCCTTCACCTGGAAGAGAAGAGAGACTCAGATGAGTGAACTCATGTCGACACGGGCAGCTGTTATATGAACGAACAAACGGCGGGCGGCGCTCACTGCTGTGCGGCGGCTCAGAGGGACGCTGGGAGTCCGAGGACGCCCCGCACATGGTCTCCTCAGTGTTGCTGGCTTCTGACGGATCCTCCTCCTCTCCCTCCTCCTCGGCCTCTCCACTCCTCTCGTTGCTGTCCTCTCCTCCTCTCATCTCGCCGTCGCCAGCGTCGTCCTCGTCTTCGTCGTCATCCTCTTCCTCCTTATCCTGAGGCGGACACAGAGAGCCAGGTTTATTTACTCCACACAAAACATCACGGCTGAAAACTTTTTGGGCAAGTTAATAAACGGAGAAAACACCTCCTCTACTTCTTCCTCCTCCTCTTCCTCCTCTTCCTCTTCTTCCTCCTCCTCTTCCTCTTCCTCCTCTCCTTCATCCTCCTGCTTCTCCTCCCCCTCTTTGCTCTCCCGGCTCTCGCTGTCCGTGTCGATCACAATGACGTCCCGGACTATGGAAGAGCCCTGAGAGGACATCTGATAGGAGGGGACAGACTGGGACACGCCCTCTTCCTCGATGTCCTCTTCGTCTTCAGCTAAAACGGGGAAACCCTCCTCTGGAAGCTCCTGAAGCCCAAATATAAACCTATTAAATCATCCCTGTCGATCATCTCAAAAACATCATCATTACTGTGCGAGCTCAAACAAATCCTGTTTTAGTGCCGTCATCTACAATACATCTACACAGAGCGAGTTTCATACCAACATCTATTTATCTTTTCTTTACAGTGCGATTAAACTTTATCACTATACAACAGTAAAACGGTAAATATACAAACTGATAACTGGGATGTTATACACTGACACTAAACAAGCTTATACAAACAGTATGTGTACATAAACAGTGAGGTGGGTAGAAAACCAAAAACTGGATTTTCAAATGTTTCTCTCAAACAAATGAAGAAATCAGATGAAATTCAGCTTAAAAAAATGAATCAGAAATGTGAGGGAAAGAAAGCAAGAAGGAAAAACCACTTTCCTATTGGGATACTGGTCTCAGTCGTATAAATACATATATTTATAAATTACCACATGACAACGTTTACTTCCTGACCCTCTCCCGTGACGCTTTCATCGGTTGCTAACCTGACTGTCGTCGGGTGAATCCTGTTGTTCGCCCTCATTCCCCAGCTCTCCTTCCATCTCCTCATCACCTTCCATCTGAAACACACCGAGTGACACAGCTGGAATTAAACAGGTTGTAATGGACTAAATAAACACGACAAACACACCCAAAGCAAATTAACAACAGGACGACTTGTTGTGCAGCAGCTTCTTCAGTACCAAGCTTTTTCAGTCTTCCTTCCTCAGGTAACACACAGTCTGACCCAAAAGTCTGGGACCACATTTAATATCTCTAATAATTTCATACAAACCTGGAAAGAATCAGAAAGTTTGAGAATTCAGAAACATTTAAAAACACAGGAAGTAAAATGAAGAAGAAATATTTAAGATTCTGCACCATTAATGCATCAGAAACAAGATTTCCTTGAGTTGAATCCTCCTTCACTGAAGCATGAGGTTTTATCTTCTCATCAGAGGCTTGTTCAAGTAACTCAACTTGCAGCTGATTTTCACTCGTTATAAATCAGGCTGAGCCTCAAGTTTCCAGCTGATCACCGACTCAGTCAAAGTGTCAGAAGTCAAGTTGGTACCTGCAGCTGTATTGATGGTTTCAGTCGTAGTTTTTTAGTGGTCGGTGGTGTGTGGGAACTCTCCGGTCTGCTCTCCTCTTCCTCTTCCTCCTCCTCCTCTTCTCTGCCTCGCTTTGTACCTGCTTTAGTCACACACACACACACACACACACACACACACACACACACACACACACACACACACACACACACACACACAGAAGATAACACACAGTTTAAGTGTTTGGCTGGTATCCGGTCAGGCACATATTTTACAGTTTGTATAGTAACTGGCTTGTGTGCCACACGGTCCTGCTCACCTGCTCCAATCAGAGAGGAGGATGTGGATGGTCGCTCTGCATCCATGCTAGACCCTGCATCCTGATTGGCTGCCTGCTGCTGAGTGGGCTGGACAAAGGCTGTGGCCTGTGTGCTGGTTGGCTGAGTTATGGAGGCAGGTGCGCTCACGAGGCCGGAGCTGGTGGAGTGTACAGAGGCTCCTGCGCTCATCAGCACTGCAGAGGGAAACATTATGTGATTAATAATCAGCTGAACTACTTTTACTTCAAACATGTTTTATTCCTTTTATACCTCTTTATGTTTTTTAAAACTGTTTAATTGCCCTTTTATTTATAAGGCTTTATTGCTTCTTATGTCTGCTGCTATTACTGAAGTTTTTGATTTTATTTTTCTTCTTTAAAGCACTTTGAGCTGCAAAACAAAATATTAAAATAGTTTATTATTATTATTAATATTAATAATAATAATAATAATAATAATATGTAACCATTACCAGTGTATTTAAAGTTAAGATAATCTATATAAACTGCTAACTTATACTTTCTCTTAAACTCTTCCTCACCCTCTTGACTGTCAGTCTGTGTGGTCGGCATGACGGTGGCGGTGGGTGTCGGGATAGGGAGAGTTGCCGGGGTAACCATAGGTCGGATGCTGGCACGGGGCGTGGCCTTGCTACCATGGGAGGGGCTTGGCTTGTTGCTAGGAGACGGAGTACTCGGGGTGGGGCGGATGTTGGCGGTGGGAGGCTCAGACAGGCTGGAGCTGATGGAACAACAGTTATTATGTTCATTTGTTTTCACCACAGTTTTCATGCTGAAATAGTTTCTCGTGTTTGTGAAGCGAACAGCAGCTGTCTGATCACAAAGTTTACCATCATTCACAACAGTCATGTTTGTGCAAGTGAGTGCATGTGTGCAGTAGTCACCTTCCCCTGTCCTGGGCTGGACTCTTCAGAGATATCTGTCTCTGGTCTGCAGATCTGGGCTGATCACCCACCTGAGGGCAAATACAGGTTTGTATTATTGTAGTTAGATGATGGAGAAAAACACGGAGGAACACTCATCTGAAAAAAAGATAATCTGAGATTTCGAGAATTAAGACACAAAACAATGAGAGAGTCATAACATTTGAAGAAAAAAAGTCACAATATTTTGAGAGTAAAGTCCTACTGTTTTAATATTTCAAGAGTAAAATCTCTCAGATTATCTCTGTAGATCACATTTAAACCGATTTATTATTCTCGCTAAAACCTGCAGTGTCATGTTTTCCTCTCCTCCTGTGGCTCTTCCACAGATATACATGCACTCAGTCATACAGATAGATGCCTGTCACTGTGTGGGTTTGATCATATGATTTACATTATGAGCTTTGATCGCTTCATGATGCCACGACTCTTTGTCTCTCAGGCGTCTGGATCAAACCATCAGCTGCGTCTCATTTTCAGTTCAATATCAATATCCTATAATCTCAGACTATTTCTTTTTTTTTGTATATAATTCAAATATTCATTGCATGTTATGCTAGAAGAAAAGGTAAAAGAAAAAGCCATACATATGATCACACATATAATCACTGCATAAAACTAAAACTCTACTGGTGTTAATGGAAGTGAACATCTGAGCCAGACTGTGAAGGTGGCTGCTAAGGTTTCCCACCTTAGCTCCGCTCTGGTCCTGTGGCTCCTCTCTGGGGTCGGAGTGCGTCTGTGTCTCCCTCAGTTCTCTCAGCTCTCTGTCCAGCCGAAGAAGTCGACCTTCGTACTGAGACTTGAGGGCGTTCATTCTCACCTCCAGTTCCTCCTTACTCTGTTTCAGCTCGTCGATCTCCCCACTGAGCTGCTCTTTGGCACCTACAGGTCACACATGTAAATTACTCTTCGACCAATTCACTGTGTGTGTTTGTTTGTTTGTGTGTGTGTGTGTGTGTGTGTGTTTAAAGTGCAGGTGAAACTGACTGTTCAGTTGGTTGATTTTGGTCTTCGCTCCCATGAAGGCCTTCTTGGTCTTTTCCTCTTTGTCAGCCATCTGCTGTTTCAGCTGCTCCTCTCGGTTCTTGCTCTCCAACAGCTGCAGGGAAACAACAACAACAACAGAACTGTAGCTGCTGATGTTCAAGTGCTTTTAAAGTGAATGACACTAATAGACCAAAAAAAAACCAAAAAAACAACTTATTTATTGATTCTCTCACTGCAGCGCGTGCCACAGGGTTCAATACTAGGAACATCTGCTTTTAAATTTGTTTTTTAGTCTTGGCATCTTGAATGGTTTTTATCTGTACTCTTATTGTTTGGATATTGTGTACACTCTCTGTGACAGTTGTCTTAGTTGGTTTATCTTGTGTGAATTTATTTCTTGTAACTCTCTTAAAATACATTTTAATCTTTCATTTCATGGTTGAAGTGAAGAAACTCATTAGTTTAAGTCCATTTTATTCACTTATTCACTTTAAATTAACTCAACGGCCAAAACCACAAAAGTCTTTGCTTGTATTTTAGGATTTATTCATGTTGGTGGATACAGGATAAATGAATCCCACATTGTGTACTGTTAGTTAGCAAATAAGTATGGATGTCAATAAACAGTTAGATCAGGATTTTACCTCTTGTCTGAATTTAGCCAGCTCCTCTTGTTGTGCCTGGTTAGCTTCACTAGCAGCGTTAGCATCACTGGCCTGGATGGACTGAGAACTCACGGCCTGTGTGGCACGGCTAGCTTCATTAGCCTGGTTAGCTTCAGTTAGCTGCTCCTGCAGGCGCTTGACGTCTGCTTCGCGCTCGCCAACCGTCTGATAAAGAGGAATGATTAGACATTGTGTGAGAGCAGACGGCAGGTGATATGAATACAGGGTAATAATAAAGAGAAGTAGAAGGAAGGAGGAGAAAATGGATAAAGAGAAATTTAAAAGAAATTAGATTGTATTTAGTTCAATCACTAATTCATTTAAATTCAAAAATCAGTCTGTGAATAGCAACATTATTAAACTCTAACTTAACTTGTACATATATCCATAAATTCAATAAACCAATGTCCTATCTTTAAGTACTGATTTATTAACACACTATGCTCTATTTCTAGTTAAAAACAAATACTGGGTAAAGTTAATCCCAACCTTCTGCAGGTTGTCCAGCTGTCCCTGGAGCTCAGTCACCTGTTGGGAGGCAAGCGCAGATAAAGTTTCATGACTGTATATTTAAATGCTACAGACAAACACCACCTCAGAACCAGCTCTGCGGTAGTTTCCATGCTAACACATAAAGCTAGGATAATGATGATGGTAAACTTTTTACGCTCTAATCAGCATGTCGGCGATGTCACTGTGAGTGAGTCTCAGTTTTTAACTATGAAATATTCAATCTGAAAAATGAATCGGTGGAGATTCGTGCATCAGCAGATCATTTTAGTTTCCATCTCTACAGACGCTGCGGTTTTCTTTCATTCAAAAATCTCCCCAGGTCAAAGGTCAAATACACCTTAAAGTCTTAAAGTTTCTCTGTGACATGTAGTTGGGTATTCTTTATTTAGAGAGTAACACTTGTTTGAATCAGAGTCTGGTGGGAGTCTGGTAGGTTGTTCATCAAATCAAATCTTTTAGTTGAGCCTCACTCACTCCAAACCGGTGAGAACAGCCAGAGAGGAAAAAAAAGAAAGTGTGAAACGAGCTGAAGTGTTAAACTAAGAGACAGAACCGTCCTCACCTTGTCCTCCGCTTGGCTCAGAGAAGCCTTGAGATTGCCGACCTCCTGGTTGTGGCTGTGTTGGCTGGTCTGGTGAGTCTGTTGCAGCTCTTTCTGACTGGTGAGGTTCTGCTGGAGCGCTTCTTTCGCCTGCTGGAGCTCCCTCTGGATCTGCTGGATCTGGTTCTGACGGGCCTGAGCTTGAGACTGAGCCGACTTCAACTGGTTCTGCACCTGTCATGTTTGAGAGGCGGTTTCGGCTGTTAGTGCGGGGTTCTGTTGTCGGGTGAACTACTCTTGGTTCTGGAGTTCAGTATTAGGGACATTCAGGCCAATGAGGTGATGTGACTTGTTCCTGGCGGCGCTGCTTACCTGCTGGGTGTGGGTCTTGGCCTGTTGAAGCTCTTTCTGACTCTGGGTCAGTTGGTTCTGATTCTGCTGCAGTTGAGTCTGAGTCTGGGACAACTGGGACTGGACCTTTAAAAAGCAAAAGGAGGAGACAAAAGAACCAGTGATCCCAGCCGTCCTGAGGTATCTTAAACGTAACTTAATGACCCGGTAAAATCAAACACAGACTCAGACTTAGTGCTTCAGTACCTGTGTCAGTTGGTTCTGGTTCTGTGTCAGCTGGTTTTGAACTTCCTGGGACTTTTCCTTGTTCTTCTGGTTTTCCTTCTGGGCCTCCTCCAACTCTTGCTTGGCCTTCTGGGTCTGGAGAAAAACAAAGCAGTTTCTGGACACTTTCCCACTAGAGTTCAGCTCGGCCCGGCTGCTGTACATATCTCATATATCATCATATCTATCATATCATATATAACATATATAACACGCTCCGACGTAAACTGGGCCACCACAGACAATGAACATGTGCTGTACAACAATATGTACTGTGTGTAAAGCAAGGTACTGTTTATAAACCATCATTCTACGTCGGGTTAATAAAGGTCGAAAGTATCTTTCCGCCCACCTCCTCCTGTTTTTTCTGCGCCTCGTCCTTCAGTGTTTTCAGCTCCTCTCTGGCCTTGTTCAGCTCCTCCTGGGCTTTAGTCAGCTCTTGCTGCACCTCCTGGCTCGGAGCTGCCTCACTTCCCACTTTAGCTGCAGTTTCCGCGACCAGCTGGAACACACACACACACACACACACACACACACACACACACACACACACACACACACACACACAGACAGATTAACTAAGATTTCAGCTTCCCTACTCATCCGGCTCTCTCCTCCAGCCTTAACCCAAACCACAGTCCCACCTTGTCATGCTGGGCTTTGAGCTCCTCATACTGGGTCTTGTAGCGTCGTCCGATCTTTTTGACCTGGTTGATGGTTTTGTTCTTCTCCAGAATGTCGTTGGTTTTTGTTTCCAGTTGTTTCTTCTGCGCGTCTCTCTCCGTCGTCAGCTGGGCCACAGAGTCTCTGAGGGCTTGCAGCTGAGACTGAGCCGAGTTACTGCTGGCACTGGATCTGATCCACACACACACACACACACACACACAGTATTCTCAGTCAGGTTACATTTTAAGATGCATTTGTAAAGGCTTCACGTGTCCCCACATGGTCTCAGTTTCCCACAATCCTCTATGCTTATCAACTTCCTGCCAGTTGTCTAAGTAGTAATTACAACTGGTTAACTTTCACTGCAGTTCAATGGAGATAAAGGGCGAGAGATTCCTCTTTATTTCCAAATGTCGACAACTCTCAAGGAAACGGGACTGAAAACCTCCAGCAGCCACTAGATACACAGAGATACAACGCAGAGGAGATTTACTAAAGCAACAGGATGTCAATAGAAACTTCTTTCGGTTGGATCTAGGCTGATGGTGTGTGTGTGTGTGTGTGTGTGTGTGTGTGTGTGTGTGTTGTCTCACCTGGCCAGTTCAGTCTTCAGTTTGGCCGCCTCTTCAGCGAGCTGTGCGATGCGTCTCTGCTGAGCTTCTCTCTCGTTGGTTAGTTTCTGCCTCTCCTCCACATCTCCATCTTTCTGCTGGTTGAGCAGTTGCTGCAGAGACACACACACACACACACACACACACACACACACACACACACACACACACACACACACACACACACACACACACACAGTCAAGTTTACATGAAACGAATACACTGAAACAGTATTAAAGCGGCAACAAAATCATTTCATTGTGGGAAGCCAACACACTGCAGTTACCTGTGCTTTCGCCTTCCAGCGTTTGAGGTCATCTTCCAGAATCCTCTTGTCCGCCTGCAGGGAGCCGTTCTTCTCCGACAGCTGAGACAGAGAGTGATGCAGCGGGCTGATGTCCGACTGGAGCTTCGTCACCTGACGGACAGAAGCGAGATTCCATGAGCTACGAGCTCCGTGCAGATGCAAGACAAGGTTACCGAGACGTCTCCATAGACTTTATCATTAAATGAAGTAGGGCTGATACACTGCGCTGGCTTTAGCTGTCAGTGAAAGGGAGACACAGGACAAACCGCATGCAACACAGGGGATCGTACTTTAGCCTGCGCTTGCTGCATCTCCTGCTGCAGTTTGTCTCTGTCCATTCTCAGCGTCCTGTTGGTTTCTTGGAGAGCAGTGATACTGTCCATCTTCTTCAGCTGATCCTCCTGCTGGGCCAGAGTCTTCGCTGTAACCTGAGTGAAGGGGAGGACGCCCGACAGACATGGTAATTACAATTTACAGTTTTATTTCTTGTAAGCTTCAGAACACAAGGTGAGAAACTAGACTGAACTATAATGAAGCGGGTTCCAACACGTGTTACATGTCAAGTCTCAAATTCCCTTCATCCTTTCGCTTCCTACCTGCATTTTCTCCCTCTCAGCGTTCAGAGCTTCCTGTTGCTCCTTCAGTTCTCTGTCCTGGTGCTCGACTCGCTGTTTGTAGCGAAGAGCTTCTCCCTCGGACACCTCACATCGAGCCACGGCGATCTGCTTCTCCCGCTGCACAAACCTAAACCACAAGCACACGTTTTTACCTCCCACTGAGACACTGATGCTGTAATGATCCCTCTGCAGAACAAGAGTTTATTTTATCCTCAATTTCTACAAACTTCAGTGTTTTCTATGTTGACAATCTCACAGGGGCTGGAGCAGTGTTACCTGAGTATTTCTAGTATCTGCTCAGTGGTCTTGCCCTCCTCACTAAATGACAGGTCCAGCTGTTGTTGCTGGTGCTGCTGCTGCTGCTGACGACTCCTGGTGGCCATGTCATCCATCTGTTGGTGCAGCAGAGCGTTCTGCTTGCTCAGCTCCTCACAGCGACGGCTCTGATTAGACAGGTCCTCCTGAAGAGGAGAGTCGAAGCACAGACGCTTTATGATCAATCAGAAACACAATCTTCTAATTTATGTTTGTTTTTACATTCATTTAATTCACTTGAAATAACTTAAATAACTGCATTTATGTAGAACTAGAACTTTTAAGCTGCAAAAAACGTCGTCGTCCTACCTTCAGCTGTTTCTCCAGTGTGCTCAAGGCTGCAGTTTTCTCCTGCAGGATGGAGGAGGTCTTGTTTAGCTGCTCCTCTAGCTCCCTCCTCTGCACCGCTTCCTGTTGGAGTCGTTTCTTGAGCTCCTGCAGAGCCTCCACGTCAGCAGCATGGAGCATCAGTTCCCGCTCATACTTTGCCTGCGCCTCTCCAGCAAGCTTAGTCTGAGAGGAGGACAGAGGGAGAACAGCTCGTGTAACAGTCGGTGACACAAAGTCACAGAAACAAACGTCTGACACGATACAAACATTATTTATTATTTATAATTCCAGTGTTAAATACAGAAAGCTTCAAAACTGAGGAGATATGTTTTGGGTTTTTTTTCCCAACACCGTTATCTAAATCAGGTGATACTAAACAGCTGTTTGTGTCCAACTGCACTCAGATGTTGCCATGGTGATTTTAAGCGCTTAGTTTCCACTGAGCAGACACGGATTCAGCCGAGAGACACCTCTGAGACAGGAGACTCAGCCGAACGTAGCGCTGGAAAGTATTTCTCTGTGGTGTCAAAAATGTACATATCTATTAGAGAGGTCACTCCACTCGTGTGTGTGTGTTAACGAACCTGCAGCAGGCTTTCCTGTATGGCCTTCTGCTCCAGTGTACCAGAAGAAGCTGCTCTCTCCAGCGCCTCCTGCTGCTCGGTCTGACTGGCCTTCAGACTGCGCTGCAGCTCACACACCTGGGCAACACAGCGGGAGGAATAACAATACACACCTGGAGCTCTAAAAGTCTAATTATGTTTCATGTTTCCTTCTGTAGATAAAACGAATACAGAATGAAAATCTAATGCAGAGACCATATGCACATCTGTGTGTGGACAGACTTACTTGTTTCTCCACTGCGTCCAAAGCCTTCCTCCTCTCTTCTTGCTCCAGCTGCTTCATTTTCTCCGCCTCTATAATCCTCTTCTCCAGCTGCTTCTGCACCTCCTCCGACTCCTTCAGTCGGATCTCCAGGGGTGAGCGAGACTGAAGAGATGAGGAGAGTCAGTTTGTTTGATATTAGCTTCAGTACATTGTGTTTTTTTTTTATCTACACTTGTGTCCTTGTGACCTGGAGGAAGATCGGATCATATTTTATTATGAATTCATGCAGAAAATCAGGAAATGAGATAATAAATCTTCGTTTCACTCATGTGTTTGTCGTTAGCTTAGCATCATCTGTATTATTTGTTAATGGTACTTCCTGATTCCAGACTGTGGAGAACTGTGCGAGACCTAAGAATGATTTATTTTAAAATCAAACGCATAAAGTTAAACCGATCTCAAAATTTAAGACCTTTCATAATTAAAAATAAGACTTTTTAAGGCTTTTAATTTAAAAAAATCTAATTCAAGACAGAGACTTTTTAAGGATGTGTGTGGACAGGTGAACATTAGGGCCAAAGAGAACATAAGATGGAGGAGAAGAACAGAGGAAATGAGGGAGTCACACCTCCTTTTCTTTCTTCAGACTGTCCTCCAGAGTCAGGACCACAGCTCTGTACTGCTCCACAGTAGCGTTAGCATTCTTCAGCTGCTCTGCCAGTTCGCCGTTCTGTTCCTCGGCGTTGTGCAGGAGACTTTTCACCTCTGCGAGCTCCTGCTGCGACGGGCTGGGCTGCGGACTGGCTGCCGGTCCCTGAGGGCGTCCTAAGGACCGACGGAGACAAAAGAGACAGTTTTTGAACAGTCACAACGCTGGCATTATCGATGAACACGTTTTAAAGTTTCCTCTTCTCGCCTGGAAATGATTTTTGTGAGTGAGGCTTCTGTAATATTTGAGCCCGTTATAGTCTTAACAGTCGACACTCTGTAAGCCACCGTTTACCTCTCAGTGGCGCTCTGAGGCTTGCGGCTCTGGCGGCTGCGGTGGTGGCGTTGCTGGAGCTGGAAACGGCCTCAGAGGACGAAGCAGACGCCAGCTGGGCTTTCAGCGCCGTCACCTGCTGTTCAGAGCTACGCAACAAGTCCCTGGTCTTCTGCTGCAAGACGTTCTGCGTCTCCAGCTGCTTCTTTGCTTCCAACAACTGAGCCTGCAGCGAAGGCGGAGGTGACGGAGGTGTGAGAAGGTGTGACAAGACGGACTGCGTGCGGTGTCCTACAACGGTTATTTACATATATACAAGTATTAAACGTGTACACTCACGTCCATAGTGCGTCCGAGAGCATGTCTCTGCGCTACTTCCTGGTCCATCCTGGTCTTCATGGAAGCAAGCTCCGCCTCCAGATGCTCTATCTTGTTGTTCAGTCGCTGGCGCGTGTCCGTCTCTGTGCGCTCCATGGTCAACTGGACACGTACGACAGAAGAGGCAAAATGAATTAAAGGCTCATCTGGTTTGGTGTGAAGATGCTTTAATTGTTTGTGCAGCTGTTTATGTACCTGTATAGTCTTGAGGTTGGTGAGCAGCAGGTTCTGGTTACGTTGTTCAGCCAATATGGCTTCCTTCTCCCGAGTCAGGCGACTCTCTGCTTGTCTTAACATGTCTCTCTCTTTGGTCAAGTTCTCCACGCGCACCTACAAACACAGAGGGGGAAATAAAAACCATTTGGTGATAATAGAAATAAATAAATAAGAAGAAAACAGAAAATAAAGCAGGGGGGTAAAAATGTAGTTATGTCACACGTCTGTTAGTTTGAAGTACAATCAGTTTGCTTTTGCCGTTTTTTCAAATATTGTAATATTGAAAGTTGTAGGTTCAGTCTTATTCTGAATTACTGCAACAGTTAATTAGTGAGGAGGAAAGCTAAATACACAAATACTCAATATACATAATGTCCGGTAATCTTTCTATCAGTTCTTACTCCCATTGCCCAAACTCCTCACCTCCTCCAGAGCTAGTTTTTCGTTAGCCTGTCGCAGGTCCTGGCTCATCGTGTGGATGATGTGCTCGTGTCGTTGGCTCGTTGCAGCCATTTTCTGGTTCCTCTCCTGGAGGGCAGAGATCTCTCTGCGGTAGGCCGATACAGTCTCCTGGAGGATCTCATACCTGACACACACAAAGACACACACACACAGTATAAAATCATCTCCAGGAACTTTAATATGAGGCAGATGCAGCGGCGGTGCACGAGAAAGCATTCCTGAACAAGAAAACAAGCTACACGTTGTTATTTTTACACACCTCTTGTTGCTGAACTCCAGCTGAGAGGTCAGCTTGGCGTGGCTGGAGTGGTGCTCCGTCAGCTGTCTCTGCAGCCGGTCGTTAGTTTCATTCAACATCCTGTCGTTCTCTGCTTTCTCCTTTTTATACAGACTGAAGGCGTCGTTGAGCTGGAAATGGATAAAAGTTCAATCACAGCAGCTACTCAATTTCCCCTTATGTCACACAAAGATGAGGTGAAGAGTGTGTGTGTGCGTGTGTGTGTGTGTGTGAATACCTGTTTTAAAGCAGCTTTAGCCTGAGCGGTCTGTGCCGACTCGGCAGCAGCAGCTCTTTGTGGAGTCGAGCGAGTCGCTGGGACTGAAGGACGAACATGTGCGGGTTGAGATGAAGCCTCCAGACCTGCACACACAACACGAGACCTTCACGTCATTCTGTAAAGACCTTTACCCTGAACGTTCACTGATGCTCACTGATGTAAAGGCTGATGTCAGTGTTTTCGTCACCTGGAGGAGGCAGATTGAAGCCAGTGCTGTGTGTCAGCAGGGCCTTGTACATGTCTCTCTGCCTGGCGCTGGAGTCAGCCAGCTGTTTCTGCTGGTTCCTCTGCTCTCTCAGCTGCTCCACCTCCTTCTGAAGTTTATCCACACTGGCCTCCAGCTCCGATATACTGGAGAGAACCACAGAGACAGAGCTAACGCTTAACATACATTTCATAAAAGTATTTCAACTCTTACTTTAGGTAAAAGCCACTTCGACAGCAATTACAACTTCCCAGTCTCTACAAGCTTTGTGCTAGAAGCAGGACAAGATATCAATACGGGAAGACTGTGTTATTTTCTCTTGTTATAGGTAATTGATATTTGGATAAATATCAATTTTTTTTTTTTTTATTGAGAGGAAAAATTTGAACTTAACTCGAACTAGTCCGAGACAAATGATTACAGATGATGATGAATATCTTAATGAATTCCTTTTTTTCACCCTCACACACGTCGTCTTTTAAACGCTCAACATTCCCTAAATCTAAATCTAACTGATGCAAACTGATATTAGTAGTATAAATGATGTGAGGACCGACGCAGCTCAAAACCAGAAAACCAGTAAAAACCAGTCGAGCATGAGTAGGACCGGCTGAACCGACAGGACAACTTCTTACCGCTCGGATGTGACACGGCTCTGCTGTCTGTCCTTCTCCTGCTCCAGCTCCCTCAGCCTTCCCAGCAGGCTTTGGTTCTGCCTTTGCAGCTCCTCCACGCTGCGGAACGACAACTGACGCCGGCTGATGACCTCAGAGGTGCTGGAAATGTCGGCGGAGCTGTCGTCATCCTTGGTCACCTGATTACCTCTGGCTTCCTCCAGCTCCACCAGAAGAGAGCACACCTGGTGCGGAGACAAATGGTTTTTTATTCTGTATTTTCATCATCGTTATGAGCTGAGGAGAATATTGCATCACCCCTGGTTCACATGACGGATGTTCTGCTCACTGCACTGCTGTGTACCTGTGTAGCTGTGTCCTCTAGCTGTCGCTCCGCCCTCAGCTTCTCTCTCTCCACGGCATCACAGCGCTGCTTGGCCTCTTCTTTCTCTTTTTGCAAACTGTAGATCTCCTGATCACAAAGTGGTGAACGACATGCGAGTGTTACAGAACAGAATGTGTTCTCATCTAGAATCAGAAAGTTAATGCATGTATAATACAAAGTTGTGCATAGTTTATTGACAGAGACACAAAGAGAACATGTGTCATCAGCACAGACCATTCGAGCCTGTTCCAGCTTGTTGCAGAGCGAGGCCATGGACCTCTGCATGCCCTCGTACTCCTCTCTCTGACGCTTCAGGACGGGCGCTTTGGACTCGACTTCCTGCACGATCTCATCCAGCACTCTGCTCACTCTCCTGGTCTCCTGCTTCTCAAGCTGAAGCTGTGTCTGACACTCGGCATACGCATTGTACAGCTGGACACAAGGACGGAGGACGAGCCGTTAAAACGCAGGTTGCAGAAAGACTCATTTTACACTTCAGAACATAAACCTTAACTCCACGTCTCTGGCGTTAAACGTGTCCTGGGGAGGTTTGTTGGAAACACATACAGATAATGTTTTTAGTTTTTACCAAAAACACATTGTGTACTCTTGAGTGATTCCTCTCTGTCTTAACACATTTACAAGCTGGTGTGGAGCGTGTGCATGTGCAGGCTTACAGAAACATGGAGGAACAGCTCCATGAGGCTTCTCAAGGTCAAAGAGAGACTCTGAGCAATGAGTCAATATCACCGCGTGAATATCAGTGACAAACCTTGTGTCATTGTTTCACACAATTCTGTTCAAATGAATGATTCAGATTGCACTGAAGTGAAATGTGGTTCCTTGCACTCAACATATTCTTGTGTTTTGTATAATATTCGTACTCACATCGAAGAACTTCATGCCGGGCTTCACAATCGCAGCGATGGCAGCTGCCGACGGACACATGAAGTCCAGCTGCTCCTCGGTCAGAGACGGCCCACCTGGAGCAGAACACGCGTTAATAAAAGGTCGGGAGGACAGTGGCAGGAAAAGGCAACTGAACTCTTTGGAATTATTTGCATTTAATGCACAAAATCATCATATTGTTCTTGTCCCCGTTCAAAGATGGATTGTAGGTTGGAAAAAGTACGTGGACGTCTGGCTGTGCTCAAAGCGTTCAATCGGCTTTCCGTACTATCCCGCTGCATAAGCATGTGAAAGTGAAATACTTTACTGCTAAGACTTTATATTTCTGAACCATGACCTTCAATAGCTGCTCAGTATCAACATGACGACAGTCATAATTACATAATTATTAAAGAAAGGCAGTTTGAAACAGGAATAATTAAACTACTGTCCCGTTTGTATTCAAATACATGCAATAATTTTGCTTGTTAATGTTTCCTCGTATCATTTTGAGGAAAAACAAATTATTTGATCAATTTTCATTGCACCCCTTAAGTCCTATATGCACTCCTAAATATTTGTTTATTGTATTTATTCAAGGTTCACTTACTCACTTTCTCCACCAGCACTGTGAAGATATTGAAGATCATAATTGTTCATGTGTTATTAGCTGTGTGTAGCTTCATTAGTTTGTTTGTACTTGTGACTTAGATGAAAATCCGAGCTGATTTTCTGCGTTAATCTGTCATAAAATATGGTCAGTCTAAAGTTCACATGCACTTTCTTGCAGCTGTTTAGTACGTGCGCATGCGTGTGTGTCCTTACAGCAGTGTTTACCAGCGGCCTTCGTTGTAGCGTTTTCCAGCTCTTTCTCCATTTTCTTGATTTTCTCACTGAGCTCTGCCTCCAGCCGCATCTTCAGTTGCTCTCCCTCAGACACCTTCTTCTCCAGAACATTGTTGGCTGCGAAGACAGTGACATCAAACCTTCAGCTCATTACTGACACTCTAATCAAAGCTTCACACTCGGACACAGGGCCATCGTACTGACACCGCCGGCAGTGGTTCTCAAAACGAACAGACCCAGGAAGACAAACACCCGGAGTCTTACCTTCCCCGCTGTCTTTCACCAGCTTACTGAGCTCCTCCACTGCTCTGCTCAGCTCCTGGTTCTTGGTCTCCATGTCTGTTGCTGCCCCCTGCAGGGAGAACCGAAGACATCACATACTGACGACACACGGGGGAATAACATGACAGTACAATATAAGGATACTGCCTCATACTGAAAAGACCTGGTTTTATTTTTTTATATTGTAGAGAATATATTTATTCCTGGTGCCCTGCAGTGACGCCCACCTTGTAGAGTGAAGACAACTTGACGTGAGCGTTGAGCTCATTGCGGTATTTCTCCTCCATGGCGCTCCGCTCGTCTTTAGCCTGGAGAGAAACACACAGATCATATACACTTCAAATAACACTACATACACACACAATACGTGCATGTGTTTTAAGGACACATGGCCTGACAGGTAAAACCTTTCAATATTTATGTCCTCTACCTATAAGCAAAGCAAAGTACATTTCTATAGCATCTGCTAAGGTGCTGTTTTTAAAAACCTGCCCTCTCAGTGTCCCTGAGGCTCGGGGGAAGGTTATTCTGAAGTCAAAGAGGATGCTCACACTATCCTACACAGAGACATTGACATTACCTGTTTCAGCTTGTTGTTGAGGTCTTCAGCTCTTTTACTCTGACTCTCGCTGGTTTGCTTCAGAGAGGTGAGCTGACTTTCCAGCCTGGTCGCCTGTTCAAGAGAAAAGTTATGGAAGACATCAGCATTGTGGACAGGATGTCCTGCCTCATGGTCCCTGATTTACATCTCAACCTGAAACCTGATTACACAGGGCAGAAAGAAGAGGACTGAATGTTTAAGTAGTTGCCGTCATCATCCTACAGTGGCTAAAGAAAGTATTGCTGGAAAAGCTGCGCTGGTTAAAATAAAAACTTGCAAAGCCTTAAATATTTTCCTTTAATATCTTTGTTCTGTTTCATGGTACCCTTGGGCGTATAGTTTTGTCCTTTTGGAAATACTTTTATTTTTATTTTTTTTTACCATTTTTGTTTCATTATCCTTTGCATTTATTTGTTTGAATTGTACATATTTTCCTGTTTATCTTATTTCAGACGTTATGATTGTTTCAGTGTTTAATAGCTTTAATAAGATGAAATGGAAAATGTTTTGAACAATAAAGCTTTAGAAAAGAAAAATAACATTATTATTTCAGAGTTTAACATTAAATGTAAAAATAAAAATCCTTAAAATAATAAAATAATTCATAGGTTATATGTCTTGGTCTAGACAGGATGACATCTGGGTCTGGATCTGTATCGCGGTCTGCCAACATATCTGCCAATGGGGATACCACTGGTATATCTGCATGTATACATGACTCAACCTGCTCACCTCATGCAGTTCATCTACTCTACGTGTTGTTGGCGTGTTACCTGCTCCTTGCTGCTCTTCAGACTTCCCTGCAGCTCCAGTATCTCTTTGCCCTTGTCTCTGTTGTTGTTCAGCAGTTCATCAGTTTTGGTCTTCAGTTCTGCAGTTAGCCACTCGATCTTCTTCTCAAGTAACTCTTTCTCCTGCTCCATACGCTTCTCCCGGTGCTACAACACACAATACCGGTTCAATTTCAGCGCTCCTGTGTGAACTTTAAACATTGAGCCGTCGTAGTTTCCATGAAACCTGGTCTGTACCTGAACAGACGCTTCAGATGACTGGATATCATCCAGTTTTAACTGCAGCTCCATCTTGAGTTTGTTCGTCTCCGTAAGCTTCTCTTTTAGACGGTTCACGTCCACTGCAAACACACACACACAATTATAAAAAAGAAAAACAGAGGGCTGTTACCACTACAGCCAAAATGCGTAGAGAGAAAAACATTCAGTCTACTCTTCCGTCGCCACGGGATTGAGTGCGAGTGCATGGAAGGGACGTCTACCAGCGACGGCGTGACGGCGGCGTATGTGGGGAAGTTACTGCAGAGATATGCTTTGTCTGGGCAGCAGCTACAGAGACAAAGTCGTCAAGCGGGTTATCCATTTTTCCGAGCTCTGACTCCAGGCGGCGGATATCATCACTTAACCGTGTTTAAGCAGTTTGGTTTGCAGTCCATAATAATAGCTGGTTTTCAATCCAAGTGGAACTCATGAAACATCATCATCCAACGCTTTCTTTTCTTATTGTTTTGATTGAGAGACCCCGAACAGCAGCAGTAACATACTGTGCTCTTAGTCAAGATAGAATAAAAATGAAGTAGATTTCTTATAAACACTTAGAGAATTTAAAATCCTGCAGGGTTGGACGGTGGGTCAGGGTGGGACTGATATCTTACCAGTAAGGTTCTCCACCTCCTGCGTTCTCTTCTCCAGCAGCCTTGCCAGCTCTCTCTTCTCCGCCTCAATCTCATACTTGGCCTTTGTTTGCTGCAGCCACACACACACACACACACACACACATATATACAGTGGGTTCAATATTGATTCAGACCCCTCATGTCTTACATGCTTTAGTGTTATAGATTTAGTTTTAAAAGGATTTAATTGCCTTTTTGCACATGAATCTACATTCGATAACTTATAATAACAAAGCGAAAACATGTTTTTTTCTTAAGAATCAAAAAACAGGAATCTGTCATTAACAAAAGTATGTGGACCCTTAATTTAATACTTTGTAGAAGCCCCTTTGGCAGCAGTTACAGAACAGTTAGCCATGCTCATACAAAAGTAGGATCTCCTGCAGGGAAAGTGCCGAAATGCGCCCACTGAGAAATCGGAGAAGCCTGAGTCTACGTCCAGGCCAACAAATGATTTGGTCACTGACAGCCCGGCGGTGGTAAATGAGGAGCCAGCGGTATCTCCTCCTTAATACCCTCTGAAGAAAGCTACCTGCTCACCAGGGTAGTTACCTCCAGTTATGATCTGATGAATGGTCTATCTTTGCTGGGTAGCTTCCCTCAGTGAGTGATAAAGAAGAGATACCGCCGGCCCCTCATTTACCACCGCCGGTGCCTAGATCAGTTGGCTCGGCCTTAAGGCCTCAACATAGACATGGAGGCCTCCAACCTCTCGGTAGTCTAAATTTTGGCACTCTCCCTGGACCATACAACACATCCTACATTTCAGAGCTGAACAACCGTCAACAGATGACTTTGTGAAAAATAGAAAATGTATTCCATGAGCACAACCACAACCCACTAACAGAACACCATCGACACTTCATCCTCACAGGTGTATGGGTACGTTTACCTGTTGTGGTGTTTTATCTTCGAAGGTTTCTCCTTCTATTCCTTTCAGAGTATTCAGCTCTTCATCTGTACAGGAGAAGCATGAAGACACTCATGAAGAGAAAAAAGGAGACTGCACTAACTGTTTGTTAAACTTTATGGTTAGAAATTAAATGTGCTTTGTGCACATTGGATCTGAAACTAAATGACAACAAAATGGGGTTAAAGCACTGATATTCTGTTTTAATTTGCTGCTCTTTTCATCCAATTAGGTAAGAATGTCAGAAAAGGTGTAAACTGTATGTGTGTGAAAACTCACTGAGCTTTTTATTTTCCGCCTTCAAGGTCTGCAGGTCTCTGGTGGCAGACAGGATCTGTTCCTGACTCTCCACCAGTCTCTTCTCAATGTCAAAGTACTGCTGCTCTGTTGGGTCAGGGAACATTCAACAGGAATTAGTGTTGTTCATAATTAACCTCTAGCCAACAGTAAGTCAGTGACACTTTCCATAGAACAGCTCAAATATCTCGGGACATCAGCATCATAGCTTAAAACTACTTTTACCACTATATAGTGAAAGACTACTGTTTGAAACGGCAGCAGAATTTATCATAGTGTGCAGAAGAACATACACACTTTTATTTATTTAACATACGTCATTGATAGATAGTTGGTATTAAATTTCTGTTTTGTATCAGATAGGCTGTGTAAACGCAATTACACATATATGTGTAATTCGGCATTAATTCAACACACAGTAGTTATTTAAATAAAATGTAATTTATTTAAAAGAAAAACCGTTGGCTTAACTCTTTTCCACCAAGGTTAGCTCAACACTAACGTGACATCGTAGCTAACGTTAGCGGGCTACTGACAAACACACACACAACACTGATATGTTGCCATGTTAACCAGAGGATAGCTTCGTTGTGTGCTGAAGTTTGTTATGACGTTTCAACAGTTTACAGCTAATGCTAATCAGAAAACTAATTTCGACTTGGGTAACTACCTACCACTGTCTGCTTTGAACCGCTCATGCTGTGTCCTGAGCGCCTCGTTAGCACTCTGCAGCTCCGTCACAAACTTCTCGAGCTTGTTCTGGGCACCTTTCGGCAGTTTGTTCAGTTCCGCCCGCTCCAGAACCTGAAGCAGGACGGCCGCCATCTCCTCCTGTAACTCCGGAAAATTACCGTGAATGGACACCAAACTCTGGTAAAATAATATAGTACTATATCTTGTCCGTAAACCCGTTGAAAACGAACAAGGAAAGTGTCAAGCCATGCTCATTCAAAAGTAGGATATCCGGTTCAAACTTTCATAATAAAGCAGTCATTCATAATAAAGCTACATCGCTTTTATTTTCAGTACAGTAATTTAGTTTACTGCTATTACTTAACTTAACGTGCTTTAAAATGTAATTGTCGTCACCGTCGCACATCTAAAGCCTAACGGCAAGTGTCAGAAATTAACCAGCAGTTTCAGCGTTTACTACAAGTTTTATTTTGAAGAGAAAGTAGTTAGTCGTTTGTCTGCCTGGTTTGCCTTGATTAACCCTACTACGACAGACACGTGCGACGGAAATACGTCACGGCGCAAAGTATTGCGGTAAAGTGTGTTTTTCTGCTCTGCTGACGAACCACTGCCAACTGTCAAAATTAACAGAAAGCTGCCTGCCTTCTGGTTCACATTTTAGCCGTTATCCCGGGTTCTTGCAGGTATTTCCTCACTGCACCTGGACGGGTTCTTGAAGTTCAAGCTGTGGGAACTGTTCTGAATTTTAACTTTGACCAATTAACGGAAGCTAAGTGTAGTAAATTAATGTCGACTAGCTAGAGGGGCAAGAGTTACCTTAAGTTTTAACGATGTTTAACTGGTTGTTGTTTTTTAATTTAGCTAGCAACTGTTGTTGTAGATAACACCTACTGTAAATCCTTTGTAAACAATCTTTTAACACTTCTCTAGCATCACAGTCTTACCAGCATTGTTTCATTGCAGACATACTGATAGAAAAACTTGATTTTGTATCACCTGTCCATGTCTCTCCATACTCTTGTTAGGAAGTATGGGTCGTGGATATATAGTAGAAGAGGCTGTGGAGGGGTATCTGTCTAAACTATGTCAACAACAAGCAGGTCCAGTCACAGGCCTGCTTATTGGACAGGTAAGCTTACAACTGTATAGCATTAGACTATATGTAACAGTTTGCCATTAGTGAAACAGCAGTTGACCTAATATGTTAGTCTTAATACGATGAAGAAATAGGACAACACAAGCTGTGGAAAAGTGTCTGTGCAGAATGTACACTGACCAATAAACTGTGTCTGTCCAATAGCGTTATTTTTTTTGTTTTGTTTGATGTGTAGCAGTGTTGTAGGTCGTAACATGACATGACATGATGTGGAAGAGTACTCTATGTGAAGTGAAGAAACTTATTATCAGTTACTGATAATGATTTCAGAGCTCAGCCCAAAGGGATTTTGTCATCATGGCAACGCGGACGCCCCAAAGGGAGGAGTCTACGGCAGCGACTGGAAACTCTCTGGATAAGGAGTGGGTGACTGAGCATGCCCGACAGGTGGGCAAAGGGGACGAAGGTCTAACCCAATACACATTCATGTGATCTTGAGTATTTCAGTATATTAAAGTGTATTAAATTGAGTTTTTAAGTGTGTATTAAAATGTACCACTAGTTGTGTGTTACAGTATGTATTCACTACTGGTTTGATCTTTTTCTAGGTGTCCAGGATGCTGCCCGGAGGCTTATCAGTACTTGGAGTCTTCATCATCACTGATACCGATGGCAAGGACACACTAACCACAGTCCGACAGGTGAGCTTCACATAAGCATCTTGCAGCATAGGCCTGTTGGGGTGTATTCTCCGATTACCCAATGAGGTAACCGTAGCCGTCAGCCAGGAGCAGATGTTGTCAGGTGGTTCCCAACTACTGAATGTTTCGACCCTTAATTACAACACTCCCTCCTCTCGTCTACTACAAATCCAGCAAGAGGCTCATTCAGCCTCCCCTCCATCCTCCGAGCTGCTTGTTTCTGGCTCCTTTCGACTGGGCCACAGCTGATAACAGCCGCTACGTTGATCTGGCTGGGAAACCTCTGCAGCTGATCTCCACGGCGAACAACCATGCCTGCCATCCTTTTTCCTTACACTCCTGAACTAAAGGCTGCTACTTCAAGGTCTTTTTCTCATGGGCTTCTTCACAACTCTCCTCCCATGTCACTGTCAGCTCAACCACAATTATTTTCTGGCTTTCAGTTGACCACAATACACAATACAGACACACTATCTGGGAAAAGGGTTGTGTGCACCACCTCCGGAAACTGCAGCCTTCTTCCCATGTCTACCCTCATCTCACAGGATCTGGTGTTTCAGGTTGGGCTTCGGTCTTTCAGAGACTGATCTTTGGATAAAGGCGTCTGCAGAATGAGTAAATGTAAATGTGATGTAATGTAATAATTTTCATAGGTCATTCAACTAACTTCTGACATGTTCTTAAAACACTGATGCCTTATAATTCTTTGTATTCCCTGTTGAATTTCCAAAGATCACAGCCTCTAAATGTAATACTACCATGTGGCAGTTGAATGGTGAAGCTCTGTCATCAAACCCTCATTTCAACACGTTAATACACAACCAGGATGAATTCACAAATCACTCCGCAATTTTAAATTTTAAATATCTAAATTCTAAAATGGGCCCATAGAAGTTAGGAAAAACTGATTTAAAGAAGATTACAGCAATTTTTAACTGGCTGTCAGCTGCTGTATGAAGCCTCTGGTCCTCTCAAGCTGAAGGATCAACTTCTGGCCACTAGGGGGCAGAAAAACATCAAAATCAGCCATTGTAAATCCCTTGCTTATAAATTTATAAATGTGTGTGTGTGTGTGTGTGTGTTCTCTATGTGCAACACACTTTCGCAGTGGAGAACCTGATCTCATCGGAGCACCTGTGGATCCCTGCAGATGACGACGTCACAGACTGTGTCGCCCTGCACGTCAACCCCAAAACCAGGAAGTATCCTTTTGCAGAGCCTTCTCACTGGATCAGGTAGCCGTCAGATACTGTGTGTGGGTTTTCTTTAACCACACGTATCAGAACCGTCTGCAGAACCTTTGACGTCAAAGACCCCAAGGTTAGTTCACATCTTTCGTTTCTCACTGAGCAGCAGTTTAGAGTTTTGTCACTGATTATTATACAATTATTGTAACAGATGTTGCCATTGCAATATGAGTCATGGGAATGGTCATTTTTTACATTTGATTTTCACTGAAAAAAAATATAAAAATGATGATGATGAGATTTCTTTGCTGCGGTCTGAACCAAACAAGTACGTTCCCTCACATCTGGAGAATCTGATTTGTGGCACAGCATCTCTGTAGCACCACAATGCTGCATTTATGTTTATTGTGACGCATTTGACCTTTTATGAAAAAAATTGCAGCTCCTGGGATTTGAATATTGCACTTGGCCAAATTGCAATTTCGATAATATTGCAATAAATCGTTCAGCCATTTAAGGACTCAAGCTTGTGACCGATTCACTTCACACTTTTTTTCAACTGACATCGTTTGGCACGATATTTAGATTTGAACATGCAGTATTTTGTTGTCATCAATCATATCAATATCATTGGCTGTTCCAGAGCGTGGCCAAGCCAGCAGACTGGAGGTACCAGTCAGGTGTGTGTTCCTCCTGGACCACAGTGTCATGTTGTCTAAATGTGGACATGTTGGTGCCACTACCAAACAACAGAACCAATGCAGAAAACATGGATGCATGTCTCAAGGTAAAGCACACACACACACTCTGACACACACTCTCACACACACAAATGCTTTTTTAGGAGCGTCAGTGGAACTGTTCTCAGCTCACTCTTTGTTTCAGGGGGGACTGGAAGCGTGGGCGAACCAGATTATGAGTGGAGTTTGTCTGATTGATGGAAAAAAGCTGCTGGACGACACAGAGCTGTCAGCAGGACAGGTTGTAGAAATCTAACACAGAGAAAACTGCGTAAAGTGAATCTATAAAACCATATTTTGGAGTCTTGCTGGAGGGCACTTTGGCAGTACGTGCTGGATTCAAATTTCCTACTTACCTCCTTTTATGTGCGGACTAACAATAGAGCTGCAACACTCAGTGATACAGCAGCAGGAAACCCAGGACTGTCCAGTGAAAAAGTGTCATTCAGTATCATTGTTGTAACTTGGACCAATCAAATACGAGCAGGTGCACATTCCTGGCGAATCACATTGTCATACGAATACAACTTTTCTCTGTCTCTGTGTTGAGACAGAGAACTTGTGATACACTCCTGTCTCCTAGTGTTGTGAACTACTGATAAACCTTCAGACATTTATAAATCCGCACATCACAGACTTCTGTCTAATGAGATATGAATATATATGTAAGTCATTATAATATACAAAAAAAGTTGAAGAACTGTGTGTGACTACAATAAAATGAAGCTAACTTATTTTGTGGATTGTGAGAAAGACGGGGGTTTAATTCAAACCTGCTGTGTGTGATATTTCTCTGCAGAAGAGGAATGTGAGACAGACGTACACAACTCAGCTGCTCATCTCACCGGTAAGACTGAGCCTCTGTATTCTCTCAGGCCCAAAGCAGCACATTGCTCATCACAGCAGGAAGGAATAAAAACACACACTCTTGTGTTTTGTATGTCACAATAGAGGATCGTTTTGTTCCGTACCACTTTTGAAAATGTGAATATTTGTGGAAAAGGTCTAAATCTTTCCTATGACTTGAATCGTATATTGTACGCCGTGTAATCACTACTGACCGTGACTTCCTGTGTGTTAGGACGAACAGGGGCCAACGGATGTGGTCCATCGGTGCGGAGGCGGTGTGTCAGTCAGGGGAACGATCCACAGCAGAGCTTACCTACACAGCAACAAGCCAAGGGCCAAGCTCGCTGAGAAGGTAACGCGTCAACATGTCACACAATGTCAAGAAATCCCAACATTTTGTCATGAAATCCTCATTGTGCACAGCTGCTGAAGAGGGATGTGGTTTCTACGGTGGCCACAAGGGTTCAAATGCTTCTGGAGGAGCTGCTGACATCAGAGGAGGAAAGCAAGAGCAGCAGAGACAAGCAACAGAGTGGTACACACACACACACACACACACACACACACACACACACACACACACACACACACACGCAGGGTTTTGCTGCCACATCTTTACTTGGACTGGATTGATCAGCAGCTTATGCCGTCTTTATTGATAATCACAGTGACATTAAGCAAGAGATATTAAAACTTGAGTCATCTCATCTTCCTTTTTCCTAAATATCGACCAAATATTCAGCTGCTTTTCTACCTGTCTCTCCTTCAGAGCAGTTCTGCCTCCCGCGCCGTGTCTTCTGTCCTGTAAAAGCACCCGGGCCTGTGTGTGTGTGCGACTACCACTTCAGTGACGAGGGCCTGTCTGAGGTGACTGATCGGCTGAAGGAGATGCTGGATGTCGATGCGGCAGAGGAAGACTTAGACACCAAGCAGGAAATGACTGCTGAAATCACAGAGAAGAACACTATTACAGCAGGTTGGGAGTGTGTGCGTGTAAACCATAGAAATACCTACTTACAGTATAACCTACTGTCTGTCTTAAAGTTTGTTTCAAAACCATGTTTTGTGAGGTTGCCTTGACCTTGACCTTTGAACTTTGACCTTTAGCCACCAAATTCTAATCACGTTGATCTTGAGTCCAGGTGAACATTTCTACTGAATTTGAAGGAATTCCCTCAAGGTGTTTCAGAGATATTGTGTTCACAAAGCCAAAACCGCCTTTTGTGGCGTCACGGTGACCTTGACCTGTGACCTTTGGCCCCCAAAATCTAATATGTTCATCCTTAAGTTCAAGTAAATGTTTGTGCCAAATTTTAAGAAGTTCCTTCAAGGCGTTTCTGAGATATTGTGTCCACAAGAACTGGACGGCTCTGGAATAAAAAAGGTCTTTTAACCTTTAAAATTAGACAGGAAATGTTATTTACTGCCCCCTCTGTGTGTGTGTGTGTGTGTGTGTGTGTGTGTGGGCTGGTTGTAATGATCAGGATTGAGTGATTGAGATGTTATTTAATTGTACTGGATAAAACTGTGCGTCGTGTGTTTTTAGAGCCAGCTGTGGAATCTGACGAAGTGCTGGAACCCAAGAGGAACAACTACACTGGTAAAACACTTTGTACTGTGAAAACAGCTGCATCTGTTTCCTGTTGCATCTGTCATCACCACCCAGACTGAGCGTTAAAAACAATGTGAAATCACAATGACCTCTGTCTAACCTACAGTTAACACGTTAACTTGTAGTAGAAGGTTATTTCATTCACTTCATCCAAAATGTTGTTGAGATTGTCGTTGCTGTATGAAAACTGTGCAGTTGGAGAAATATGTTTCAGGCCATCCAAACTGATGATGGAAAAAATGATTATGAATGTTTGACTTTGCTACTTAATTCACTAGAACAACAATTAAAGCCCATTCTGACAAAAAAAGAACTGAACAAATCTGTACACTGTAATATACCAGTCACCTGTATCTTAGAAACAAAGGCTCTTGTGTCTTAAAGTTGTGTGTGTGCATGTGTGTGCATGTTTATACAACCCCTGATTCTTCTCCTCTGTGTTGTCCAGGTGTGGCCATCGGTGCTGCTGTCGCTCTGCTCGCCACCGCTGCCTCGATGCTCTATCTCAATGATGTCTGACACATATCGAAATAAAGTGTTTTGTTTTGAACATAGCTGCTACGTGTGTGTTGGTTGAATCAGCAAAGACCCATAATTAACAGTTCCCTCTGGAGGTACGGCGCCGAACGTGTAAATGATGATGTAATGATCAGTATTAGGGCCACATCAAGGGGAAAAAGAAATCTGACATTTCAAGAATAATATTTTGAGAATAAAGTCATAATATTACGAGAATTAAAAATCTAAAATGAGAGGAAAAATAAACATAATTTTTAGGAATATTACAATCATATATTACATTACATTAAAACTGAGCCTGAACTGCTTCAGGCAGCTGCTGTTTGTCTGTCTAACAACATCTCCCCTCTAAACCTAACTAACCTAAAATTACAACATTTTTCTCATAATATTGTGACTTTTTTCCTCTAAAATTGACTTATTCTAATAAAATTATTACTTTATGTTCATATGACTTTTCTTCTAAAACTATGACTTTATTCTTATAATAATAGTATGACTTCTCGTAAAATTATGACTTTACTCCCATAATACTATGACTGTTGTAAAATTACGGCTTATTCTTGCAATATTATGACTTTATTGTCAAAATTTCATTTTTTTTTTGTTATTGTGGCTGTAATACTCCGTCACACATAAGAAACACAATGACAGAAAGAATGATTATTTTGGTCATGGATTTGAAAAGCTTCAACACACTAAAGAGCTTGTTACCATGCGGGTCTGTGGTCTAACTTGTGAATTCCTGACGCCACTAAGAAATAATCTGCAAAACCAGATGGTGTTAGTTCAGTGGTTCATGAGACACCGGACATAACGACTGACAGAAATTCCAACCCTTTTGTCACCATTATAAGTTTTGTTTTCATTATATTAGAAGCAGTGGTGCCGACCACTTTCCTGCTGCGTCTGGAGTGAAGAATGACATCACTGCTGAATCTATTTCCTGTGATTTAAATGGCAGAAACAAAGCAGGCATTATCAAAAATAATTAGGCTGACATACTTTTCTGTGAGCATTCTGATTTATTGAAGGCACATCAGTTAAAAAGAACACATAGGTAGTGCTGGCCATATACATTCATTGTCAATCAACTTTTCCGTTTCGCTAAATCAATTTTGTAATCACATATTAGGGTTGGATATTCTACAATTTCTGGACCAAAATATACATACATTGCATTTACTGCTTAAGGCAACAATTTGGATTTTTTTTTTCTTTTTTTACTCAAAGAAAACATATTATGTGATTAATCTTTTTAATGTGTCACAGCCGCCTTCATTTCAAGCACCCTTGTGATTTCATTTTAATGATTAAAACCATAAATACATTTCAAATTTTATAAATAGAAGATAAAGATTGTTATTTTCCAATAACCAGTCTTATCAGTTTAGAATCACTACTACTAGTCTACAATTCATCACATTTCACAGCAATATTAAATACAATTTAAGTACCAAATTACCAGTGTATAGCAATTGTTTGTATTGTTATTTTTACATGTGGTGCATGACTGTTGAGTAGGCAGGGTTATGCCTTTGTGCCAAGTAGATATGTGAGTTAGTGTTTAATATGGCTGGTTTTCCAGATATGGATTAAGCACGGCAGACCTAGACCACATCTCTGGAACTGTCCCACAGATGAAAACAGAGAAACTTTGCCAAGATCTTGTACGAATTCAGCGCAAAATCCAGCTGTCTTTACAAAATTTTCAGACTCATTTTTTTGGAGATTTTTCAGACCACAGAGGAAAAAAAAAATCAAATTTCTTCACCTCTCTTCAAAATCTGGAAAAGACGGTTTAACAGATGTTTTGCAAAATCCTGTGAGGGACTCTCCAAGTTTCATTGGTTTTGAACCCGGTGTCTCTTCTTCATCTCAGTCCCTTCTGAGTCCTTCATGCAAGCAACCAGGAAATCGCGACACTTAAGAGCGTACTGTTCAGGAAAATCCCGGAAATGACCAACATGGGGACTGGAAACAAAATCAAAACTGTCCACGGGGACACCTTTCTGCTTCAGGTTCTCCAAGAAGAGCTCAATGTCCCTGTGCCTGATCACCTGGTCTGCTTTGGAGTACAAGTAGAAATGAGGCCAGGCAGGTGGCCTCTCCTGCACAGCGTCATAGTGGTTCTTGTGGATGTACTTGGTCAGGGGGTACAGCACAACTCGCAACAGGAAAACAGTCACTGCAAAAAGTGCTAAGAGGACATACCTTAAAAAAGGGCTTATTTTTGGCCCTAAGGTGGCCGTCAGTGCACGCAGGGCCCCTCGGACATTCCCACTACCTGGGGCGCTGTCCACTACAGCCCCAATCACACACAGGGAGCTGAACTGTTTGTCACTGTGCAGCAACTCGACAATGTAACGGTACAGCATGAAGCCGCCATTACTGAAAATGTGGAAGAAAACAGGGCTGTTCTCCACCTCATAGTCGTAGAGGATCTCCAGCAGCTTCAGGGCTGTGCTGCTCAGCTCCTTGTAGCCAAACGACTCTGAGATGAAGACCGTCTTCAGGGGAGCTGTGTAGCGGACGGTGACACATCCCTACAAGTGAAGAAAACAAAGAAAGAAATGAGTGGATAGAGGTTTGCACAGCTTTCATGATGCCACTCTGCTACCAAAGGAACAATAGAGACAGCAGATTAGCTTGAGAGATTTGCTATTGAGCTTTAACCTGTTCATTGTAGATGGAGCTGTACTTGGAGAGGTGCTTGTCTTTGCAACCAGCCCAGCCCAACAGTATCACAACTGGCTCCTTTGTCCCCTGCCAGTGTCTCTCTGAAAACGAGACAGACAATAAAGCAGTGCGTTAGCAGATCTGCCACGGTGGGCTAGCATAAACTAAGCTAACAAGCGGGTTAGCACGATTTTTCACGGCGTTCACGCTTTTATAATGTTAGCATGTACGCTAATGAGCTAGCTGAGGCATGAACACACTAGTACAATGAAATGATGCTCACCCGACGTCCCCGCATCTGGAAATACGATGTTGTAGTCTATTTCATCGTCTGCCATGTCTGCACGCGAGGGTTATCGGCTGCTGTCGTTCGCTAACGTCAACGTTTGGTTCATTGGGCTGTCGGCGAGAGGATGATTATCAAGCTACTGACCGCAAAGCACAGACAGGTCGGTGGACTATAAGTGTCACTACGGTCCTTCTTCTTCCCAACCGGAGCATTTCTTCTTCTTCGTGTTGGTGAGCGGCGTCAAGTTAATGTCGCATTACCGCCCCCCTGTGTCCAACGGTAGCTACTGTTTCTTCCAAGTAAAACCGGAAGTCTTTGTTGCCATGGAGTTAGTCTGACAAACTGCTGTGTTGTTTTACAAAAAAAACACTCAAAAACACTTATGGAGACGGAATAATGATTCATGAATTATGTAACTTTAATTATGTGCTCTGTCGAGATTAGGAGAAGAGGCTGTGTCAGTATATATTGTCCCAGAGTCAAGTTTTTACAGCGAAAAACAGATTTTTCCTAAATTATTATGATCAAACACGTTCAATACGGTAATGCCACTCGTAGTTCTGCAGAGAAAAACGGTTATTTTACAGATTTTTCCTAAATTATTATGATCAAACACTATCAATAAAATGACGCCACTAAAGGTTCTGCAGAGAAACTTTTTCCTAATAATAAAATTAAGTATCTATTAACACATGCTTAATATTGTAAAGTAAACCCTTTGTTTTGGAAGACAAAGTAAAAAATACTGTGTAAAACAGATTAAAATCATCTCAAACTTCAACTTGCAGTGTTTGTGTTAACTTTTAATCTATAAGTATGTAATGTTAAAAACCTGTAGAAGCACAATCTAAATACAATATTTAATGATTCAGATTCATTTTCTTACATTTCTCATAAAATATAATATACTGAAGAAATGCAAATTACATTTTTAAGTCTCTGTATGTAGTCTTTCAACTAAAGTAGGGTTGGAAACTTAACTACAAATAACATACACACCACTATTGACTTTATAACACTTTTATTTAATATATTCAGATGTAAATTTACAATATCAAACAATTATTCACAAATAGTTCTTCTGCTTGTTAATCCAGATGAGGTCAGAGCGATGTGTCTGACATTTGACTTATTGTGTTTTCAGTTCATCAAAGTTAGCTCCAACATGTTGTTTGCCTGAAAATGTCTTGCTCGGTGTTCAGTTGTTCTAAAAGACACTCAGAGGAGTCAGCAATTAATTTTTTTTGCGGTAAATAGATTTTGTTTTAAGCCTATTTGTGGCTAGCCAAAATTAGCATCCATGTTAATATCACAGTTCAGTTTAAGGTGCACCTTGCTAACCAAGCTAGCCAGCTAGTGCTAATGTTAGCTGATAACTTAGCGATTGCTATGCTAACGGTACCTGGTCCCGCTGGGCTGATAACCTGTGTCAGCCTCGGTTAGCCCGTGGAGGTTTTCAGTCAAAGCCCAATAAAAAGGTGAATTTAATCGACGTTAATCTAATGACGTTTGGTTTGTGGTTCTCCACATGTGACCCAGTTTAAGTGATCTGCGTTAGTGTAATGCGCAGCGTTAATGTTAGTTAATACATTGTCCATCGAGACGTCGTGATAGTTCAAGTTAAAGGTGCACTTTGCATTCCTGCATGGTTTCAGCGCGATTTTATTTTTGTCTCAAATCATAGGCATCTCCCCTTGATCCGCTAGCTGCCTGCCCCCTGAATACACTGTGAAAAAGCGCGGTCCCTGGAGACACACAGGCGTCACAAACGGCAAACAGACACTAGGGGCACTAGGGGACCTGAAATGGTGACAAATGGTAATGAAGCAGTAACTAAGGGCATTTATTCAGGTTATGTACTTTATGACAATTTAGAAATATTTTCTACTTGTATGCTGCTTTATGCTTCTTACTCCTCTACACTACATTTATCTGAAAGCCATAGTTACCAGTTACTTTGCAGATTAAGATTTTTACATACAAACATGTGATTGGTTCATAAAATAGGAGCCACTGCAACAGATTGGACTACCCGAAGTTTACACATTAGTTGGAATCAGCTCCCATTTGACCAGCTCCACCATGAGCACAATCTAACAATATAACACACTATATACTTGTGATTGTGTATTTTTAAATTGTGGTTTTACTACTTTTACATGCGACCTGACTTGTTCCACCACTGCCATCGTGTTGGCAGGCAGACATGTCCACCTCCGTCATCAACACAACAAAGGAGTGAATACCTTTTGGAAGAATGGTTTCCCATCCCTCCTCCACTGGAGTTCAGAGACTCACAGAATCAATGTCAAGGAGCACTGAGCTGAATCTGTCCTGGGGGCACGAGGTGGCCCAACACCACCAACCTCTGTATTTGAGGAAACTGCTCAGTACTTCGGCACTAGGGGGAGACATATCATCACAAAGGAAATTACATTTTCTATTTACTGACTATACTGAAATGTAAAATGAGTAATTAGTAAAGCATGGGGAGACTGTGATTCACAAATATCCTTTATGGCTACAGTCCTGTCCTGTGTTTGCTTTTTTGTTTATTTGTTTGTTTGTTTGTTTTTTAATGGGCTACATAGTAAATTAGCGTTTGGTTATTTTATATAGTCTCTTTTCTGTCAGTGTACATCCTGCTTTGTGTTCACACGGATGTTTGCCTGACACAGATTGAAATGTTGCATCAATGAAAAAGCAGTGTGAACATATATCACACATTACATATAAAGGTGTGGGAGGAGGCTATACATTCAATTTACATGGTATTGATGTATTGATCCTGTTTAAGCCTGTTTTATGGAAAAGAAACCATCAAAACTTTCCCCCCTCAGGAGAATCCTCTACGACCCCCCCCCCCCCCCAGAGAGATGAGGAAGACAGTGACCACAATGAAGATCTAAATGCCAGAGCTCCCTCTCCTCCACTCCAGCAGATCCCGCCAATGAACTTAGGGATGGACGTTCCTGTTTATTATCGTCTTCTCTCTTCTGACCCATCTGCTTTTCCTTTCGTTTTATCCTTATGCTTTGCTTAATGCTCTCCCCCATGCTTTTCCTTATGCTAATCCTTTAGCTTATGTTCCTCCTTATGTTCCTCATTATGCTGATCCTTTTGCTTTTGGTTATGTCCCTCCCTATAGTCCTCCTTATGCCCCTCTCTTTGCTGCTCCTTATGTTCCTCCTTACGCTGCTTTTCCTTTTTTTTTTTAATGCTGATCCTCATGGTGTCCCTGAGCGGCTGATGAAGCAGCAAGATTGAAGCTGGAGATTTTAATAGAATAAAGCTGAGACTGAAAGAAAGACAAAAGAATCATTATTAAAGAGACGTACATTATTTTACTTCAGCAACAGGTCATTATACAAAATCTGGAATGATGGATAACCACCTCATCTCTCTTTGGCGGTTCACAGAGACGTAACAGCTAATGAAATAAGAAGAGGTGCGTCTGCGTTGTAATATATCGGTGGGTTTACAGTCCCAAGTCACTAAATGCCATTATTCATTCTTTTTCTTTATTCTCCAAAGTTTCTGAATTTTACAGTTTGATTGGTAAGATCGAGAGAGGGTCTGCTAAAGAAATAAAATCAAGATGGGAGAATAAAACAAACCAACGTGGATGAAAAACCACATTGAATCTCTGTAGACTCTCAACTCTGTGAGACTGAACATTCCTGCTGGAACTCTTTTATTAATAAATCTGACTTTTTTCTTGATTAATTATTTGTTGTATATCACACAAGAAAACAATGGAAAATGCCCATCACCTTATACTTTCATCAAATTGTCTTTTTTTGTCCAGCCAACAGTCAAAAAACCCAAAATGTAAGTTACTAAAATGTGAGACTGAAAAAAGGAACAAGTCATTGCATTTGAGAACGAGGGACAATCACCTGTTGGACATCTTTTCCTAAAACAATGAATCGATTGTCACAATAGTTGCTAATTAATTTTCTATGGATTGACTCATGAATGAATCAACTCGTCAGTGCATTATATGATAAGGAACCGTTCTCACTACAGACTGTTCGTGGAAAATCAAAGGAACTCCCCAGAAAAAAAGTCTCTTCTCTACATGCTAAAATGCTCACGGTGAAAGTGCTAGCATGTTAATATTAATATTCAGCAGGTGTAATGTTAAGCACAGTCACCATCTTAGTTTAGCATGTTAGCATGACAATATTTGAACTTAAAGTACAGCTGAGGCTGCTGGGAATATTATTAGTTTTGCAGGTATTTGCTGAGGGTTGGTGTTGGACCATTAAACACATTTAAACTTTGACCTGATGATGGTGCCATGTGGACATCTCGACCAATTTTCCAACAATCCATCAAAAAGATATTTCACTAAAAAAACATCAATGTCAGCCTCGTGGTAGCTCCAGAGGAACAGTCAGAGGGCTCGTCCTCTGCGTACCATGAACACCGAAATTTCACAGCAATCCATCTCAGAGGTGTTGAGATATTTCCGGCTGGATCAAAGTGGTGGAAAGACATCGTCATCCATCGAGCCGCACCACTAGCATGGCTAAAAACTGAAGTCGTGAACCTCCACTTGTGTAAGCTGTAACTGTCCTGCTGTGTGTGTGAGTGTGCACACTACATTCTCCCTCCCCACACTATCTCCATCTTCTGCGTGTGGGCCTTGGACGACTTGGAGAAGGTGCTTTTAACCACGTTGAGAGGAGCCGCCTTGCCGCTGAGGTAAACCTTATTGAGACAGGTAGAAAGCCACGACTGCCCGTCCTTCTCCTCCACAGCTCCCGCTCCTTCCTTCTTTATGAGGGTGCACGAATGGGCAAAGATGTATCCCGTCATGAAGGCGTCGAACCCCGCCCGGTGCGTTCCTGCCTCAGTCTTCTTCTGAGCTTCAGTCCCGGGCGAGCGGTCGCTGAACTTCTCTCTTCCTCCGTCTGCTGTTCTGTTTTCTACGCTGTCGTCCACGTTGGTTTTCATGTTGCTGTCCTCATCAGTTGTGGCTATTGTTGCAGAGTTTCTGGCGTCCGGTTTGTCTTCACACACTCCGTTCCCTGTTTTCACGTTCTCTGCTTCCTCCTGTTGGACGTTTCCATCACTTTCTGTGCACGGACCAGCAGTCGCCTTCTGATGGTCACCTGGAGTTTCTTCTTGATCCACCTCCATGTGGCGTACTTTGGTTTCAGGGGCACTGTCAAAGGTGGAGGAGCCCTCTGCGACCGCTCCTCCACCTTTCTTCTTCTCTCTGTGCCTCTTCCTCTTTTTCCTCTTGTCCTCCTTGCCCTTCTCATCCTGCAGGATTATCAGGTCGGTGTCGTGGGATAATGGACACTGGGCACCATTTGGACACCAGCCAAATGCCTGTCAAACAAACACACACACACACAGAAAGACAAGGTAAATAAAAATATTAACATACAAATACATGCTGACAACTTGGCTTGTATGTGCTAACAGGACTGTACCTTTCCTCAGGTCTTTATTTCACTGAAGTGTGAGAAGTTTAGTCAAACAGAAAGTTAACAAAGGTTCAAACTCACAGAGAAGCGCTGGCAGATGTCAGTCTGTCCCTCAGCAGAAACCGCAGCTGGACACTCTCTGTAGTCCACGTAAGCAGACATGTGACCGGTGTATGGACAGAACTCTACATGGACATGAGGTCCGGTCCCTCCAGAGGTCAAACTGCGGCTGTTGTCCAGCTTACTGGAAGTTGAAGGACATAAAACAGATCTATGAGTTTACAGAGGCTTAGCAGATGCTTTTGAGACACTGTTTTCAATTGTTTGTAGATCTGGGTCAATTCAAACTGTTGACAATGTGAATATTTGAGTCGATACTTTATTATAAACCCGTACTCACCATTTCTTATAGGCATACTCCAGATAGGAGGCAGGGAGCCGCAGCTCAAACTCAGTGACATATTTAGTGTCATAGATTCCAGCAGGAAACATCTCAGACAGGTCGGCGGTGAAGGTGGCCAGGCGCTCGGGCAGATGAGCATAAAAACTCTGTAGAGAGAGAAAACAACAGTTATGAGATAAAAACTGTACGCTGTGAGAAAGACACAAACCCAATACAAACCAATTATTAAACTTTTGTCACTGTATGCACTCTTGTTTTTACCACAGCTAATGATTTACACATTTCTACTGCAAAGAAAACCGGTGAAACACATTCAACATCAGGAATGGAACCGAGAGATAAAGATAATACTTGGTAAAGGAAGGCCATGTCGATGAGGCCGTTGTGGAGCACCAGGGGTTTCCTGGCACGCAGCAGTTCAGTGAATAAGGCCCTGATGTGGACACCACGGTCGTCCGATCCTCCCTAACAAAGAGGGCAGAGAGAGAAAGCACAGCCAGAAATCAAATAATAAACTGAGGAAGTTCAAATCTCCTTCGCAGTGTTCTTTGTTACAATGCTACAGACAGGTAGAACAGAAAACACAGTGGGCACAGGACACAAAAGAGCATGGAGCATGTAGGCATCATCACCTTATTATTGCCCTTGCAGTAAGGGATTCCATGAGCGTACTGCTTGTTAAAGTCAAATCCGTGCTGCACCAGGAACTGGACTGACTGGGGCTCTATGATGTACTCCTCCGAACACAGCAGGGTCAGGTTATACACCTGGACCAGGTATGTGTCTGCAGCCTGGGGAAGGGAGGAGAGGGGAGGGGAAGATAAAAGACAGAGGCAGCAGAGGATAAATTCACAGACGTAACACATGTAGATTTAAAGAATTCTGCTTGAGAACAACCTAATTGGCATTCTGCTGTATAGCTGCTGTCATGCTCATTGTTAATATATAATAATCACTAATATAAATCATATGGCCAAAAGTATACGGACACCAGTGTCCACAACCTTTAGGCTGTTGGATAAGGCATCATCTTGTACCTTGGAGTCCAGTTTCTTGTAGCAGGCAATTCCCAGGGAGAGGATGGAGCGGGAGCGTGCTGCGTGGCATATGGCTTTATATCTGTCCTCTATGGATCTGAAACATCACAGCCAGAGTCAGGGCCAACTCAGAGGTATGCAAACACCAAAAAGCAGTGAGAGATGTATGACTCTGACTTAGAAACCTATGTACATATGTACAACGGTCACTTGATACTGTTTCAGGTGTGTGGGTGTACGTGTTGGAATGAAGTGAAGAGGAAGAGAGGATCACTTATGTCTTTACTCACTCGGCCAGCAAGGATTTCCGGTTCCCAAGACCACTCAGCTCCTACAACAACACAGAGACCACTTACTACGTATCAATATTTTAGTATATGTGATTTTGATGCACGTCCTGAGCCTATCTCCGACCCCAGTTGTGTCTCTCAAGTGATAATACAGAAGAGGGAAAACTAGTTCATAAGTCAGGTACACGCTGGTCGGACAGACACACACACACAAACCACTGCACTTACCGTGTCTAGTGCAACGAAGGACGACGTTTTAATGGCCACTACCATAGCAGGCCAAAGCTCTTTGAAATTATCATTCTGGACATCAATGACCGGAACCACCAGTGAAGATGCCATGTTGATCTCAACGTAATTTACTGAGTAAAGAGCTAACGGCTCTTTTTTCGCGGCTGGAACGTTTTCTGCAGTTACAGATGCTAACTGCAATTTTAGCTAGCTTAGCTAACTAACTTGCAAGGGTGTTCATTGTAGGGCTTAGCTTGCTGCTTACGTGTTATTTTATCTTCATAAATGTTCTAATTATTTTAACATTTATTAATTTCTTGCCACTCACTCGGATCGACAATTAACAGCGGCTCAACCGTAAACATTTCAACGTGCTTCTTGGGGTCTTACCCATAGTAGTTTGACTTTTACCGGAGCGTAAATAAAAAAATAGTCTGTCACTATATATACGCACAAAAGTATTCACAATTAATTAAAATAGAAACTTCACTATACATTGTGGAAAACTTATTGTAATTTTCTTTCTGTGTTTTATTTTTTGCTATTCAATAAAATTTTCAGGCAGGCATTTACAGTAGGCACATATAAACAATACGTCACCATATTCAACCATCGACGAGAAGTGCGCCATTTTGGCTCAAACAAAGTAAGAAACATTTTATCTTACATAAACTATTTTAAACTGTATCCATTAAATCCTATGTAAACATATGTAGGACAGCCCTCCGGTTTCCACTAGTGAACATTTGCTGCGAATGTAACTTTTCCCGTCTTTAAATCGCGTTAGCAGTTAGCTAAAAGTAATGATTAAAATCCCCAGCTGAGCTCCATTGCCAGCCAAGCTAACTTAACGTCTGCTAAATTTAGCTTTGCTGTATGTTTTAACTGCTGCAATGGGTGGCTGCTCCGCTCCAAACTGCTCCAATTCAACCAGCATAGGCAAACAGCTGTTTAGATTCCCCAAAGACCCTGTCCGTAAGAAGAAGTGGGTGGTGAACTGCCGTCGTGACTTTGAACCAACTCCTCACTCCAGACTCTGTCAGGTAAGTTTACACCGAGACTGTCATCTTTGTGTCTTAACGCTAACATCAGTAGCACTTTCAGTCCAATATAAGATCAAAGGTTCAACAGGATAGGACAGTGCATCAAAAAATAAAGTCACTCCTTTAATTTATGTATTTATTTATTTGCATGCTGAATTATCTCCTGGTGTAGTTGATAATCACCTTCCTTCTGCCACACCTAACGAAACGTTGCATTCACTGTATGCATGATCTTTCTTTTCTTTTCTCTTTTTCTTGTGTTTGATAAAATGGATAAGTGTACATGTGTTTTGTTTCCCCAAGGATCATTTTGAGCAGAGCCAGTTTGAGGAGATAGCCAGGTCTCCAGCTGGGGGAAAGAAGCTGAAGCCCAATGCCATCCCGACTCTGTTCAGTGTTGGAGACCCTCCTTACCCTGCAGTCACCACTCCGTACATCCTGCTGCCCCTGAAACCTGATCCAGGTAACTGAATACACTGCCAAATTTCTTCTTGATTACTTTGTATTACATTACATGTGGCAGGTCAGGGTAGTTTTGGTACTGTACTAAACTTACAGACCTTCTCAAGCACATCTGCTTTCTCAGGAAGCATTTGCGGGGCTGAAAAAGTAAACGTACTGGATAATGCTGTGTAGTCAAACAGAAACCTTGAAGTCTAACAAATTCAATACAACATTAATTCAGACAACCACTGATTGTCACTAGTACTTATATTTTGAATTTCTCATAATGTTATCAATGTCTTAACAACATGTACACAGCTGGCTTCTCAGTTCATCTGCATAAAATGACACAGGGTGATTTCTTAGATAAAAGTTAAGTAAAGTGTCTCTGTGAAATAAGAATTGCTGATGCTCCGCAGGTCTGTGGAGGTTTTTACCCACTTTTAGCTCATTGTCGTTCATCATCAAACCCTTGTTGATGGATGTAGTGAAGCATGTAGCAGAGTAAAGACATATTGTTTACTCTGGAGTTGTTGGAGACCAAAACAGAGCTTAAAGGGGAGTTACCACTGAACTTACATTCAGGAGCCTGAATCATGACCCCAATTTAATGGTAATGTAGAATGTGTAAATAGGCTTTTGGTCACATGTTATCAGAAACACCTTTATAAATTGTGTCTGTTGTGTATCTGTCAGCTTTGATGTTTTTCTGCCCTCTAGTGGCCTAAAACTGACTAGCTTAATTTGCCAATTAAAAATCAGATCAGTGCATCTTCATCAAAGTCATGTTATTATCCTGAAATACCTTAGAGTTATAACTTTGATTTAATACAGAGTAATCTCTTTAAAAACTGTGGTGTAACATTAAAAATGTACCAGATCCCAAGGAGGAAATACCGTTCTATTTAGACAATGCTTTGTGTCCCAGTGGAGAAAGAGATGAATTTTGGGGACCATGGTTATGCCAGACGCACCCCTCTGCCTGGGATGGAGGAGGATGATGCAGACAGGACAGGCGAGGACCAGCAGCCCTGCACACAGTGTCAACTCCTCAAGAAACAGTTGGAGCAGGAGATGCAGCACACTGCAAGGCTACAGAAGGAGGTGGGATGACTGCTGGTGTCTTTCTTGACTTCTTTCCTTTCTGAAGTGGCAGCATGCTGAAACAGTGTCACTGGGTCAGACCTATGAAATCTGTGGTGGTTAGCTTTACAGCTTACATAAGCTTTCATCGCCTGGTTATTTAATTACTGGCTATAAATATCTGTCAGCTGTCTTGACTTTGATGTGACTAAGATCTAAAAGCTGAGAAACGAAGTCGTTTGAAGAATCATAAATTGAAGTGTGCAGCAGTGCTTTCTGTTCTAGCCCTCACAAACCATTTCCCTCTCTGTCTGTGCCAGGCAGAGGAGATGAAGAAACGTCTTTATCGTCTGGACCGGATCGAGAAGGGCCTCCAGAACTTCCTGTACGAAGATCAGATTCGCGCTCTGTCCCTCACCAAGCGCTCCCGCCGGGCTGTCTGGTCTCCAGAGACCATCCTGAAGGCCCGAAAGATCCGCTGTGCAGTTGGTACCAAAGGATACGAGTACTTGAGAGAGCTGGGATATCCGTTACCATCATATAGAACTCTGTGTAATCGCCTGGAGACTAAGATCATGGTGACGACTGACATGAGCTGTGAGGAGCTGGCAGAGCTGGGACTCGGGCTCATGGCCACTTGCGACAGTCCCACAGAAGGTGTTGGGGACAATGATGAGGAAGAACTGATAGGTGTTTTGTCCTGATCCTGGCAGGTGACGCGGTCACATGATCCATTCACTCTAACCAAAGGAAGAATGTGCAGAGTTTGCTGTGTTAGAAATCTGCAGATCTGACATCAGGTGAAAGAAGATGAGGCACGTTATTCTTCTTATCTCATCTATGAAAGAGTCAATATAAACGTATGCTTCTCTTGACAGAGATCGTAAGTTCACAGGTTTTAAATGTCACCTGGTTGTGCTTGTGATCTGCACTACTAAGGCATGGCTTTGCTTAGTGAGATGCTGGGGCTTGCAGCTAGCCTAGGTTTACGCTTATGGTGTTTCTTACCCTGAAGCCGCTTGAGCTACACTATAATCTTGAACATGAGACGAGACACACTACACAGCCTGGCAGAGCAGAGTACGTCTGAGAGGTTGAGATTGTCTGTAAGTGTAGAAATAATTTACACAAAGCCTGGATTACTGTGTGTTTCACTGACAGTGTTTACATGCACAATACAACTGGTTTTATTTAGTATTCTCAAATGTACAGAGAGAAAATAAGCTCATATCCTGCGTAAGGATATGAGTATTCTGATATTATAAGGACTGGCTTTAAGGCAAGGGGTTTTTTTTATGGTAAAATTCACTCAATATGTATCTGTTGAAGGTGAGTGTAAAGCAGCATCACACAAACGGGATTATTTTTCCATTTAAACATAATCAGTGGGTTCTGGTCTCACACCATGCTGTTTTACAATCATAGAAATTTTGTCAACAAAGTCAGAGTTAGGGTTGATTGAGTCATGTACTGTATTTTGATCACATTTGCAAAACTGAAACCTTCACCTTTTTCCAGAAGGTTCCAAAATCTTCTATCAGTCACAAAGGATAGATTTCATTAGGGAGCACATGTTTAGAGCTGTGTTCAGTCAAGGAAAGTAAATCCTCCATTGGTAAATAAATGGTGTAATTCTACACTAGATAGATTTTAAATTTCATTTAGTTGGACGTTTGTTCTGTCTTGACGTGTTCACATTTGCAGTGCATTTGAAATTACCACGAAGACTATCAAAGAAGCTCAAGCTGATCTCAGCAAGTCTCATGACATTCAGTATCCCAAACACTCGCAGTGTAAAAAAAAAAATAAAGTGACCGTAAAGAATGAAGTGTATTCTTTGGTTTTGTGTTTACAAAATGTTTCACCACATCTAAAGGCGTCGTACACTGCAAATCAGCCAACGGCCTGTAGCAGATAAACGGCCTCGATGGCGTCACGCCTCTGGTGAGATTAGAGCTGAAATTAAACTGATGTGTGTAGCTTCTGTTGAAGTTATCTTTTACCTTGAATAGAACAAAGAATGAATTTTACTTTGGCCCAGTTTGGACTTTGAGCAAATCACTCACGTGAAAGATTAGATATTTGTTTTCTGCAGCTGGTTTGTTACCTGAGGTGAACTGTAATGTAGATAACACCAAGGTTGAAAGATGTATTCGACAAATTTCAAACGTCGCGTACAGATTTAATTAGACTGACCAGTACATTAAAGTACTGTACAGTACGTGTATACAGAAGAGTTTACATCAGTTTCTATCACTTTGACTTTCATTGATTCTGGCTTCTTGCCTCATGCAAGAGTGGGACGATGGGTTTGTTTGTCGTGGTGACATTCACCTCTGCACAGTCCAAAGCCTGACTCACGCATAGTAAAGCAAATATTACTCAGTAATGAGATCAATATACAACACAAAAGTCCTTCTCATGGTAAATAGGACCAAGAGTCTAGTCAGGCTTAGCAGCTCTGTAAGGAAAGAAGTGTTTTGAGCTAAATGCTAATGTCAATATGCTAACATGAACGTAAAAGCAATGCTAATAATGCTAAAAATAAGCAGGTATGTTTACTGTGTTCACCATCTTAGTTCAGAGTGCTAGCATGCTAACATTTGCATATTATCAGTAAACTAATGCTAATGGGAATGTCATTTGTTTTCGCAGATATTTGTCATAAACCAGATACTGTGGCAGTCACACTTTGGGCCTGACGGTGGCGCTATCTGAAAAGTCAAGTTATTACAAAATGTCATCGCTATCTGTCCAATAGTTGTTAAGACATTAAACCTAAAACTACAACTG